TTGTAAAGGAATTTTAAATTATTTCTTTACTGGTGTGTACCAGCGACTTCGTTCGCGTCGAATTAATCATTTGTAATAGTGATGATAAAGCAAAGCAAGAATTTCCATTAACATAAAACTGGATAAAATTTTCTCACATTTATGTCAGCATGAGAAAAAACAATATGGCGATATTATTATATAACTTGGTAATATTTGAGGGGTAGTTTCATCTCGTTGGAATTTGACTTTCGAAAAATCCGTTTGCCAAAAATAAGCTTTTTACGTTAAGCAGTTTAAGCAGAATCGTGGTTAAGAAATTACCCAACTTTTTGGAACACCCTGTATGATTTTTTAAAAAATTTCAAAATATGTAAAAAAACCAAATAAATTAGGCGTTTTCCCGAAAAACTAACCGTTTTTTCAATAACAAATATTGTAATATTTGAGGGGCGTTTTCACCCTCTTGGAATTTAAGATTCGAGAAACCCCTCCTTATCGAACCTCTACACCCCACAGTCAATCTGTTTGCCAAAAATCAGTTTTAAACGTCAAGCAGTTTAAGCAGAATCGTGATTACTCAATGGTCATATTTTGTAACACCCTGTATAAATTAATAAAAAATCTTAAAATATGTAAAACAACTTTTAGACGATGAATCTCTAGGGCGTTAAACTCAATGATTGCACAATAATACAGTAAAAGGGGTTTATTTGGCGTAAATCGAGAACAAAATACAAAACAGCTGTTTACGCCAGGCGCACGCGGAATATATAGCGAGCAATTTGTTACAAAAGTGAATGATCGGCGGCTGACAGGCTTCAGCGAGCATTGTGCGTCGACGGTGGCGCCCTCCCACCGATAGTTGCTGGTCACTTGCCGAACTACGGCCAATACTCGCGATCCCTATTATGCGAGCGGCCAGGAGCGCGAGTGTTGACTGGTGATGCTAACAACAAAATGAAATATACGTGTATAAGAGTTTTGCCGAAAAACTCACCGGTTTTTAAATAAAAAAATATTTTAATATTTGAGGGATAGTTTCACCCCCTTAGAAAACTTAGAGTTTTGAAATATCCCTTCTTATCGAACCTCTACACCCTAAAGTCAATCTGTTTTCCAAAAATCAGCTTTTTACGTCAAGCGTTTTAAGCAGGATCGTGATTAATCAATGACCAGATTTTTCGAAACACCCTGTATACATTTTTAAAAAATCTAATAAAATAAAATATGTAAAAAAACAAAATAAAATATACGTGTTTAAGCGTTTTTTCGAAAACTTGACCGTTTTTTAAATAAAAAATATTGTAATATTTGAGGGGTGGTTCCACCCCCTTGGAACTGGAATTTCGAAAAATCCCTTCTTATCGAACCTCTACAGCAGTAGTTCCCAAACTTATTTTTCTCGTGGACCACTTTCAAAATTTTACTGGTTTCGGTGGACCCCCTGCTGCTACATTTCTACCACATTCTTAAAGTCGCCAAAAAATAAAAATTGTGTCACTTCTGAGTTCTGTCCCTATATTCCGATATGTAAAATAAAAACGAAAAATGGTACATTTTATATCACTTTATTTATTAAAAGAATAGAATTACAAGAAAAAATATTAAGGTAATATAGGTTCAGGTCATAATTTTAATTAATGGGAAGGATGTATCTGATGGAGTGTCTGCAAACGATCAATGTTTGGCTTTATTTTTGTGAGCAATAACCGCAAATCCCCCCGCTCTGTGATGTTTAATTTGCTCCTTTTTTTTTGTTAAGAGGTTTGTAACGGCACTAAAACTCCTTTCGACAAGGTATGACGAGGGAAAAGCTATTAAAAATTTCCTTGCGATTTCCCACAGTCCAGGATATTTTTCGGGTATTTCTGCTTGCAGCCAAAATGTTGGGTAGCCTTTTCTAAATTTCACCTTCAGCTCCTCATTAGTGCTTAGCTCGAGCAGCTCCTCTTGTAATACAACATTGGCCACTTCCGTTTCATCAAATGGATTTATGATCCATGGTGGTATATCCATCGTCAGTATATCTTCAAACCTGGTTTTGAAGTCATCATGCAGAGCACTTAAATGTTGACTGTAGGTATGGATATCCTCATCAATACATTCTACCTGCGACAAGTTTGGAAATTGAGAGAATTCGCGCCGACTAATGTTTTGCTTCATAAATTTCAATTTCCCAAGAAAAGCCGAAATTATCCCCTTTGTTTTTATTAAATTCAGGCTGTCCCCTTGTAACTGCAAGTTAATATCATTAAATTTTTTAAACAAATCTGTCAAATACGCAATGTCTGCTTTGAATTTGATCAAGTTTTCTTTTAAATCTGGATCTCTACTTTCTAAGAACTCTAATATGGAATCGAAAACAGAGTAAAATCTCGTTAAGCATGCACCTTTCGACAACCAGCGTACTTCAGTATGTAAGAGCAGTCGTTGGAAGTCTTCATCATTTTCGTCGCACAATTGAGCAAATAAACGCGTATTCAATGCATTGCTTCTGATTTTGTTGACAGCTTTTATTACAAAATGAAGAGATTGGTTCAACCTGTCACTTAAATGTTTTGCCACAAGATGTTGTCGGTGGATTACGCAATGAATAGCTGTAAGTCCTGGTATAATTCTTTTGAGATGACTTATAAACCCACGATATCGCCCGACCATTGCAGGAGCTCCGTCTGTTGCCACTGAAATAATGTTTGTAAATGGGATCGATTTTTCCGTAAAAAAATTACTCAGGACATTAAATATTGATTCGCCTTTAGTGTCAGTCTCCAAAGTTCTGGCAAATAGCAATTCTTCGTGAATTTCTTCCTCAACAATAAATCGGACATATGCCAATAGTAATGCTTCATTACTGGGTAACGTTGACTCGTCCAGTTGTATAGAAAAATGAGTTTTTTGCAGATGATTGCACAAAAAGCTTTCGATATCAGAGCTCATTTCATCAATGCGTCTTTGTACAGTATTGTTACTTAATGGAATTCTTTTTAGTACGTCAAATGGAGATTTGTGCAAAACAGTTTTTAAAACCTCTTCAACAGCGGGTAAAATTAATTGTTCTCCGATAGTGTGCGGTTTTCCAGATTTTGCTATAAGTAATGAGATATTGTAAGATGCCCGCAAGCCATCATCGTTACTTTGAGATGTTGAAGCGAACATACTGTGCATGGTGGGTCTCTTTCCATATTTTTCTTTCAATGTTTGAAAATATTTTAAATCTTTACCTATTTTATCAGTATGACACCTTTTTAGATGATCTTCGAGCTTTGATGGTTTCATAGAGTCATTGCTCAAAACTTTGTTGCATAATAGGCACATGGGCAATTGTTTGTCTGCCTCTGATGGAACAAAACCATATTTCAAATAATCGATACTATATTGTCGACATTTTTTCTTTGCTGTAGCCATGTTTCGTGTCAGTTACCTTACCTGTAAAAAAATGTTTTAGTAACCAAGTTTTTTTTCTGAATATAGGTATCACACCGCAGCCTTTGTCAGCACGCGGAAATAGAATTACGGCTTGTAAAGGGACCAACTAATAAACCGCTGAGACAAATACAGACGTTTTCACAAAACGGTATCAATTTTAAAGTACATAATTTACCACTAATTTTTAATAGTATAAATAAAAATTGGTGTACTCAGTATCGAATACTGATCATATTTGTGTAGGAAAAATAAAAGTCGAAATCCCAAAATTGTCCATAAAAACGATAACTAACATTTTATTAAATCAATGAGTTTACGCGCTCCGTGTATTTGCGTATTTTTGTCTGCGGCTTCATTGTTAAAACGTGACAAACTGGCATCGAAGTCCAAGCCCCGCCCTTTTCCCGTCGCCCGCGCACCGCTCGCTCTTTCCGAAAAGGAATAGTTTTGATAAAATAGTTACTTCAAAACCAATTTAAAATGATTATGAAATTACTGTTTTATAAAATTAGTAGTTATTTGCAAGAAAAATTACAAAATTAATTGCTCTGCAATATTGCTTATTCGGCCTTTTAGAGAGGCAGTGTTTCTCTCCTGTGAAAAACAATTGAATAAAACGTGCTGTGTTTGTCTTCAAATCGAAAGAGGACAATTAAAATATCTGTAAGTTACTAAGTTACCTATCTATACAGGCCGTTGTGATCAACCGACTAGTACACGTAAACAAAATACTTAAGTACTATAACAAAAAAAGGTAGGTTACTTACTTTTCTCCGGCACTAGCAAACACAAATATAAATTTTCTCACAACGTTTTTCCAAATTCCGCCTTTTTTCGAAATTCCGGAAACAAATGAATGCGTTTGCCTTTGGCATCAAGTATTTATAGTGGTGATCAAGTTCATGTCTGAACAAGCATTAAGCATTGTCGGGCGGATAGCGCTTTGCAAGTCTGTACACGAAATTGTACGTAATATCGAATACGCAAGTTTGGACAAGTAACAGTCGCTTGCCTTATTAAAATATTATCTGCTTAGATAGGTACTTAAAACAATGTAGGTAGGCCCTTATAAAAACTATGCTTACATTTTTGCTCTTTACTATCAAAAGCAGATAAATTTTCGTGGACCCCCATTAACATCTTATGGACCCCCATTTTTTGTTCACGCCTACGTAGACCCCCAGCAAGTCTCCCGTGGACCCCTGGGGGTCCACCTGGACCACTTTGGGAATCACTGCTCTACAGCCTAGAATCAATCTGTATGCCAAAATTGGGCTTCTTATGTTGAGTGGTTTCAGCAGGATCGTGATTAATCAGTATGTCAGTCACTTTTATATATTAGTATAGATTATATTAGGAGCTACAAGCTACAGATGCCCGACGCAGTGTTGCCGGGTCTATATAAAGCAGTAGGAAAAACTTTGAATCATAGCAATCCCTATTTGCGGCAATTTTTTGATTGGTACCCCCCGGTTTATATCGTATCGTCAGATATCGGATGCATGAATTCACCTTTACACTTACTTTTTTACTTCTTTTTATTGTACTTTAAAGCGTTTTTTTATTTTAGTTTTATTTTCCTCCTATTTTAGGTGTTTATGTTGGCATTACGAATTTGGATGCGCAAGAATACTATGAAAAAGCCAAAGAAGCGAACGGATATGCCACGTTTGGCAGCAATATGTCCCAAATAGCGAACAAAACATCGTTTCATTTTGATTTTAAAGGTCCAAGTTACGTACTGGACACAGCCTGTTCGACCAGTCTCACGGCAATCTCTAATGCGGTGAATGCGATTGAAAATGGTGAGATTGATGCAGCCATTGTTTCAGGTTGGTCCGAATTATGTATAAACTCTAGAAAAACTCGTAAAATATTATATATAACATTTTAATAAATTGTATTTACTGGTGACGCCTCTCATACGACGCGGAGGCTCCAAGGAGAACGGTAGTTTATATCGAAATGAAATTTTGTGAGCATATGTAAGTTACATAATTCAGAATACCTTTTAAAAATATACAGAGTTACACAGGGTGTCCCAAAAAAATTTACACATCAAAGTTGTGTTTTTTGTAATGGAAAACCCTATATACTAATTGATTCTAGGAAAAAATAAAGGTGAATTTTATTAAAGAAGCATATGCCTAAACAGTAAGAGTTTTGACATATATTACATTTTGTAAAAATGAAGAGTAAATTTTAAATTTCAATAACAGCTACCTAAACATTAATTTACCCTGTATTAAGGTTTAGGTTGTTAAAATTTGACCCAAACAGTTATACAGGGTGAGACAAAATTAATACGGAACATTAGTCACTTTTAAAAGCAAGTTACTTCTTTATTTTAAATGGAACACCCACTATATTAGTCCGGGGTTCAATGGGGAATTCACATATCTTCAAAATATTATTAAGATATTCAAAATATTATCCCAGATATTTTAATTTTTATGATTTTGCCTCAGTAGATCTTTATTACTTGAAGAAATCTAAGTGGCCGTGATATAAATTTTATTTCATGACAAACTGTCGTTCTCCCTGTACAGGGTGTTCTATATTCGTATGTTTTTTGGGGTTTCTAATTTATGAGTAGTGGTACAGAGATGCGGTTTTCAATTACTGTACTTCTTTTTTATGAAACTAAAAATACTAGACTCTTTGTATTTCGTGGAATCAAGAGTAATCCGATAATAAATTAATATTTTGTTTTCAGCTGTGAGCATTGTATATTGTCCGCATCAAACCAAGGACTTTGTTATATTTAACGCTATATCTATGGACGGAAAATCAAAAGTATTCGGAAAAGACAGAGATGGTTACGTAAAATCGGAAGCAATTGTTACAGTGTTTTTGCAGAAGAAGTCTGCCTGTCGCCGATTATACGCAACAATTTTGGGTAAATATTTACCTGGTACTGATTTAGTTATTAGTTATTTTTTTTAACTTTTTTGCAAAGCGGTACGGTGTAGGTTACCCTCCTCTAAAGATAATCTCAATTGACTACTAATGCAATTATATTTATGTAAAAAAAAATGCTGCTTTGTTTTCGATATTCGTTTTTACTCTTAGTAAGAGTATCAATAATTTTGTTTCATGTAAGGTGCTGGTATAAACAGCGATGGATTTAAAAGCGAAGGAATAACGCATCCGTCCATAGAAGGCCAGACGAGGTTAATCAAAACATTGTATAACTTGAAAAATTTGGACGCAAACGAAGTGAATTATGTGGAATTGCATGGAACCGGAACACCAGTAGGAGATGCAGTAGAATGTCAGACCACTGTTGATTGTTTCTGCCAAAACAGAAAAGTATGTGTATTTTTTCTTGGTGAGGGGGAAAATCTTGCATGAGACACCCATAGTTATTTGTTGGTGTCAGCGGGTAGTGTCGGATACAAACCGACTAAAAAAAACGTCTCTCTTCCTTTCACGTTCTTCTAACCGCTCGCGCATTACTTCAGTGAGAAGGGTGCTTAGGAGTTTGCATGCCTTGTAACTCTCTCCTTATTCTTCAGTAACTATCGAATGCAGTTGTACACCGCTTCACACGTTCTTTCGTTGTCCAAAAGGCCTGCCATTATATTTTCTACATTGAATGAAACCTTTGATATTCTTTCATACGCGCCTCTTATATCCCTACATCATCAACTTCAGTACAATATAAACATTCGTCTGTTGTAGAGAGAGTTCTTTCATAGAGATATCTTCGAAAGCATGTCCCGATAGTGCTTGATTGAGGTAGTAATCTACGTCTGCATTGCTTCTCTCTATCTATGACTAAAGTTTAGATATAAGCTTGTATGTCCACCTATCAGATTTTCCTTGCATCCACTGTTCTTGTCATTTGTGCATCAAATTTGCTCTTGCAGTATCTTTCGGTATCTTGTTGTATCTCTCAGCTCACCCTTCTACTAAGAGGTGAATAGGGGTGATACTAGATATTACATTCAACGCGTCTGAGGAAACAGTTCTATATGCACTGCACACTTTTAGGTTCACCTTTCTAGTAATGTATATATTTCAGAAATTTTTGATTGTTGCAGGAAATTTTCGAAACTTTCGGAAACTTTCGGAAATTTATGAAATTTTAGGAAATTTTACAATTTTACATATTTTTTGTTGATACAATAAAGGAATAAATTAGATAGACATTTGATACCAACATGTAAGTGGAAAAAAAAACAATAAACATAATATTAGTTGTTATATTTTTAATAAACAATACATAACTCATAAAAGTCATAAACATAACACATAACAAAAATAATTTGGTAACATTTGTACTTTGTACATAAACCATGAACTATGACTATGAACTTAAAAAAACAAAAAGCACGAAATATAAATTTAAAAAACGTAAAACACAAATAACTGAATTATTCTATTCCTATTTCCTATTATTCTATTAATTATTCTGTCTTCGTCAGTTTCTATTTCCAAATCAGATATATTTGATGTATCATCTGGTTCTGATTTCTGATTCTGAAGGATGGACCTCTACCTCTACGGGTTCTAGTGGTTCTGGAGGAGTTTCATGTTGTTGAATATCATGCTCCATATCCACTTTTCGTTTTTGTAGTAGTAATTTATTGTTATGTGCTACGAACATTATTTTGCCGGCTCTTTGTGCAGTTAAGCGATTCCTTTTTTAGTATGGATAAAACTGTAAGTACTGAAACTTCTCCCAGTGGCTGCAGATGACGTTGGTAAAGACAGCAGAGCAACAGCTATATATTTCAACTGATTATTTTTACACATTGCTTGCCACCAACTTAGACAGTCTACATTTTTAAGTGACATCCAAAAGTAGTCCAGAGCCCATAAACCCGATTTGGCGCAATAATTTGTTACATCTGTAAAAATGGCTTCTTTATTATTGACAAACTGAGGATGTTTGTTGGTGATATTTCATTTAATTATGTAAGAATAGGCATACTTGATACACTTTCGTTAAATTTTTGCTCAATGTCTTGAATTTTGAAAAGAAATTTCTTACAAAATTCGGACTTTTGCGAATATTCGCGATGTTGGGACCGAATATTACGGAAATTTCTGAAATTTCCTGCAAAATTCGAATGGAAATACTCGCTACCAACATCACTACACCTTTCGATGGAAACTCGTTAACTTTTTTTATACGTTACTTTGGACATTGCAACGTGCCACACGGGGGTGCTGTATAGCAATTGTGAGTGTATCACGCTTTGCAGTACTCTTCCTTTTGATGCTTTTGGACTGCCCAATTTAGGCATCATTTTACCCAGAGCTGTAAACGTTTTGTCTGCTTTTACAATAGCCTTGTTTAAATGTTCAGCAAAGGTTAATTTTGAATCCAATCGTATACCGAGATATCTAAGAGCATTTTTTGGAATGGCTGATGTGCCGAGTATTTCAAAAGTTAACGGATGAATCTTTCTTATTATTATTATCCATTAGAGGTTACAAGTATAGCTTCGGTTTTTTCTGGCACCAACAGGAGATTTTTATATTGTAACCAATTTGCTACCCTTTGAAGGCCAGTGTTTGCCATGTTTGTCAATGTATGACAAAGTATGTGTATCTGCTCATCTATATATCTATTTATCTAGCTTTCTCCGGTCTATAGTTGGATATAGATGTCCCCCAATCTTCACTGTTTGTCGGTATGTTCATCGATCTAATTTTTGCATGTTTCTTCAGATTGTTCATCCATCTTATTTAAGTATTCCTCTATTTCCTATAGATTATGATGAGATTCTCAATGATGATACTTGAATTTGAGAGATCTTATTCAATTCAATTTAGCAATATTAATATCATTTTTCTTTATTAATTGAACTCTAGAGTCCTTTATTGATTGGGAGTGTAAAATCTAACATGGGCCATTCAGAAGTATCAGCTGGATTGTGTTCAATTTCAAAGGTTTTGATTGCAATGGAGAGTGAAGCGATACCTGCCAACATTCACTGCGAAAATTTGGATTATACCCTTCCAGGTTTGGATAATGGAAAGCTTAAGGTAATAATTTAAGTTGATTTATCACAGCTATTTTATATATAATTTACTAAGCTAATTTTGATAAGTTGACCATTTCTTTGTACATATTTATATACCAATAAATCTTCTCCCTAGTCAGACTTACTGAAGCAGTCTAGTGGATCCAGTATTTTTTTTCTCACTATTACGAAACCATCCTTTGCCGGAAACACTTCGACCTGTAAAGCCTCTTATGCCTGTCTCCTTTCTATGTACTTCTTTCTGTACTTCTTTTTATATACTTGATAGGATATGAACACAACTCCTCCAGTTTTGGTCTTGCTTTCCCAAATAGAAAGTGTCGCTTACGACCCAGAGCCTCGCAGTGGCTCGCAATGTGCCCTGCTGTTTCAGGATCTTTATCGCATAATCTGCAGTAAAGAATTTCTTTATATAGGTTGAACTTGTCCAGGTAGCACTTGACAGCCAGATATGTCCAGTCAAGAGACTAGGAATTAGCAGTTCCTTTGTGGGTTTAGAATTAGGTCCTTGGATAAAGATGTGCCTGTGCCCCTGTCTGTTTCTCCAATGGACATTCTACTTTTTCCTGATCCAGAGTTTTGCAGTACTACGAGTTACACATTTGGGTATTCCCAGTACTGGCTCAAGACCACCAACCAAGATACCCAGCCGACCAATATATTATAATTCTCATAATCAGTACCTTGCTAGTTCATCGGCTTTTTCATTGCCTTGGATGTCGCTATGGTCAGACATTCAGACTAATTTAATTTATTCTGGATTCTCTCTAATTTTATTCTGGAATTTATTCTGTTTTAATATTATAATTTTTTATATATATATTTGACAGGTAGTTACTGAGAAAACACCGTGGAATGGTGGAATAGTAGCTTTAAACAATTTTGGAATTGGCGGAAGCAACGCTCACGCTGTTTTAAAATCAAACACCAAGTTGAAGAGTCAGTATGATAAATTTGAGCATCGTCTCGTTCACGTATCAGGACGTACTGAGGAGGGCGTAAAATACTATCTGGATCAAGTTAACAAGAATCAAAACGATCAAGAGTTCTTAGCACTACTCGATTCTATTCACAGATTGAATGTAGAAGGACATCTCTATCGTGGGTAAACATTCAAAAATGTATAGTCCGTCTACAAAATATCCGGAAAAAAGAAAGCAAAATTACAATTATCGATATATATTTTTAGGACTTGAGTTAAAAAAACGTCCATGTACACCTGAAACTAGGTCCACTTCATAATGTTCAGTGGCGGTAGTCCAGGCCTGTAAAACTGAGCGAATAAAATCTTGTTCATTTCGTGGAGCTGCTCGTTACATTTCAATCTTCATTAGTCCCCATATGTTTTCAATGGGACTAAGGTCTGGTGAAGCTGCTGGCTATGGAATTGTTGCCAAATAGTGTTCTTGCATCCAAGCTTGAGTATAGGCAGACGTATAGCATCTTGCATTATCCTGCTGAAAATGCCACCCCTCTGGATATAAAACATGAGCCGTTTCAAGAAGAAAACCATTTGAAATATCACAATATTTTAATTATACACAGAGGTGGAGCACCACGCTGAGATATTGCTCCTCAAACCATTATTTTAGTGGGAAATTTTGAAACTTGAACGGCAACATTTTCCACCAAGCTGGAAACAGCTTTCGTCAGAAATAAAAACATTATTAAAATTACCTTCTTGAAAACGTTGACAAAAATCCATTCTTCACTGCCTTTGTAGAGGTGTTATTGCAGGGATTTTTTTTGGCTTCCTTGATATGTAGCCTTGTCTTTTCAGTGACATGCGGACGGTTTCTGGACACACTTTTAATTTTCGCTGACTTCCAAATCTGTTAGCCAATTTGCGAAACACCTAGGCGCGGATTCTGTCTTTCTAATGCCACTAAAGCGTTTAAATTGTTTTCGCAAATCTTCCGCGGTCTTCCTGAAACTGGTCCATGCTTTATGTCTGTGCCATTTTTTATCCTCTTTATTGTCTCATATACTGCACTTTTTCCGAGTTCAGTCAATTGCACTATTTTTAACGTTTCGAACACCTTTTCTATACAAATATTCCACGATTTCTCTTTTTTTTTACTTTCGACATTATTTCTCAAATCTTAAGCCGGTTTACAATCAACAATATTTGACAGATGGTGTTGCCATGCGATTTGGTCATGGCCCACTATCGGCACAACCTACGTGATGGATTACTGTTGGCTTAGAGTGTTACAGAAAAAAAAAATACATTAAAATTAGGAAAAATATAAAATTCCGGATACTTTCTAGACGGACTATATGTATTAAAAAACATGAATACTATAGGACTGTTTTTTACAGATATGCTTTATTAGGAGCTAATGATTTGTCAGAAATCAGTAAAACTGACAGTAAAGGACGTTCAATCTGGTTTATATACAGCGGAATAGGTAGTCAATGGACTGGAATGGGTAAAGACTTGATGAAACTTGATGTTTTCCGAAAAACTTTTAAAAAATGCGCCAAGGCATTACTTCCGTATAACGTAGACTTGGAAAAAGTTATTCTTAGTGACGATAAATCCTTGATGAATAACATAATCAACTGTTTTTCGGCTATAGCTGCTATCGAGGTGGCTATGACGGATGTCTTGAAATCTCTCGGAATTGTACCGAATAATTTTGCCGGTCATTCAGTTGGTGAGGCTGGTGAGTACAGAAGATCCTTAGAAATAATTTAAAATTTAAATAAACATACACTCACCGACACGAAAAACAGGCACCTTTATATTTTAATATATTTTAAAGTTTAACAATATTTGATTCTAGTGGGCCGATTTTAATGATTTTTAAGCAATTTGTAGCTAAATTATCTGACTTTTTAGTACCCCTTTCGCAATCAAAAGCTTTCATCTGTCAATTATACACAGAGAGAAAGATTTAATTTATAGAAGTGGGAGATATTTCTGATAATTAAATAATTTAATTCGTATCGAGCAATTAAATATGTAATTGAAGGAATTCAATTATTTAATTGGTAAATTTAATTGGTTAAAGAAAATCATATTTGCTATAAGTAATATTTTACAATACAGAAAAAAACATGATTTAATTCTCTTAATAATAGTTTATTTGTTTCAGTTGTAACAGTTTATTTTACAGCGAAGAAAATAAGCCTATCTTGTTTGGGGGTCTACACGTGTTTCCGCCCTTAACACGATAATTTTATAGGAAAGTCGTAAAATCTGTTTAGTCTGAGGGACCCTTCTTTTTCTCTGGGGAAAACTAAATATTTTTCTTTTCGACTTAAATCTCACGATCAGCATACCACCAGTTTTGTAACTAAAATTATTTTTTATTTGCGTAAAAACAATATTTTTTATATGCAGAATTAAGATTTAATTGTAAAAGTTTGTTCAATATGCTGTAGGGCACTTGACTTGAAGTATAATCGATTCTCTTGATTCAGCAACACTGGGTTTTCACTTTTTTAACTTCATTGACTTATTACATATGAAAGAACATAATAGATAAGTCTGAATAAGGGTTCGTGAATCTGAAATTTGGAAATAATTATGTCCATCTGGGTTAGCGCATATTTATATGCTTTTGAAATTTAACATACCTTGTGATAATTCGCCTCGTATTAGGTCAACTAAAAACTCATTGTTCGTGTTGACACAAGTCTTTTTCTTCAGCTCCAATGATGCGTCAAACAGAGCAGAGAAGTTCGTAAAAAGATTATTTTCTTTTTCTGGATATTCTATCTCAAAATCTTTTTCACTTTGAAAATTAAGGCGTTTGGTATTATAAAGAAAATCACAATGATAATAAAAAGTAATAATAATAATAACAAAAAGGGCTTACTAGGATATATCCATAATGATACTTCAAAATAGGTCATTCGTTTAACCCTTAACTGGTCCGGTAATAGATATGTATCATAAACGGTCCGGCGTAGTCTGTGGGACTACGCCTTCTAAAAAGTGAAAAAAACACACAAAAACTAAAAAATAACAAATTTTTATTTTATTATATATTATATTATGTATTATTGAACTAATATAGACAAAAATTGGTTCAATTAATATAAACTTTAAGAACATATAGTACAAATTAAAATAACATACATATAAATTTGAAAAAAAAACAATTTGATTTTTACTAAGCTCTAAAAAATTAAACCAAATTACTAACAGTGATTACAATACAGAAATATGTTTTAGTACTATATATAAAAAAAATAAACTATAAAACTGAAGTTAAAGAAAAGGTTTTTAGTTACAGCATGAGGCAAAGTTCATTGTTCTCCTGAACATGTTTTACAAAATGGATTCGTACATTCTAGGCATTAAAAATAATTAAACTAGGACATAACATTGTCTTTAACTAGGATAAGAACTCTGGGATAAGAATATCTCCGTGGGCGTGTTCTGGTTGTACAGGAATTGCAAGTATTCTACCAATTGTAAAGTATATTCATAGATAAATGAAACAAGATTGGAAAGTGCCCGTAAGGACAATGTAAACACTATTTGGCGCTATTCTTGCAACGGTCGCGACCCAAAACATTTGAAAAGTTCGGAGCGGTTCGGCTTTTTCCGGAATTATATCGCCAAATATTGTTTATTCAAATTTATTATTATTTGCTTTTAATTTTATAAATAAAATACAGTGTGTTGCATACAAGAAACTTTATTTTATATAAGGATATGTATGAAATACCTATGAAACATTGGAAACCGACGTTATGCCACGATCCACGATGGTTTTTGCAGTTCACAGTTCACAGCACAGCTTTTTAAGTTTTTAGTGCCACTTTTTCACAATTATCACCAGTTGGAGTAAATAAAACTTGAATTAAACTCACAAGATAGCAATAATTACTTTGAAAATGGACGTTATAAACACTTTTCGGAATTTCTTTAATGAGAGCGGTTTAGATTTTGAAAGATTTTATGATTTTTGAAGATTCTGACTTTGACAAGAGAAAATTATTTCTGTTTTTGTTTGCCGTTGTTCTTAGCGACCGCTATAGCAGCGCCAGATCGCATATAACGGTCGCGACCGAAAATAATTTCGCGACCCAAAATTTTTACGGGCTTTCCAATCTAAACTTGTTGCATTTATCTATGAGTATATTTCTCTGGAATATTTGACATTGTCAAACGCATTTGTCTGGCAGATTGTCATATTGTCACTGTCACAGTCCTCATCATATCATTTTAATAGAGTTTCTTCATAACTAGAGTCTCGTAAACGCACTCTTTTCGAAGGCCTGGCCATATTTTACAAAAGTTTGTCAAACACAAAATCTTACGCAAACGGTCCGGCGTCGTCTGAGAGACTACGGCTTAAGTTGGCTTAAGTAACTTCTGCCATAACTTCTAAAAAACTAATCCAGTTTGGGCATAAATATGGCTATCAGTAGTTGACCGAGAGGGGGAGGATTAGCTGGAATGCCAATTGTGTGGGCGGTCCCAGTAACTAATGAGAATGAGTTAATTATTTGGCGTAGTGTGTCAGACGACGCCGGACCAGTTAAGGGTTAAAATACCGGACACCGTCTGAAAGGTCGAAGTGGCTTACTGAGTACGTCTGAAACTTGTCTGAAACTACTTGTTTCGATCCAATGCTTGGGAACGTCCTCAAACGGTTCGGAATGATGTTCTAGCCAAATTTTGGAATTTAGAGCTACTTCAGATATTTGATCTAAAAAAAAACATGAATATATAACGTGTGATAGTTTTTACAGAATAGTTCTAAACTTCTTCTGAAGTACTAAATTCATCATCGCATCGTTTCTGCTCTGGATTCCATTTTTGGAAGTAGGTACTCCTGCTTCCCTTAAAATGGCCAATTCGTTCTACAATTAACGGACTACCAAGAAATAGACGAACGCCAGTAATATTTTAATTCTAGGAAGCATGATTTAATTGCCACAAGTAAACTAATTTCTAGAATTGTATAATTAATTTTATTCTTCCAATAAAATTATAGTTATTAATATTTTTTTTTTCATTATTATGAAAAATGCAATTTAATTGACGGAATAAAATTTTGGTAAAAATGTTTAATTCTTTGGGTTTTTTATAAACTTAGCAAAGTTTTAGTTGAATAAACAATAATTTTATTGCTGTTACAATACATTTTTCATATCTAAGATTCAAATATTATGACATATATGTCAGTTGCCGTCTAAAATGTCATCTTGATAACAAAAAGTTTGTTATTGTCAAAAGTAGTTAAAATCATGTTAAAATATTAAAATTTATAAGTTATAATTAGATATTTTATATTATTTCAACAACAAACACAATAGTACAGCGTAATGTTGATATGCAGATCCAAAACAAAAAGTGCCGTTATATTTTTCATTTTTTGTTGTCAGCCGCGGAAGTTTCAGTGATTTTAGTGTTGTCGGATATTTTTATTTGTGAAAAAGAAATGTTGCGTTTGGAATGCAAAACTAAAACTGGAAGTTTTATTGCAATGTAAGTAAGCGTTTGTCCATTTTATATTTTACTTTTTTCATACCTACAACAAATATATACAGGGTGCTACAAATTCGAGGTACGCGCATTGGTATCTCGGAAACCGTAATAGATACGAAGATGGTTAAATTGGGGCAAAGTTGCCCCCCCGTCTTGGGATATTCATCAAGATACCATCAAAAAAGTATTAAAATTTTCAAGGATTGCTGAGCTTTTTGGAAAAAACGAATTTTGTTGAAAATCAATTTTATTTTTTCCTACCGTTACTTTTTAGAAAATCAAAAAACTAATTACACATACTTTTAGCCACTTTGTTAAGGCTATCTGATAGTATTTTTAGATTTTCAAATTAGCTGATAGTTTGTGAGATACAGAGGCCGACTTAATTTTCTTAAATACGGACCTGTATTTTTTATTTCAGGTTTTGAAAGAACTCGTTTTTGTGAGTACAATGATATGCCACACTTTATACTTTTTTTTTGTTTTGGATACCTTAACAACAACAAAACTATTTAATTATTATTTAAAATAATTTCAAGTCCGACTCTGGTTTTTAAATTATTTAATCTGATTATATTCATCGCAACAATATTAATCAACGCTAGTTAGCATTGAATGAGGAAAATCGAGCCAATTGAAAGATTTAAATAAATAATATCCCAGTCAGCAATTTAAGCATATTATTTTTAACTTTTTGCCTTGTGAATTTAAAATCTCAGTGTACGATCTAATAATATGCATAATATTAATCAATAATAAGTTATTATAAATAAATCAACTTAAACTAGTTTTTAATGCTCTACATGCTCGAAAGGATTACCACCCTTCCTATTGCACAAATTTATTATTCGTTCAATTTTATTTATAGCTCTTTGAATATATCTTCGTATACTTCCGAATGCATTTTAAACATGTTTAAAAACATTGATTTCACTTTTACAATGACGTAAAGTAATGCTTCCCCCTCCTCTTGGCCTCAGGTCCAGGAACCTCATTGGCCTTTACACTGCTCTACCCTCTACCATTTCCAATCCATCTTCCGGGGAAATGATTTGATTGTTTATTTTATATTATATTTATATTATTTATTTTTATACCACACGTCATTGTTAAGTTCGAACGCTTATCAATATTGTAACGATGAATAGATTAAATATAAAAAAAAAACAGAGCCGGACTTGAAATTAATTTAAATAAATTGTGTTCAAATGTCCGAAACAAAAAAAAGTATAAAGTGTGGCATATCATTGTACTCAGGAGACCGAGTTCTTTCAAAACCTGAAATAAAAAATGCAGGTCCGTATTTAAAAAACTTAAGTTGGCCTCTGTATCTCACAAATTATCAGCTAATTTGAAAATCTAAAAATACTATCAAAAAACCCTAATTAAGTGGCTATGAGAATGAGCAATTAGTTTTTTGATTTTTTAAAAAGTAACGACAGGAAAAAATAAAATTGATTTTCAAAAAAATACTTTTTTTCCAAAAAACTCAGCAATCCTTGAAATTTTTGAAACAGTTTTGATGGCATCTTGGTGAACATCCCAAAGAGCAACTTTGCCCCAATTTAAACATGCTCGTATCTACTATGATTACCGAGATAGCAATGCTCGTACCTCGAATTTGTAGCACCCTGTATACATATATTGAAATTTTATAATTCGTTTTATTTAAAAAATGTTAGAAAACAAGCTTGTAATATTGTAATTGACATAATTGTTATGTAATATATTCCATTTAAATGTAATATATTACTTTACAATTAAAAAAATATAAATTTAAAAATATATACCGGCATTAATTGAAATTTTTTGAGTGCGAACAAACACGAGAGGCGCTTTATTATTTACTTTCATTTCTTAACATGACAGACGAAATTCTAAAGGGGGATGTTTTGTGATTGACGTTTACTCTCGTAGATATGGTTTTAAGTTCTGAATTATCGGCTAGTGCTGCTTTAATTGATCATGGTAGAGATCAACTTTGGAAAAATATCTGCTAGAGTAACTGCCCAACAGATAAGAACATATGATTTTTCAAAGACAGTGACATTACACAAATCACAAACACTATTTTATAGGTCTGTTGACTAGGACTAAAAGCAAAGGCATAGTTTTAATGTAATAAATACGAAAAAAACGTTAATGTCTTCTTCAGAAGCGAATATCTCCAACAAAAATAAAACTAATTGAGGTGAATCAAAAAACAAACTATCAAGAAAATATACACCTAGATGATAAGTTATTATATACGATTTGAAGTTGAACTTTAACCTTCAATAACTTTCAAAGGAGCCGATTAACTTAAAATTCATATCAGACTTTTTTGGAGACCGTTCAATTTCATACAAGAATATGTACAGTACGTCTGTCCGTTCTGTAGCGACGGGGTATCCGTGAGAGGGGAAACAATATTCTCTCGATGTTTTTCATAAAAAATTAGACGACGCGTCCCATCAATAAAAATTCGACAAATTTGCAAGTAGCCAATAAAACGAGTGGGCGGAGCGATTTGCGGTGACGTACTCGTCAAGTCGACGTATAAAATATATTGCTGTTTATTTAAATGTTTTTTGTCCGCATTCCTTTCATAGACACAGATCCAGCAGATGTACTGTATTGATTTTTACAAAACGCTGATTTGTTAGAAATAAAATTCCAAAGAAAAAAAATGTGTGTTCCCCATGTTATTTAAATGGGAAATAAAAAAACACGATGAGGATATTAATATTAAAAGCTCAAACTTTACCAGAATTTTTTTTCATCATCCTGCACGATATTTTCATGATAACTAAAACGAAAAAAAATATTTATTTTTTTGGTGCACCCTACTCTGATATCTCCTAATTAAGCCTTAGAATTTTAGTAAATAAATTTCTTTTAATTTGTACCATTCTAGGATGTGCTTATTGCAACGGTGACCTAACTGCAGAGCAAGCAACTTTGCTAGGATATGCCAGAGGTTATTCCAATATCCAGGCAAATTGCAGAAACGATATGCAAATGGCTGCAGTCGGTTTAAGTAGAAAAGAATGTCTACCATTACTCCCAGAAGGAGTCTACATATCTTGTGTCAATGGACTCAACAGTGTGACAGTTGGAGGAGAAAAACCCACAGTCAAACGTTTTGTTGAAGTTTCATCAAAACGTGGAATTTTTGCGCGATTAGTTGAATCAGCTGGTTACGCTTTTCATACAAAGTACATCGAAAATGCGGTGCCAATTTTCGAGGATTTTGTTAAAGAAGTTATACCAGATCCAAAATTAAGATCCTCAAAATGGATTTCAAGCTCATGGAATGAATTTGATATTGTTAATAATTCAACAGCTAGGTATAATAGTGCTGAATATCATGGAAATAATATCAAAAGTACTGTGCTATTTGATCAGGTGATAAGACGCATTCCGAAAAATGCTATTGTGATTGAAGTGGCACCACACGCATTACTCACTCCAATTTTGAAGAGGGAATTGGGTCCAGCAGTGACTTGCTTGGGATTGGCCAACAGAAGTAGCAACGATAATGTTCAATTCTTATTATCCAACATAGGAAAGTACGTTAATTAAAGCAGACATTCTTCTACAAGTCATGAAATATACGAAGATTTTTTTATAAGAAAATCAACAAAACTTGGTATGCATGTCATCAAAATATTTGACGAATGCACCTCGCAATGTTGCCAAGGCTAGCTTTTTTACTTTGACTTTTGACAATGTTGAATAAAGTTCAAAATTTTATCACCGATTTTTCACTTCAATTTCAGACACATATACAAATATTTTTGGGTGAAGTTTTTTTTACTTGAAATCACTTATAAAAACAACAAAAAAACATCCAGTATATAAAAGCCTCCCTAAACACAGAATCATAAAAAAAATTCTGCGAAAATGCACCATTCTCTTTTTTTCGACTTTAGAAAAACTGAAATCAGTTACATGAAAACGTGTTCTTGCTTTGCATTCTAAGCACTTTTCTTGTGTAGGTATGAACTTAACCTAGTAGGTACTGTAATTTAGACTTCAATACTGTGCCGAGAAAAAAAAACAAAAATAAACCAGCAAACCAAACCATACCAAAACGTACCTAACCAAAACAATCAAAACACGCTAAAACGTCTCTGTTTCCGAATTCTAATTCCAGATTACTTTTCAAATTTTGCTATAGTTTACAGTATTTTATCAATAAATGAAAATGGTACGCTTCTTATGCATTTTCACAGAAAAATTTTTAACACCTGGCCTTATTAACGTCCATGCCCGCTATTCGGTTTAGCGATATCTCTCTATTACGCTGTTTATTCTTATTTTACGCGAGTTTATTTTTGCGCACAGGAAATTTTACTCGTTTGCACATCGTCATAAAAAACAATTTTCGTACCACGAATTAGGGATAATATTTTTATCTGTATACATATAGTATACCTAATCTGTGCTTGAGCCATATTTTTTACATCTACATTATTACTTTGTCTGTGATTATTATCATTACCTACATAACTAAATTAAGTACTAGGAAGTTTTCTGTAGCAAATTTTACCTAGCATTATTTCTAGCATTTAGTGGTAATTATCTTATTACTATGAAAATCGTAGTTTTAACTAAATAAAAGGCAGATTTAATTTCAAATTTTGTCAAATAAAACTCGGAATATAATTTGAAAATTACAAAAGTCAGATTAGAAAAAAAAAATGAGGAAAATTAGATTTGTAACAAAAAAATCTCATAACAACTGGCAACATTTAAAGCCTTTTTTATTGACTAATTTGTTTACTTGATGTATATTGATAATATAAGATTATAAGAAAGAAGAAGCACGCTTTAAAATGCAAACGAAGATTTATTTGTAAAATATTAACTTGGTAATAATTTGGACGTTTTTGATGACATGCACACCAACTGTTACCGATTTTTCTGCACACTTATTCTTTTATATTTCTTATTTAGATTATTTATTAATGGTGGCCAACCTGATTTAACAACATTTTATAACCAAGTGTCATACCCAGTGGGAAAAGGAACTTGTAATATCGGTTCATTAATCAAATGGGATCACAAAGAAAATTGGTATGAAAATAATAAAATTAATATTTTTATTATTACCAATTATTATGTAAATTTTACTTTCAGGAATGTGCCATATTATGATCCGTTGAGTGCTTTTGGTGAACGAATTACAGTAAATACGCAATTACCAAATTATAGATATTTAACTGGTCATTTAGTTGATGGCGATGTGGTCATGCCAGCTATGGCCTATTTGGTAAGAACTTCTTTACCTATTTTATTAGACACATTTAATTATCCTTAATATTGAAAAGGGTCCTATACGCAACAGTATCTAAGAGACTTGAAATGTACAGAGGGTGTTCCATTTTGGTTGAAATCTTGTTATATAATCTTCGTTACTAATGATAATGAAGATAGAAGGGTGGGGTTTGCAAAAACCTGTTCCACTTTTTTGGAATGATGCTGTAAATAACATTTTTATAGCCCTCTTCGTTTTTGAGCTACATGTCTTTTCGAAAATTTTGCAAAATGTGAACGTGTAATAGCGGTTTCGATAAATATCTCATCGAAGAGATTAGATCTGCGATATCTTTCAACATGTTGAACATTTTTAAGTACGCAGACCACAGATTTGGGCGATTTGGTTAACATATATTATATTTCAGGTATTGGTTTGGAGTGTTTTAGCAGAAACATTGGCAAAAGAAGTTAGCAATTTACCTGTAGTATTCCATTCCGTCAAGTTTCTTCGCACAAACCTACTTCTTGGTGACGAAGATCTCGTTTTTTATATTAACATAATGAGAACATCGGGGTACTTTGAAGTATTCCATGGAGAGTCAGTGTGTTGTACAGGAACAATCGCTGCACCAGAAGACATATCGCAGAATTTCCTAAATTTAGACCATAAACCAGAAATTAGAGACCACGATTTGCAGTTAGGTAAGAGTAGTATTTACAAACTACTTCATTTAAGACGTCTGTCATACTCAGGAGAGTTTCAAGGTTTGGAAAGGGCTGATTTAAGTGGAAGTTACGCAGAAGTGTCGTGGAATAAAAGTTTTTCCGCATTTTTGGACAGTTTGTTTCAGTTAGCTCGAATATCTGTTGATCATACTGATCTACTTCTACCGTTTAAAATAGAAAAAATTGTGGTGGATCCTATAAAGCTTTTGTCCGATATATCTGAAGATAGTAACAGTGAGTACTCACTAATATAATTTAATAAACTTCGAAAATACCTTCTGCAGATAAATATAAGTAAAAAAATGTATGAATTCATGTCCTGAAATGCTTCCTTTCGGTGATACAGGGTGTAAACGGTTTATTTTCATTTCGTTTTTTTCAAAATTAATCCAGTAAATGAAGGTTGAAACTATGGCTTAATTCGTTGACCGGGACTTGTGTATCTTTTGGGAAGTAGTTTTAGGGGAAAAATTGACCCAAATAGCCAAAAAATCAGTTTTTCGCAAAAATCTGAAAAATTTTGTAAATTGCATATTCGTATTTTTTATACAGGGTGAGTTTCCTACGATGTTCTCTATGGGTATCTCGGAAACTACTGGAGATAGAGAGTCGGTTAAATGGGGAAAGAATTGCAGTTTTGTGGGGTCATAATTATGCGCCTTTTAGATTTTTCGGCTAATTTTAAAAATTCGGCTATTTTAAAAATTGTCCCTAATGCCATTATAAGCTATTTTAGACAAAAAGTTTTCAGATATAAGAAGATAATTACATCCTTAATGAGATTGTGTCCTCCATTTTTCTCTAAAGCCTTGACTTTTTTTTTGAAATTTTTGACATATGACAAACATATGTTTTTTTTTAAATGGAAACCATAGTTGGCCATGACTTCATAAAAAACGCCATTTCGCTTTTCGCCGATATAAGCTATAATATGTTTTCTTCGAAAAATTACTGAGTTATAGCTAATTCTTATAATTTTGAAACAATTTCACTTAGTTAGCCATGGAAACAAGTTCAATCGTCGGTGCTCTAAGAAATATCAAACTGTCACATCCAAACTTTGTAACTTAAAATAAACAAAAATTGTAAATATCAATTTTTCAGCTGAAGAGAAATGTGTACGATTATTATTGGTTTAACTTTTCTTGACCATACATTTTCGAGGATACGTTGACCGGTGAATGTTGCGTTTTTTAGAGAAAGCTTTAAAAGACATATTAGAAAAATTAAATTAGTTATAGCCAGTTCTTATCTTTCTTGACTAATTTCACTTAGATTACATGGTATTCTTATTTTGTTATGATTTATAACTTATAAATGTCAGAATATCTTATTAAAAGGTTCTTTACAATTTACATTACACGAACTAAAACTTAAAAAAATAATATCACTACATACTCTTCAAGTTATTTTAGAAAATGTTCAAAAAATCCGCCATTGTTTTTAGTTGCATCTTTTTAAAACTGAATTACTACCTATTCTCACAGAAGGACCGGTCGACTTAATTAAACTTCTCTCGTACCGCCACTTCGATTACCTCTCTTAATTCATAAGGTTTTTTGTAAACCTTCTCGTTAACCATACCGCATAAAAATCTTAGGTGATCGAGGCCCATACAATTGGTCCACCTCTTTCTATCTCTGAGTCTAAATAATTATGATATAAATAATGTTTAATATTTCTTTCATTTTAGGGGGGGAGTCATAATGAAAGTCATGTTGGGCCCACTCTATTGATGCGCGAGTATCTACACGCTTTTTTTCATTTGAAAAATTCATATTTACAATTTTTGTTTATTTTAATTCACACAGTTTGGATATGACAGCTTCACATTTCTGAGAGCAACGGCAATTGAACTTGTTTCCATGGCTAACTAAGTGAAATTGTTTAAAAATTATAAGAATAAGCTACAACTCACACAAAGTACGCTACAAAGTAATTTTTCGAACATATTATAGCTTATATCGCCGAAAAGCTTAAAAAATGGCGCTTTTTATGAAGTCATGGCCAAATATGGTTTCCATTTAAAAAAAAACATATGTTTGTGTCATATGTCAAAAATGACAGGCCTTAGAGAAAAATGGACGACACAATCTTATTAATTGTCTAAAATAGCTTATAATGGAATTAGGGACAATTTTTAAAATAGCCGAAATTTGTTTTTTTCGAAATATCTACCCAAGTAGCATTTGGACGTTATCTAACGTCGGGTATACGTCGCGTTCAATAAACCCGACGTTGGGTACCAACGTCGGTTCGACCACCTGACGACCCTTATTTGCACCTAAATGGGGAATACATTTTCGGGTCGCCTCGACGTCGGTATCTGACCTAATAGGGAATGTAATTCTACTAATTACCAACGTCATATTACGTAGGATTTTAGTCACTTAAAATTCGTCGCTAAGCACTTACCTTACGTTTGGTTTCATATTCGCTACCAAGAATACATAAAAACCTAACCAAACTACCTAATTACAAATGGATTCATAATCACTCCTCGAATATAACTATAAGTGCCTATCTAATTTCATATTATAATAATTCTGAATCATTAATCCAGACATCAGTTTTGTCAACGGAAGTCACTTTTTTGATATATCTGATTAAAATACTGTGGAAAACAACGAGCGCCTTCAAAATTAGGTAGATTTATGAAATAAAAATATCTATAAAAAAGTAACTCGCAAAATATTTTTTTAATTTTCTAGCTGGTTTAATCATAAAACTGTACTGTGGTTCCCCCCAAACACAATCTTTTCAATATTATTCTACTAGAAATCGAAATGTGAATATAAATTTTAAAAACAAAAAACGATCTTAAAATGGCTGACAATCGGATACTTGTTAAGAATGGCGGATTTCTGTGTCCGACTTAATATGAACTACCAATATACCAACTCCGACCGGGTCTCCAACGTTAGTCGTCTCACACGACCGAAGTCATCAAACCGGACGACCGGCAATCGTATTATGACGTATATAATTCCAGCGTACGCCACGTAACCTCACTTTGCGTATCAGTGATTTGTGGATTTGTGCAACTATATTTTAGATTTTGTTTTCTCGTTAAAAAAATGGGCAGCCACTTTTTTAAGCCTAACCTCACATGTAGGAGGAGGATGGGGTCTGCTGATTTCCTAAGCTAAAAAATGAAATTAAGATGCATCAGTGTAATGCAGCATCTCTTCCGGATAAAAAGCATTTATGCATGGGTGGAGGCAAGACATCACTACTACTATTATTATTTTGCAAAAGCCTCTACCTCTTTCTGTAAAATGTAGATGAATGTCTAAATGCCTTTTAGTGTTTTTTAGGCATAATAAAAAAATTAAGTTTGTTTACAAAAACTTTTTATTAGGTTATGTTCATGATGTTCATTAGGTCGCAAATGCTACTTAAAGGGTTGTATTTACGGACGTAAATAGAGATACGTAAATTAGGTTATAAATATGAACATAAAATACAACAAAATATAATTGAACGTTAGTTTAGGGATTATCAGTGAGACGTATCCTATTCGGACAATGGGTAGACGTCGGGCTAGTTCAAGTATATGTACGTCGTGCAAGCCAACGTGGGAACGACGTTGGGAAATTAATAAAAATGGTACGTTGTTATTTTGTACGTCGACAGATCGTTGGATTTACCGACTCGGATCCAACGACGTCGCTTTTAATAGAAAAGCGACGTCACCGGTCGTATCACCAGCGCCCGACCTAAATTTGCACAAAGTCCGACGTCGCTTCAGGTCAGATTTAGTTCGAAGTTAGATAGATGCTATTTGGGTAGTAAGCCATGAACTTTTTCAAAAATCTAAAAGGCGCAAATTTATGACCCCATATAACTGCAATTCTTTTCCCATTTAACCGACACTCTATCTCCAGTAGTTTCCGACATACCCATAGAGAACGTCGTAGGAAACTCACCCTGTATTTGTATAAAAAGATGAAGCTTAGGTAATCAATTACTCAATTTTCTCTCTCAAAAGTCTTAATGCTCCGAAGGTAGATTTTATAAGCGTATCATTGATTGATAGGATAAATTGTTTAATAACTCGGCTAGAATTTAATATTTTTTATCATTCAAAGATTGTTTAAAAGGTAGAATCAACAGTTATCAAATTTTAAATGTTGTCATATTTTATGATAATAAAAAACCGGGCAAACCATTTCTTGGCCCAAAAATTTTCAGATTCTTACAAACTTATTCATATTTTCACTAATAATAACTTATTTGTCAAGATTTTCTTTGAACAGTTTCTTAGAGTTTCTATAAGCAACTCACAAAACCAAAACAAAACCACAACAATACACTTAACTTTGAAGTATTTGACACCAAACTCACAAAGTTTGAAGTATTTGTTTAATCACATTTTAATAAAAAAACAACTATTGGTGAGTGGCCTTTTCCGCTTCTTTGGGATTTCCGGAAAGTGTTGTGAAACAAAAGAAAATTGCATAATTACGACTAGTCAAATTGCTTTTTTTACAAACAACTTTACGAAAAAAAGTGTCAGGGTAATATTTAGCTAAGGACCCCATCTTCAATTTGATCATGAAAATCATCTACATGCCATATATCGGTCAATATTGGCGGAAAACCCGTTCTTTGACCTTTCAGTTTCGTTTTTAAGCGTTTTCTAGGGATTTTGCGAAAAAAGTATCAGGACCTTTATTGTAGATAATATCCTAAGCTTCATTTTTTATTCCAAGAATTTTTTTGTAAATTATATATTTTCGTAGATATTTGCGAAATACTGATTTTTCGGCCATTTGGGATCATTTTTTCAGCCAAAGCTTACCGAGCACGGTGGCGTTACAATTGTCCCCCAAAAACTATTCCCCAAGAGGTACACAATCCGCCTAAGAAGTCGTCAAGAGATTTGGGTCTTTTCGTGTCCTTATTTACTGGAGTAAAAGTATTTTAGGACATGTATTTATACGAACTTTTTTACTTATTTTTATCTGCAAAATTTGTTGTCAAAGTTTCCCGATTACCATTCGGACTGTATAATTCGGATCCTGTATAATTACTTGTTTTAGTAACTTGGGCATATTACAATAGAAACCGAAATGTCATTAGATCCGCTGGTGTAGAAATAACTAATTTTGAATTGACATCAGTTCCAAAGAAAGGTGTTACTCAAAAACCACCAGTCATAACCAGACATACATTCGTGCCTTATCTACAAAATCCCGAATCCATTACAAATTTTCGTACTGCTTTAAACATAGCTCTAGAAATTGGTTTTGAGAATATCAAAGGAGTTAATTTGGATGTTCGAAGTAACATAACAGCAGACGAAAATAAATTTATAATGAAAACGTTGATGGAGGTTTTAGCAGATGAACCATATGCTAAAGTTAATTTTGTCGATGATACCTGGATGAATTGGGACTGTATTATAACCGACACTTTAGATATTGAAGTAACTACGTTAATAAATAACTGTTTTATCTTGTACGTAGGAACAGATCCAGGTCTAAATAGTCAGTGTGAGCTGATTTATTCATCTATTTGTGAAACGGAAGGTAAGATACTTTTGAAACTTTAATCAGTTGACACTCATCAATAGTCAGATGTATCAATGATCGTTATCAATTAAAAACTAATCTATGGTTACTAGGATAAAGTAACCTAAGACTACTAGGATTATATACTAGAGCAAGGCTTGTGAAAAAGTTGGGTGTAGTCAAGCGTGAGATTGTTCATTGAGAACGCCTGCATATCATGGAGATTTCTATTATACTTGGATCTTGGATTGCTAAAGATGTTATTATAATTTGTTATACAAATGGCTTCTTTGAATTTGTGTTTCCTTACTATGAGTTTCCCTCTGGACAATTCGGGCTTTCAACCACTTTAAGTTGTGTTGTTTGGACCAATGTAGATGTCAGTCTAACCAATTTAGAATGTCAGTCTAACAAGATTTTATTATTTTAGGTGTTATTTTGTTAATTCTACAAACTGGAATTTAGGATACAAAAAAATAAAACTTCTTCTTGTTCTTCATACGTTAGGACCAAGTCCTGTGTTTTCTTCAATGGTTTCCTAAGAACAATTGGGATGATGAAAACCAGCTTTCATACCGGTGGTCATTCCGGCGCGGCGGTCGAGGTGTGTTGGGTCTTTTCTCCTTGGCAATTTTCGCTAACCGCTCATTTGGCATCCTGTCAACATGGTCTCTCCACTCTCTTCTCCTGTTTCTTGCCCATCTTATTACATCCTGTACTTCGCATGTTTCTCTTATATCCTCACTTCGTTTCCGGTCATATAAGGTATATCCTGTAATTGATCTAAGTGTTCGCATTTCTGTTATTCTTAGGAGCTGTTTTGTGGTTGTGTTCTCTGCTCTAGTCTCTATTGCATATGTCATAATCGGTCACACGCACCTTATAAATTCTAAATTTGCTTCTGACGCTGATATATTTATTTCGCCAAATTATATCCCTTAAATATCCTGATATTAATGATGCCTTTGTTGTTTGGGTTTTTACTTCCTCTCTGAGATTCCTAGTGCTTGTTATATTTGCTCATAGATATTTAAATGACATCACTTGTTCTACACTCTGATCATAGATTTCGAGTTTGCATCTCTTAGGCTCTCTAGATATTGTAAGGAATTTTGTTTTTTTCACAGATATTTGCATGTTAAATAGATTTTTTGTCACCGTTTGTTGGAACTTATATAGAAGATTTTGTAAGTTATCTTCGTTTTCAGTTATGAGTACTGCATCGTCAGCATAGCATATTATTTTTATTTTTTTTATCTCCCAGTCCATATCCCAGCTTGCTTTACTTCATTTATGATTTCGTTCATTACGATGTTGAACAGGGTTGGGCTTAAACTATCTCTTTGTCTGATTCCGGTTGTCACAGCTATTTTTCTGCTTAGTTTATTGGCCGCTCTTACATATGTGTAGTTCTCAGTATTCAACTCTTCGATAACTTTTATAATATTTGACTGAATTCTCCTTTTTTACAGTATGTTTATGACATCAGTTAATTGAACCTTATCGAATGACTGGGTACGATCAACGAATTACATAAAAGCTGTCTTATTAAACTCTATGGCTTTTTCAATTATTTGGCGGATGATAAATAATATGGCATCTATTGCAGACCTGTTATTTTTAAATCCTTGTTGTTCTTCACAAATTCCGGTTGACATTACTTCTTCTGCTAAAATTTTAGTAAACAGTTTTTGTACGACATGACACTCATCAAACTGATACCCCGGTAGTTTTGTGGATCTGCTTTTTCTCCTTTTTTAAAGATTGGTATCAAAATGCTTTCTTTTTATTCGGATGGTATATTCTTGTCTGTAAGTATTTTGTTAACGAGAATCTGTAACTCACCTCTCTTTATTTCATATATGCCTGGGGTTTTTCTGTTTTTTAATGTCGTTACCATTTTCTGTATTTTCTCCATAGGAGTGGTTCAAATTTGGGGTTGGTTAACATTTTCGCTGTCATTATGTATTTGAAAATATAAAGAATTGGAAAAAATACAACTAAAGCAAATAAAAAGTTTTTATGAACTATTGCATTACAATTAAGAATTATATTATCATCAGTGCATCAATTAATACATATCACTTTTTTGTATAAATATAAAGGAAATTATAAATTTGTGGTATTCTAAAATATTTTGATACTTTAAATGTTTTTGATTTTTTACTTTAGTAAATTAATATTAACCAAATGTCAACTATACTTTTCTTTCTGTTTTCAGATAATATATATTTATTAAGATATATAAACAACACTTCTCCTACATCAATTATAATTATTGTTAGCAACTCAGAATTTGGATGGCTAGAAAAAGTCAAATCAGCTATACAAAACAAAACAGATGTAGTATATCTCGTAAATAACGGTGATGATATTAGTGGTTCTATGGGATTAGTACGTAGTTTAAATTTAGAACCCATTCTAAACACCTGGTTCAAGTGCATTTTCATTGATGATCCCAAATCTGAAAGTTTTTCTCTCGATCATCCGTTTTACGCGAAACAAGTTAAAAAGAATTTGGCATGCAATGTATTGAGAAATGGGGTTTGGGGTAGTTATAGGTATGTTCCACTGGAATTGATGAAGGAGATGAAAGTCTCGAGTGCTTGTAGTATCGCTCGGGTACCTGGAGATTTGACAACAATGACCTGGATAGAACAGTCGCCAGAATGTGAAAGGTAACTACAATTTTTCTTCCTAAATATTAAGAGGTTTCCCTATGCCGAAAACCCTACCTATTGAGTTAGTCTCCTTTCTATGTCTACACCCAGTCTCTTATCCCTTTGTCCTGCACCAGCTTTTGCAGGGCCTTGTTAGGATGAGAGCATATAGTTTCTCTGATTCGAGCATTGCTTTTCGAAACAGAAAATGTCACGGCTTCGCAGCTACATAATATGTGTTCTGCAGCTTCAGGATTTTTAGCTTTAGATCTTAAAAAGGTAGGTACGTAAATATTTTTATAGCCAGAGTCTGCAACCAAGACTTCTCAACAAGCGAAATTTTATTATTGCAACATTGCCAAAACTTTGTAAAGCAAGGTGCTACATTACTTTTTTTGATTGCCTGGAGGTTATATCAAAATTTGTTTAAATAAAAAATAAAAGAAACCATTTTCTACAAACTTTTTTGTCTCAAAAAATGGCTTGTTGTGTCAAAAGGACGACTTTTTCAATACATGATCAAAAAGACGACTGTCCTTTGAAATGGAAGACGGTTGGCAACTCAAGTATTTAGTTACTCTTTAATGTTTCTTTTGCAACCTTCCATCAACCACGACACAACGTTTAGAAATCAACATTATAAAGCAAGCTGTTTGGGGATTGATTGTAATGTTGCATCTGTAATGTGAGATTTTTTGCTTGGGGGTTCTTTTATATGGACAGAGCTTATTCAATTAGCACTTATCACATACACACAGCCATATCTCCTGCCAAGAGACTGGCTCTTTTAATCCTTACATTTTTCCTGCTGAGCATTAGCGTTACCTATGTGGTTTTACAGTTAGGTTCTTGGATTCTTGTCTGTTTCTCCTGTATATTTTATTTAAAGTATGATATTATGATTATTGTTCTTCCATTTAGGAACTTCCTAATTTGTGAAAATTTTTTAGACTCTGGAATAACTCTCAATATGTGTATGTCTATTATGGTGGCATCACAAATATGGCGGTTTCAGAAAAGTCCCACTCGAGAAACAGATCGAGAGAATTTAGTCCAACAGGAATAGAATACGCTGGTATAACTAAAGAAGGAAAACGAGTTATGGGATTGTCAAATAATACAATAGCGTTACAAACAGTAACTGATCCAATATTTACGTGGAACGTTCCAGATTACTGGACTTTGGAACAAGCGGCATCTGTACCTTCTGCTTATATTGCTGTATGTACACTTTATTTTTGATCGTATATTTCATATTAGCAAAAAGTAATAAAGCTAGTAATAAAGGTTATTGTTAATATTTATTATAATACAGTAGACAGTAATTCGTAGTATTGAAACTAAAAAAAAAATAGAACTTCTAGTATCTTTATTTAATTTAAACAACGTTTTGGCAAAGTATGAACTAATGTAAACCCTTGCTAAAGCAAGGCTAAACCTTGCTTGGCCCTAAAACTTTGTTCAGAACATTAAAATTAGCGGAATAAATTAGTGGTTTCAATTAGTGTAGAAGTTTAGTGGTAGTTTAGTGGTAAAATTAGTGGTAGTCATTTTCAATTAGTACAAACTTTTAACTTTTGCCACTAATTATATTTGAACATTTGCGAATAATGTAATTTTAACTTTTGATTATCGTCCGTCAAGAGTAATTCTCAAGAGTAGAAATCAAAAGTATATTGTTTATATATTACGGACATAAAAAAACGTGTATTCAAAAAGGTGAAACAATGGAGATAACGAATATGTGTAAATATAAATAAATAAAAAAGTGGAAGTTCGAAGAAATTATTTCAATATTAAAGTATTCAATTTTAGAGTTACTATGCATTAATTGACAGAGGTAGATTGGAAGGGGGAGAATCTATACTAATACACGCTGGTGGCAGAGATGTCGGCTTGGCAGCAATTACCATTGCTTTAAGCATATACTGTGAAGTGTACACAACAGTTGGGTCAGAAGAAGAGAAAATATTTGTTCTTGAACTGTTTCCCAAATTGAAATCTAAAAACATAGGTAACATAAACTAATTTTTATTTGTTTTAAATTTTAATAACAACATAAAACAATACACCAAAACAATTTACTGTTGCACTGATGGACACGCGTTTAATCATGAGCAGATACGCTAGTCCAGTACAATAGTGAATTGTTTTGGCGTATTGTTGTAAATTAGTGCTTTATTTTGCTGTTGTAGCATCAAATGTTCCAACCCTCGATTATTGTAAATGAACTGTAATGGCACAGTAAAATGTTTATGAGCGATCTTTTTTTGTAGGTAGTTACCAAAATGGTTCTTTTGAACAATTAATAAAGGAAAGAACAAATGGAAAAGGAGTTAATGTTGTATTCAATTCTTTAACAAAAGATTTATTCCAAGCATCTGCAAGATGCCTAGCTTATGGGGGAAGATTTCTGGATATAGGGGATTTTAATTCTTTGAAAGATTTACAAATTCCTTCCGGTCTGATTGCGAAAAATTCGAGTTTCCACTCAGTGCATATTGATGCCTTATTAACTGATAAAACGGAAGTTAAGCAAAGAGTTTGTAAACTTCTCTCTGAAGGTTTTTAGTTTTATTGGTCCAGAAATTTCTATCTTAATTTATACTAACATTTTCTCTAGGACTTATGAAACATGTTGTTCAACCTTTACCACGATCTCTTTTTGAAGAAGATCAAATAGATGATGCTTTTAAACTGATGTCTAGTAATAAATACATCGGAAAAATATTGATTAAAATTCGAAATGAAGATTCCAAAACTATCCAGTCGCCTCAAAGATTTATACCTGCCTTGAGAAGACTCTATTTCTCATCAATTGGAACTTATATTTTAATAGGAGGTCTGGGAGGTTTTGGTCTGGAATTAACACAATTTTTGATCAACAGGGGAGCTAGGAAGATAATTTTAAACTCCAGACGTGGCCTGTCCAATGGATATCAGCGGTATTGTTTGAAAAAATGGTCCCTTGGTCAAGACGTTCGTGTTATAATTAATACAGATGACACATCTACGTTAGAGGGCGCTCGAAGTTTAGTTGAACTTGGTAAAAGTATGGGTCCTGTAAAAGGTAAGATATTTTTAGTAAATTCCTGTTACAATATGTTATGTAATTATTAAGGCTTTAGTTCCTAGTTAGTGGCTATCAGCCTGTTTCACTACGACCTTTACAGATATATTGGTGTCCTCTTCCAGGTTACATTCTCCAGTCCTATCTTTTTCAAAAAGTCTAGCAATTTGGAGACTGAACCCATATCCATATAGCTCTTTGTAAATCTCTTATCATGACCTAGTCTAAAGGACGGTCTAATTGCCAGACTATGCCATTCGCATAAAGTATGTTCTGTCCATTCGTATTCAAATTGACTTAGATAGATTCAGCTTTAGATGTTTATTCAACTTACACCTGTTACACCCTGTTAGTAGACCTATTACAGCTTCGATTATACAGAGTAACATCATACATCTGGGGTCTTCAATATACAAAATCTTTAACTGATTTATAAAAAATCTTTTATAAGTTCTTATCGTTAGTTTTCTCCAAAGTTGAGTGATTGTAATCTTTGAACACGTGAAAATAATGCTAGACCGCAAAAATGTTGCATGCTGGATCTTGGTTTTGTCTATCTGTTCCACTGATTGGTTTTAATCTTGGTTTTGATCTAACACTAATCCTGTTTGCGGCCCTGGTCTTGCTCTTTGTATAAGACCATATACAGGGTGAGTCTTTAATATCGATCCCAGAAATACGTTTACGAGGTTATTTTTCCAAAATTTGGATTTTTTTAAAATTTTTATTAATTTTTATTTAAAAACATAACATCTTCATAAAAAATGTCTAGGTATACCTTTGTGGCGGAGTAATCTCCTAAAAAAAGTCCTATGGGTATTTCGCCACTGTAAGAAAATCTACAAAATAAAATAGTTATTTTTTTGGCCTATCGGACAGAAAATGCATAACGTTTCGGGAAGTATATCTCTACCCGTCGTCGGAAGCAAAAAAACACAAAGAAAAAACTATTTAAAATATCTAAATGCAACTATTCGAGAGCACTTTAGTTTTTTTACGATTTAACAGATACATATATGTATAAATATATACGGGATTTGATTAGACATGGGTTGTATATTAATCAAGCATACAGCTACTGCTGCTTTCCCGTTCGCCTTCGCCAAACCTCTCTATCAAATGCATCCAGTTCTTCCAGCTGTCTGGATGCCATCGCTGGCCTGATTGTGTTGTTCCACGAGCTTCTTGGTCTGCCTCGCTTTCTTTTTTGTGGAGGATTCCGCGGAAACTGACGTTTCGGTCATCAATCTTCCGGCACTCTTAATAGATGGCCAAACCACTTGAGACCTCTGATTTTGACTCTGTCTATAATTGTCTCTGGAGCATTCATTCGGTGTCTGATCTTTATGTTGGTAATTTGTCGGTCCATTTTCGATACACCTTCGCTCCTTCTGAGATAGTCTATTTCGACGGCTGTAAGTCTCCGTTTCATTTCGGCTGTTAGAGCCCATACTTCGCAACCATAGTACACCACAGATTCAACCAAGATTTGTCCCAGCCGTTTTTTGGTTTTAAGAGAGAGATGCTGAGAGAGATCAAACAGATACATCTATATACTAAATATAGTATAGTGGCGAAATATCCATAGGACTCTTTTGAAGAGATAAAATCTTCATAATATGGCAAAATAGGTAGAAAATCCAGAAATGATCCAGTCGTTCACAAAATTTAAGCAAAAAATCATTTTTTTTTATTTTCAAAGTAAAATATCTTCGTTATTTTGGACTTATTTGAAAATCGGTAAAAAGAATATATGTTTCTTTTATCGAGATCTACCAGCCCTGAAAATATTTGAACTTATTTAAGACTCGAAACGGAAATATTCTACTTTAAACAAAAAAAAAATCCGCAAGATCGCAAGAGCTTCGCATCCTGGGTCGTGGTCTTGGTATTGCGTAGATCTTGCACTGGTCGGTCTTGGTCTACAAGATGTAACATTAAACTAAGGCCAAGACTACTCTCACTCACCAGCATCAACTTGCTTATGATGTAAATACATCTTTAACATTCATTTTAGGTATTTTTAATGTATCATTACTGCTTAACGATGCACTCTTTGTCAACCACAACATAGAATCATTTAAGGCAGCATTCAAATCTAAGATTAATTCTGGATTGAACATGGACCTCTTGACAAAGTAATTATACAATTTGATTAATATCACTTATTAGGTATTCCCAAACTGTTAATATTTTAGGAAATACTGCCCTGAATTAGAACATTTTGTGATGTTCAGTTCGATATCCAGCGGAAGAGGTAACCCGGGCCAAACAAACTACGCAATGGCAAATTCTGCTCTTGAACGATTGTGTGAAAGAAGAAGTTCAGCTGGGCTTCCAGCATTGGCAGTACTGTTTGCCTATATAGCTGATGTAGGAGTTGTCGTAGATGCTCAAAAAAGTAACAAGGTATTACGTATTAAAAAAACTAAGGTTTTATACTTAAGATATAATTAATTTTTGTAGTCGTTTAACATGTTCCATCTTGAAACTCAAAGAATCGATTCGTGCTTGGATGTTTTGGAGTCATTTATGCTGCAGTCTACAACTGTTGTATCATCCTTCGTTGTAGCCGATAAAAATGTAGACCCTAATGCGACGAAGAGATCTTTGGTAGAGACAGTGGCCCAAATTATTGGAATAAGGAATATAGGTAATATATACAAGGTTGTTCACCACATACGACACGGAGTATTGTAGCGAAACGATTAGATTTTTACAAATTGTAAGTTTTGGCTTCGTTGAAGGACTATCAGAGGTACAATCTAAAAATAATTTTACAAGATACAGAGTGTCCCAAATAAGTAAAAAATATTATAGTTGTATTTTTTTAAACGGATCACCCTGTATATTTTACGTGAATCAGATGTACAATTTAATTGTTTATCAAATCGTATTATACCATCTTCACCTATCTCTTCAAGTTTTCGTAGAACATGCATTTTCTTATAATTTAGACCTCATTTATATATATATATATATATATATATATATATATATATATATATATATATATATATATATATATATATATATATATATATATATATATATATATATATATATATATATATATATATAGGTATATATATATATATATATATATATATAAATGTAAACCTATATTAATTACTAGCTTTAAACGGCAATAACTTGTTTAATTTAAATAGAATAAATATTTTACATGAATCAGATGTACAATTTAATTGTTTATCAAATCGTATTATACCATTTTTACCAATCTCTTCAAGTTTTCGTAGAACATGCATTTTCTAATAATATAGACCTCATTTATCACTACACCCATGGAATATTGACATTTTAGATATTTTTAAAGCAGCATATGTACAAAATGTACAGGTGGTAAAATAATAATATTGCAAGGGCCATTTGTTTACAAAAAAGAAAATTATTTAAATATTTGTAAAGAGTATACCAATGAAATCAAAATAAAAACACTAACTCACCTGGCACCAAAACACTTAGTTCCGTTGACCGTGAAGCCATCGAAGATTACAGTTGGTGTGTGGTGATTTAATGTTTATTTACTAATAATAACACCAAGGTTCCAACCCTCAACTGTAATAGTATCAAATTATTACTAATAATTTATTTAATATACCACCATTATTTCCACTTAAAATTAATTATTAAAATGTTTGTTAAATTATTATATTGTAGTTGACTCAAATCAGCCACAATAATAAGTTATGAAAATGAACGTTTCTGTTGTTATAAATAAGCATTTGTCAAAAAATTAAATAAAATTTACTTTTTTTACTGTTACTTTTACTACACTGTCTAATACACATGCAAAATTCAGTTTTTAGTATTTGGAGTAATTATTATTAATCGACGTAAGCAAATCAATGTACTGAAATAATTAATTTGAATACTGGGATCATATTAATTGGTTCTCTTTAAAAATATATAAATGAGGTCTATATTATAAGACATTTTAGATTTTTTTAATCAACGTAAACCGTCAATTAATGTACTGAAATAATTAATTTGAATACTGGGATCATTATCTTTAAAAATAATCTAAAATATCAATATTCCATGGGTATAGTGATAAATGAGGTCTAAATTATAAGAAAATGCATTTTCTACGAAAACTTGAAGAGATAGGTAAAAACTGGTATAATACAATTTGATAGAAAATTAAATTGTGCATCTGATTGTCCTAAAATATACGGGATGTTCCATTTAAATTAAACAACTTATTGTCGTTTAAAGCTATTAATTATTTAATATAAATTTTTAGACAGTCTGTATAAGGTAGTAGTATTGTTATTATTGCAAAACAATATCTGATCAATAAATAAACTTCAGTTAATATTTAGTATTAAACACTTCGATACCCTTGGAGAAATAAAGCCTTAAAATTTTTACTGCAATTTCATAAAATTGAAGATATTTTAAAAACGGTAAGGTTTAAGTGTGATAAACCTTAATGAAATTTACCTTTATTTCAATCGTAGAATCTAAAAATAAAATAATATTCAGGGTGTTCTATTTGAAAAAATAAAACTATAATAATTTCTACTTATTTGGGACACTCTGTATCTTGTAAAAATATTTTTAAATTGTAGCTCTAATAGTCCTTCAACGAACCCAAAACTTACAATTTGTAAAAATCTAATCGTTTAGCTACAATACTCCGTGTCGTATGTGATGAACAACCCTGTATAAGTAGTATAAGGTAATAATCTTAAAAATACTCAATTAACTTTTTCTACTAATTGAAAATGTCTACCACTAATTTTGACGTTCTAAATTACATTACGTACTGCTTACATTAAAATTAGAGGACACAACTTCTACGTTAATTGAAATCACTAATTTCGAAATTTTGACTGAAGCCTTAAGCTTCATTCAGAAGCTCGCAATTAGTGGAATAAATTAGTGGTTTCAATTACACTTTATACTTTTCAGTTTACGATCATTCACAATGTTTAAAAAATACAATTAAAATTAATAGAATATCCTAGCGTCTTGACAGCTTGCGTTAGTCAGTTGTATCTACAGAGAAAGCTTAATATTTAGCTTATTAAACGATCAACTTTTGATTTATAACCACAATTTCTCTTGACGGAAGATAATCAAAGGCCAAAATGACATTTCTCGCAAATTCTGAAGTATAATTAGTGGAAAAATTAAAAGTTTCATAACTTTTTCTACTAATTGAAAATGTCTACCACTAATTTTGGCGTTCTGAATGCTTACGTTGAAATTAAAGAAACAAATTTCTATGCTAATTGAAACCACTAAATGCGAGGTTCTGAATGAATATTTAATCGTAAAACTACTCAAAATATATATGTCCATTTAACATTTAACGTCATTTATGACTATTTGACTGCCCGTGAGATAACAGCGACTATACCTATTTCAGATACAATTGATGTGAACCAGAGTTTATCAAAACTGGGGCTTGATTCCTTGATGGCGGGAGAAATACAACAAGTGATGCTTAAAACGTTTAACATTAACATGAAAATACTACAACTAAGAAAGTTGACATTCGCAGCATTACAAGAAATGTCCTAGAAGGAATGAATGATGTGAAATTTAATTTATTTTTAAGGCTGATGTAATTTAAATTCTCATATTATAATAACTAAGAAAATGTAAATAATTAGGATTTAGTATGGATATATTTATAATGAATAAAACAAAAGAATTAGAATATACACACAATAGTACAAACCATGTACAAACCTACAAGGTGACTCAGGCTTCTGGATTCAAAAAAAAGCTCTATATTAGGTTTTTGGTTTGTGATTTTCATTTCAATTTTTTTACATAATAATGTAATGGTAACGCACATTTTAAAAATTTGTACATTATTAAATGGAATACTATATTTTTAGCTCATTGGATTTGCCATTAAATTTTCATTCCAAAAATACTATAATGTCATACCGAGTAGTTTTTGAAATATAACCGTTTTTAAACTAAATTTATTGCTTATTTAAAGCCCTCTCAAAATGCTAAATTTGAATTTATGAAGAATTTGTGTCAAGGCCGTGACATTGACACGACATGACCTTGGTCATGCCTTTACGTACGAGCTAGCGGGAAAAAAAGTGGTAAAGATCGCGTAAACACCAAAAAACATTTGATTTAAAGCTAAGAAAAGCATTATAATAAACTTGATACTCTACCTGAGTACCAATATCCTCTGGTTGTGCGTTAGAAAGTACATTTTCATTCATATTTTCATCGATAGGTTTGTAGCTTCTGAATAACCAGCCTAGGTAAAGCATTTAGATCATTTATTAGCTCAGAATTAGAATTATTAGGGTTAAAATACTTGCATTTTCATTGGAGGACATCTTCATATTTATTTCAAACCAATAATCAACGACATATGTCGATATGATAGGTTATTCTAATTAGAGTGTCATTTTCTATCGAAGAAAGTAAAGAAATACCGAGGATGTCATATAAAAAAGTTGTAGTCATTTCCGGTGAAACAGGAAGTGACCGAAAACAATTGAATACGTCATTCAATCATGATTTATGTTATGTAGGGTAGACGCACCATTTGTGGCCATTGACCCTGTTGTAGCCACTTCTTTAAAAAATCTTAAAAATTAAGCTTTTTCACGTCATTGTGACAACTGTGCATCTATAATTTTCTAAATGGATATATCGAGCGCCATACCCAATAGAAAATTATTCAAATTTGGTGTAAAAGTCGACCGCTAATTCAATAAGTAGTAGCACATATTTACTAGAGGCTGTTTTCTTAACCCATTTCTTAAGGATAGCTTGGTAAGTAGAACTGAAATTATTAAGAATAATCTGTATTGGGGTTTAATTTTCCATGATTTTTATAAATATTATACATCTGGCAACTATTTTTTAAATTTATTATATTTAAATAATTAATATTTAGGAATTATTTCTGTGGTCACAAAAGGTGTAATTAAATTTTAATTATGTTCTACTTGTAGCCAGGTTATGGCCAAAAATGGTGCAATCGAAATCTAGTTGTGGCCACATACTATTTAGCTTTAAAATGTAAGTGTAAACGACGGACAACATAAGATGAAGAACATTTTATTTGCAATTTATTCCAAACCTAAATATAATAATATCCCAAATACAATTATCGACCAAGATTTCCAATCTGAATATATACCGTCATCAAATTTTCTTTCAGATGAGAAAACTAATATAGAAAATAATATAGATATAGAACTAGATGGAATAAAAATGAACGAATGCGATGAAAATAAAAATTATGAGAATTCAAAGGAAGACGATTCAGAACCACTAGATTAAACCATACAGGAAAAGAAGACTAAGTAGACATAATTATAAACTTAAGGAAATTGTTAATCTTTAAAAAGAAAGAGGCTAAAATCCTATTATAAGTGGATTGAATTAATGAAGGGAAAGGAGATAAAACAGAAACTGGCAATAAAAACTTTAAAAAAAGAAAACAATTTAAAGAAAATAAAGATCTTTCTAGTAGAAATGAATTGCTAACGATATTAACGTATACGTTGAAACGAACTAACGCCAGTTTAAACTTTTGTGACATCTCCTGAATTAAATATAGGAAATTTTATTATTTTAAAATACGGGAATTAGTTCCATCCAGGAAAAATCTTACAAATTGAAAATAATGAATATTATAGCTGCGCAATGGTTCAGATCTGCGGCAATTGGAAGTAAAAATGACTTGCTTTGGTACAAACTGAGTGATATAACAATGAAAATTGATGAATCTAAAAAAATCAATTCAAGAGGCATATATGTGGCACCTGATAAATATTCAAGAATATTCTGATAAATTAGTGTACTTTGCTTATTGTTCCTCAAATTAGTATTAATATGTACCTAATTTTTATTTAACATTTGTATAACATAAACAAAAAGCAAAATAAGGTATTAGGTATCACTTGATTTGTTTTAAGAATTATAGGAATAAACGTTCATGTTTTTTTTGTTAAAAATAAAAGCAATTACCAAATGTCTCCTTTTATCTCTTTTTTTTAAGAAATTAATAAAAAAAATAATAGTATTTGCTTAGTTACGTGCAAAACTCAATATAGAGAATATTTTTGCAAGAATGTGGCCACAAATGGTAGTAAATGTGGCCACATTTGGCACAAGGTGGCCACAAATGGGAAAAATCGTATGTTTTCATAAAATGTTTATTTTCTGTTTATTAAGAATACAGATCTTTACAATAAAAGCAGATTTTGAAAGAAAAATGTTTGAAGAAGCACCAAAAATTTTGGTTTATCTCCAAAATTAACTACAAATCATTTTTCTGATAAGTCAAACTCTAAAAATCCCTTAATCTGGCCACAACCGGTGCTTCTACCCTACTAATGTGCTAAATCTCTAAAAAGTTATGGGGTGAGCAAAAGTACTTCCCACTGCGTTTTTTTTCCTTTAGACTCTTTTGAGATACACCTGGTATATTAATTTAAATTCTTTCAAAATAGTCAAGTGAATTTAAATTGTTTTTATTTTCATAAAACCTTGAATTTTGGTTTTTGATAATATAGAATATAGACAGAATTTATAATTAATTAATACATATCTATTGTTAATCTTATTTTGGATTAAGTAAAAAATAGCCCGAAAAAATATTTCCATATTTTTGGTTTGTCTAATAGGTATATAAGGAATTGAAAAACATAAGTGCTGGCTCTTTTTTATTTTGGTATTAGTTATATACTTTTGTGTTAAAATGTCTGAAGAAATTGTAATATCTGGTATAGCCGGAAGGTATCCAGAATGTGACAGTTTTAATGAATTTAAGGAAGCTCTATTTAGCGGCAAGGATTTGATTACTGAAGATAACCGAAGATTTGAACCAGGTAAAGTTATTGTTTATAATAGGAAAAAAATAGCGTCAAATTACCTTGGAAATGATGATCGATGACTTGGAAGATGCTTTCTTTCTCTTGCCGATTCCATATTTGTAGGGAACATCAGTTAAGGTCAAGCGAATTGAGAATATAGAATGAGTGGAAGAGGGGTTAAGCACCGCGACCTTAAAGGTCTATTATCAATTATTATGCCCCCTTTCTTGAATTATAATTCATCATACATGGGGATCTTCTTGTTATAGTGGGGACGGGGTATTTTTCATCCTCCTCTGACAAAAACTATTCATCCTCCAAGAAGTGGACATCTATCCTGTAGAAGGGTATACACTATACACCCTTCTACAGTTGGGGTTTAGCTCTCCGTGCTCTTCACAATCAAGGAGCTTACCTCCCGCTCAGGTACACTTGAGGTGGAAGCTGGAAAATCGGTCTCAATTTTCTCCATATTTTGGTCTCTCCTTAGACCTGATACCGGTGTTGTTATAGGTCTATAATAAATTATATATCTCTTTCTCTATTGCCTCTATGGATTTGAGGTCAATTCCTATTGTGACGACCTGACCATGGCCCTCCTCCCTCGAGTTGAAGACTCGCCATCTCGATGTCCTTACATTTGAATTCTGGCAAAGCTGGTGATACACCGCAGGGTTATCGGTCCATTTCTACAGAGCACCCCATGTTGTAATAAGGGAGACAAAAATACAACCTGGTTTTAGGCTTTTGTTGAGGTTATCTCCTCTTGGTCTGGGCGGTTAAACTAAGACCACCCCTCGCCTTCTGCCCGTGATACATGACCACAGACGATCTTTGGTATGACGGATAAGGTAGTCCCATCCGGCATCGTTATACGTCTTGGCGCAATTCCCTGACCACGACACTAAAGCCAGGGATAAGGCAATAAGATGCTCTTTAGACCCAGCTAAAATGCCAGAGGGGATTCCCCTTAGCATCTGATGATTAAGAACATTTAAAGATAAGCCTAAAATAATCAATAAATTAAGAAGAAACTGTCACACAAGACGTTACTTTGAGCGAGTATTTCTGATAATTATTATTATGTGAGATACGTCAGAAATGGCTAAATGTCAGTGGCTTTGACTATGCTTTGAGTTTTTTGCTCTTATACTGATAACCAGATTTCTTCGACTTCTTTTTCTAGTTTGACGTATTTTACTTAAATTAACTATATTAAGATGCATTTCTGTCAGAGAAACTTAATAGTAAAATTTTGGGTCAAAGCGCCCCTCCGTGTTTTTAGTGGAGACTACGTTTAACCCAGCGCCTTCGCCTTTTCTGCTGTAAATGTTTTTTATGTCTATATCTGAATTCAAAGGATTTATTTTTAAAGTAACTACTGATATATTAGTATATCAGAGTAACTTTAATAAAACATAAGAATATATATATTTTACAATTTATTTTTTTATTTATTTTACAGAGTTTCATGTAAATGATCGTAAGTCGACTGGCTGTCTAATGAATAGACCGAGATTAATACATACCATATATTTTTCTTTTATCTAAGATACATACCTTATCGTCTTTTGGAAACACGTATATTTTTGCAGTTTTGTTAGTTTCTTTGCAAGATGCAACACAACAAGAAAACACCATTTTTACAGTTAATAAATAATAAAACGATTTCTGACTATGATATTTAAAATTTAGATAGACAGAAAATTAAAAAACAAACGAGTATTTGCAAACGCAGGCCCAAATTCAATAAAAATCAAAATGTTTCCTGCTAAAATCAAGCCATTTTCACTGAAAAGGTATTTTTTGATTTATCAGCAGTCATTGTCAAGTTGACAATATACAGGGTGTTTTCGAATTAGCCTAAAAAATTATGGTGTGATTCCTCATGTGTTCTTAAAACAATTTTTATATAATCACTGGGTCTAAAGTACTTCCTTTCTGATCTACAGGGTATTAAAAATTAAAAAAAAATCGATTTTTTTGCTGAACATAAATGGTACACCACTGCTTTTTTAAAGAAAATATATTTTTTTTTGACTGGCCATCCTTTCTCAACAAAATTGATCTTTTGCGTTTTTCTTGTTCATCAAACGGTTGTCGAGAAAAAAATAAATATACTTATTAAGAGCCCGCCTTAATTCGTTTTCTAACGATTTTTTATTTTTTAGATTAATTAGGAAACACCCTGTATTTTGCACAGGCAACCAAATAAACTAGCACAGGCAACCAAATAAACTAGCAACCTCTAAAAATTATTTTTCCTACCACTAGCCACATACCGTGTTTTTAGTGCGTACTAAATTATTTTATCAAAATTTCACCATATGTTTCCAGGCAATGGTCCGAATTATGTAACTTTGACATAAAAACGTTAGGCTTTCAAAGCGGTGAGCGAAAGTATGCGATTAGCGGAACGCCAAGCAGTCGATTTTGGTATTCTCGTTGCCGTGCGAATCGTTTTCTGGATACGCGTTAACAGCATCGCAATTTCGCAGGTATCTAATATATGTGAATAAATCCTGAATAAAACAATGAAAACTGTCAATGTTACGTGAATTTCATAACCTATTGTTGAGTTATATCAACCTATTTTTCTATGGATATGTTATTATTCTTATTATACGAGGAAAATGTTGAAAACGCTTCTCAGCATTTTCGATGTTTTGAACAATATTTATAGCTGCCAAGTCGTAAATTATCAATTACTTATTGAGAAGTTTATAGAAGAAGTAGTCATTTTCATTAAGGAGCAAGATAACGCACAAAATCATAATTTTTTCGATTCGACAAGCAAAACGATCCTTTAAGGCAACCGTTTTCAAAAAGTTTAGCGCAATCAGTAAAGACGCCAAGCGCGTATGAGGATACCCAAATCGGTAGTAAAGTGCGCACAACTCGAAAATTAACGTCATATACCCTGAGCGTCTAAAAGCGCTTAACGTTTTCTAAGTTACAGAATTCGGGCCCTGTTACACATTGAGCTAATTTTTGTAAGGAAATTCTCATTTACCTAATATTTTTACTTGAACTCGAAGTAAGCCTTTGATAACATTTAATTAGCCATTTTTGACCTATCCGAGTCATGATACAAAGAAAACAAGGTATGATATTGCGCAGGTTGGTCACTACGTCACAAGTGATAAACGACACTATTGGTCGGCAAGCTCCTCGAGCCAATTTCAAATTGTCAAACAGATGACACATAATAAACATGTATAAATGTGACATAACTTTTCAAATGTCAAGTTATATGATTTGACATAACTTTTGAGGTTATGTCTTAATTCTTCCTTATTTTAGGTCTTTTTTTATTAGTGGCAATAAAGGTGGCAATTGAACAATATGGATATTTGTTTGTATGACATAAAATGACGTCACAGGTGATATGCGCAAACTGAACGAAATTGGAGCCGCTATCGATCATAACTTGTTTTCTTTGTACCATGTATCTGAGTCATCAGCACAAATATCAAACTCGTGCAAAGTAATTTCTTGTGTTACAGTTTCTTCTTAATTGTTTAATAATTTTAGGCGTAATTTTTAACTATTTTGCAATTTTCAAAATCGAATTATGAATGATTTGTGTGTTGCACTGCCGACTTGGACATAGGAAATCCCATGTAAATTTTAACTACATACTGCTCTGGCATATTTGGAAAATGTACAGAAAATAAATCCTTTACAGTCTGTAGACTTTTTCCTTCATAATACAACTAAACCATGTTTTTTCCCTTTAGTTGTGTTATTCATACTTACATTTATATCATATCTAGTAAGCCAATATAATATTAAAAAAAATAATTTATTAGAAGAATTATTTTTGACAACATTAAAATAAATTTGATATTAAAAGATTGAATTTGTAGGTGGCATGTTTTTTATTCTATAATCAGGCCAGTATTAATTTTTTGATTAATTTAGTATTTTTGTATCTCTCATAACTCAAGAACGAGTTCGTATAAATCAAATCTATATAAATCTATATAATCAAACTAATTCATAATTTTTAAAATTTACATGGGATTTCCTATGCCCAAGTCGGCGAAGCAAAAGTCTGTATATTTGGAATTTGATGGAAAATCTCATCGCTACTAATCCGAACAAGCAAAATAATCTTTGTCGCTACAAAGCATTTCGCCGCAATTTTTTGAAACTCATAAAGTCAAGGGCGCACGACGCCCTTGACATAAACAAAAATAATAACTTAATTATTATTTTGAATCATAAATACACTGATATCGGCCTTAATAAATAATGTATGTAATTAACTAATGATGAATAGTTTATTAGTCTGTTATGTTTACTATGCGAGTATTGTAAAATATGGGGTTCTGCAAAAGGTTCACTATTTTTGCGTATTTTTAATTACTGTGTATTTATTGTTGTGCTTATTTTATAATATTTATTGCATTTTATAAACTCTGACCTTGTGTAAGGATACTTCTATTTTAACATACCTACAATAAATGATTATTTGATTTTTGGGGAACCCTAAAATATGTTTGATTTAATTGGGATTTTAACACGCTATTTTGTGACAATAGACAAATTTTGGCACACTACCCCGCTTCAAATTTTAAAAAAAGTGAATTTTCGCTCCACCCTAATGGACACTCATCTAACTACTCTAATAATTTATTTACATCGTTAATGTCACATATCGTCGGTGAAATGTGATAAACTGCTAACTCCATTATTCCTAATTTGACAGTAGAGCAAAAAAAAAAACGGTACAAAAAAATATTTACATATGTAGGAAGTATTTTCATGCGTTAATATGATAAAGAGATAAAAATTTTATTTGCTGTGCGTGATTTTATTAAATTTTTATTACTTTTCTCCTTATTTTTTTAATTTTTATAAGAGTTATGTATTAGTCCTGGAAAAATGTTGAAAAAAGAACTGATTAGGTATTATGGAAATGCTTGTACAAGTAAGTAATGGGGTTATTTAAACCATTTATAGCACGCCGATGAATTGCTCGTATATAGAGAATTTCGTTTACCCTTTACGGATACTCCGTATTTACAGAATGGATCGACGCAGGCTCGCACTGGCCATATTTTATATGTATATAACTATTAGGCCCCAGCCTTCGCGGGCCCCCTTTATAGTTCATTATTTATTCTGAACAATATTTGCTTTTCATTGCATTATGGCATTTGCATTGCATTGGTTTACCTTGCATTAGGGTAGTTCCCTGATTTCTATACAGGGTGAGTCTTAAATAAGTGCAAAAATTTTCAGGGCTGATAAATCTCGATAAAAGAAACATATTATTTTCTTTTTACGGGTTTTTCAAATAAATTCAAAACAACCGATTTATATCACTTTTGAAATTTTTGGATTTTCTTTTTTGTAAATTCAATCTACTATCTATGTTGCCATATTATAAACAAAGTATGTTATTAAACTAAAAATTAAAAAAAAATCAATTTTTTTTAATTCCAAATTTTTTTCTCAATTTTTTTCAAAAATCGTGTTTCTTGGATCGAAATATACTACTCCTAAAAATATTTGCACTTATTTAAGACTCACCCTGTAGATAATAGGGAAAAATTGCAAAATAAAAACACTAGGGAAAAATTGACCAAAACGTAAAGCGAAAAAGTACGCATCCGTGTGTTTGCTTTAGCGTGATCGTAACGGAAATTATGGAGATAGCAGCATTTCGGTGGCTATTTCAGATCACTGGGAGTTAGCAGATATTATTGAGTTAAAATAACAAATTTTCTTTAATGGGAAAAAATGTATTTGCTTTCCCTACTTATAGAGTATTTTTTTCTCTTTCTAACGGTATAAAAAACTTACTAACCTAAAAAATGGAGTTAGCAGGTTATCACGTTTCACTAACGATATAGTAAATTTACGAGAGAACAATTTTATCGACATCCCCTGCTACAATATTTCTCTGTCCCTACCACTGAAGGTATTTTTGAAGCGAAACTTCTTTGGGAGTAAAAATTCAAGGCCGTGACACACGAGCTAGCGTCAGGAAAAGTGGTAACGTTGATTTTTTGATCTTGGAACGTCATAACTCGGGCCCTATGTAAGCTAGGGGGCTGAAACTCGGAGTAAATATAGAGTCTCTTCGAGCTTCATCTTTTCATGATATTTTGACGACGTTTTGTGTGTTCCATGATCAATAAATCCAGTCAAAAACTTATCCAATTTAAATGAAATTTAGTATGTCTCTAGATTGGGCCAAGGCCAACTTTACTGTATACGACACGTGTCACTGTGACAGTTAGTTTGGACGTGAAAGCTGATGTCGTAAAAGCTGATGTCGCCCGATCGCGACCAAATTTGATGGATAGGCTATGTGAGCGACGACTCGACGGTGCACAGGGTCCCATCCTGCAAAGTTGGATACGATGTTTCGTTTATATCTTCATCAGGGTGGGATTAAGGATTTGTATTGAAGAAAAATGTGGATCGATTTCGGCATAATTGGGGACTGACTACAAGGTGACGCCCGATGACCCTACAGATGACGTTTCCAATAGTAACAGCATTCCTGGCAACAAATAAAGTTCCTACTGGCAGCGTTAATACAAATACGATTATACTGTATTAATGTTGATACTGTATTATATTATTAATAAATGCAATATTTATTTTTAAAATGCGACAAATTATGCTAAATTCAGTAAGAAATAAAATTATCTATATACCACGGGGATTAAAAAGTGTTAGGTAATAATCTCAGGCAATTCTTGTCTAGAAACGTTGCCCTCAGTAATTAACACCTTTATAATTCCCTTAATACGTACGTTACTATATTTTTAAAGTATTCATTACATTAGGTTTTTATCAGACAAGTCTATTAAACACTGTCAAAATTAAAAACCCGTTTTTTTCTTCAAAAAATGAATTTGCCACACAAATACAGATATTATTTATTTACATCCATGTTTACTAGGTACTTACAATACCCCCAAAAGGACTGGAAAAATCAATGGTGTAGAAAATTTTGATGCATCCTTTTTTGGGATACCACCTAGACTAGCGAACTTTATAGAACCAAGACATAGAATTGTGTTTGAAACGGTTTTTGAAGCCATGGTAGATGCAGGTTATAACCCTAAAGAATTCAGAGGTACAAACATGGGTACGTTGCGTTATAATTAGTATCAGAAGTAAGATTACTCTTCTGATTTTGCTTCTACATATTATTTGCTCTAATCTGCGTGTTTTATTTTGCTTTTATATTATTGTTTTTATTTTGTTTTTATTGCTCTAATCTCTTAAGTGCAAATAAAAACAAAATATAACGCAAAAAATAACGAAGAGAATAATAATATTAAAAAGGGCTTATAAACATTATTTATTTTTCTCTAGGAAATTAAATTTGTTTTTAGGTGTTTTTGTTGGCTGTAGCAATTTTGGTGCGGAAGAAATTTACTCTGATGCAGATAATACATTTGGATACTCAGCTTTTGGCTGTGTTATCTCACAATTAGCCAACAGAATATCATTTTGTTTTGATCTGAAAGGACCTAGTTTTACCATAGATACAGCGTGCTCGTCTAGTTTTTATGCGTTAGCAAATGCTGTTAACGCGATTGAGAGTGGTCGAATTGATGCAGCTATTGTAGCAGGTTAGTAGTTTAAGAATTGGATATTATTGGCTTAGCGCATTTTCCGCCGGTGCTGCCACCATCGGAGAATATCGTAAACAACTAGTATATAGGCTTGGTGCATTTCAATTGATTTCAACTAATTCCGACAGCAGCGCTTCAACGGCAGAAATCATAAATTATCAGTGTGTATTTCACGCTGCCGCGCCGTCATATTGATCGCATTGAGATAATATTGAAATCGTGGCTTTGTCATATTGAAGTATTTTAGTTTTTTGCTAGTGCAGTAATTGAGACTATAAAACAATCAGGTACAAACGAATAGAACAATCAGGTACGTTTCGGATAGTAAAAAATAAATGAAAAACAATTCGAACTAGGCGTCGCGCATCGTGTTGTATTGTGGCAATTTCAAATATTAATAAAATTACCGAAAAAAATGTTAACGCATAAAGGAGAGCGTAATTAGGGCGTAGATGGCAATAACATTCAATAACTCAACTTTTCCGGTTATTCAACTCTCCCGAAACAACATTTTATAGCTTCATGGTTTCTCTCACTGATTTGATCAAAAGCAAAAATGGATTCAATCAGTTCGACGGAACAAGTGAGTAAACAAAGTGCTCGTTACACAATCAAAATATTAAATAGACTTATACTATGAGAGGATAAAATATAATTTGTGTGTGTGTATGTGTGACCATATTTGTGACACCTTGTGTGTGCAGTAGTAGTATTTGTGACATACGTCTCAATTATGGTATACATACACGCGTATACCACAATTTTCTGATAGCAAATTCGATATCCTCGGGTCAAAATTAGTCTGGTCGGCTAGATCCGAAAAATTACGTGTGTAAGTTTCCACAAATAATAATATTTATTGGTATCACACACTTTCAGAATTGTGGTAACCTAAAGTTCCCTGTATCGCAGCGCCATCTACATTTTTATACACACTCATATTTGTGGTAAATCCGGCGTTTAGATGCGTACATTCCCGAAACGTACCGATTCAGAATACACACCATATTTAATTTCTATTCTTTTATGTTTTCTGTTGCGTTCCAAATTTTTAAGAAATATTTGGGAATGTCTGTACATTCCCCCTGTGGTGGCGCCTCTCATACGCCGCGGAGGCTCTAAGGAGAACGACAGTTTGTATTGAAATGAAATTCTGTGAGCATATGTAGTTTAATTCAGAGCACTTTTTAAAAATATAGAGACTTCTACAGGGTGTCCCCAAAAAAAGTTACATATCAAAGTTGTATTTTTTGTAATGTATTATATATGTATGTACCCTATATATTAATCGATTTTCGGATTCTGGGAGAAAAATAAAGGTGAGTTTTATAAGAGAAGTATATGACTAAAATGTAAGGTTTTTAACATATTTAATATCTTCTAGAAATAATTTTTTTTTAAATTACAATAAAAGTTACCTAAATTGGAATTTACCTGGTATAGCCTAATATATAGTTAAATTAACTATTGTACTTTAAATCAAATTAAAACTTGATCCAAAAAGTTATACAGGGTGAGACAAAATTAATATTGAACACTGGTCACCTTTAAAAGAATGTTACTCTTTTATTTTAAATGGAAAACCCAATGTATTATTCAGATATTCAATGGAGAATTCATGTCTCTTCAAAATACTATTAAGGTTGCCTACCCCTCAAACAAAAGATTTTCCTAGATATTTTCATTTTACATGATTTGATCTAAAGTAGATCTTTATTATTTAGGTGTAAAATAGCCACCTAGATAAAATCTAGGTGGCTCTGATATAATCTGACGTTACTTCAACATAGCTGTCTAATTAATCAAACTTTAACAACTAGTTATCATTTTGTGTCAGTTAAAACAAAAAAATTTCTCAGAAATTTACCGAAAATGCAAACTTATCCTACATCAGAGAGAATTGATATCATTCTATTAGTTGGTGTTGTTAAGTTAGGTTGTATTTGCAGTGTGCATTCACCAATTAATATAATACTTAAATGTTTCTGATTTTATCAAGTCTGGTTTTTTTATAAGGGATATGTTAAAGACAGTGTTTACAAAACTCGACCGAACTATTGTCGACAACATGAGAGAAATCATTGTAGCTGCTCTTCTAGGCAGAACTCCACATATGCCTTTTTAAATGAAAAGATCCTTTTGGAAAGACAATTATTTTATGCAGTTAGTAGTATGCAAACAGGAAAGGAAGCATTTTGAGCATTTGATTTCATTTTTGTCACATAATTATAGGTTTATGTCTAGTTTTAATTCTGTCATAATTAAAATATGTTTTAAACGTGTATCTTTTTATTACCGTTGAGTATTTTACTCTACAATCTTTAATTTTTGTTAAATTAACAAAAGGTAGTATCACACAGCCACCCTAGATTTCTTCAAATAATAAAGATTTACTGATGTAAAATCATAAAAAATAAAATATCTAAGAAAATATTTGTCTAAGGGGTTGGCAACCTTAATAATATTTTGAAGATATACAAATTCCCAACTGAACACCGGGAAAATATGCTGGATGTTCCTTTTAAAATAAAGGAGTAACTTGCTTTTAAAAGTGGCTAATGTTCCATATTAATTTGGCTTCACTGTATAACTTTTCGAGTCAAATTTCAATTTGGTTTAAAATATCAGGCTATACAAGATCAACTAAAATTTAGGTAGCTGTTATCGAAATTTAAAATTCTTCGTTTTCAAAAAATGTGAAATATGTCAAAATCCTTAGATTCTTTAATAAAACTCACATTTATTTTTTATTTGCTAGAATCCAAAAATCAATTAATATATAGGGTGTTCCGTTAGAAAAAAATGTGAAATATGTCAAAATCCTTAGATTCTTTAATGAAACTCACATTTATTTTCTATTTGCTAGAATCCAAAAATCAATTAATATATAGGGTGTTCCGTTAGAAAAAACATAACTTTGATGCCAAAATCTCATTTCGATATAAACTACCGTTCTCCTACCGGCGTATGAGAGGAGCCATCCTGTATAAGGTAGATTTTCAATCATTTAGCTGCGCATGGACAAACACAAATGCATTTTTAAGTGGAGCACCCCGTATTTTGATATATTATGATTTTAATTAAAAATAAGTATTATTCATTTAACTTAATATTATGAATAATTGTACTCTTTTTAATTAATTACATTTGAAAATTGACATTTTCAGATTTTGAAAAGCAGTTCATGTCCTTGCCTTATGAAAGACTTTTAAATAATGATATAAGAACATAGACACAACCTGGTTTGGCTGTTAATATTTAATGGTATAGACAAATCTAAAAAATACTAAAAAAATATAATTTTCAAACATGAATAATTCAAAAGTAATTGAATCAGTGTATGGTACGTTAAATGAAAAATTACAAAAAAATTCGATTAGAATCAAATCAAAAATTTTTTTTATAATCAATATCTGCTATGAGTTTCTCCATTTAAAACAATTCAATTTTGATCGGTTTTATCTTGTCTTTCAGGTACTCCTTTGTATAAATATAAATGCGCAAAAAAAACTACATAGTAAATCCTAGAATATTTAATAAAAATATATATAGGGTGTTTCTTAATGATATAGTTGGGTTCGCGAGGAAAATTATTGGTTAATTTTAAGAAAAAAAACTTCACAGGAAACTAGTTCCTAAACCTATCAGCTTGATAACTGAGATACAGAGTGGACAAGGTTCCTAGAATCGTTTTGGCGGAAAATTAACTCAAGAGTCGCTTCTAAATCTCATTGAGGAACACCCTTATATCATAATATTTTGTTTTTGTAAGGATTGTCTTTACAAGAGGAGAAACTTTTTTATTATTGATATTTTGAGAAAAACGCATTCGTCATAAAAATTTTTGCTTGTTCTAAAATGGTTAATCCCGTTTATACTTTTCCAAATTTCCATACCGTTTTAGAGAAAATTAAAAAAAAAACTGAAAATATGGTTGAATTTTTTGAAAGTCTTAAAAATCAAATCGCGTTTCTATGGTTTTCGGTCTTTGTTGTTATTGATAGAATTTTAATTAACGTCATATTTTTTGCGTCTTAAAATGATAAAGAAACACAAAATTTATTTAGTTGAATGCTACGGAAAGGATGATAATGGTCATCGGAAAATGTGATACCTTAACAATAGCAAAACATATGTCATTAACCAAAATTAATAATACCCATCTATCAAAGAATGAAATCTAAATTATATTACCATAAAAACTCGGTTTCATTTTTAGGGCTTAGAAAAAATCAACGATATTTTCATGTTTATCATTTTCAAACGGGATTAACCATTTTAGAACAAGCAAAAATTTTTATTAAGAATGCATTTTTCTCAAAATATTAATAATAAATATGTTTTTCCTCTTGTAAAGACAATCCGGAGACATACTGTATATTAGTTATATATTATTACCATAACATATTAAAATGTACCGAGAGGAAAATCCCGAACATATTCTAAATGATATGATAGTCGGTCGCTTAGGGTTACCAAACCGGGTGCCCGGTGCATATTTATCCCCGAAATACCGATATTAAATCCCAGGATTCCGAAAATGTCGAAAAATTTTAATGCCCAATCTAAAATGATTCGAGTTAGTCTTTCAAATATCATATTTTATTTATACTAACAGCGCTTTTAGATGGAGCGGAGCGTCCGCGCGTACCGTCCGCGTGTTCCACTAGTTCAAATGAACAGTTTTACATGGGTCGCGCGTATGCTCCGTCCGGATGAGATCGTCGACGGCTATCTTATCTTGAAAAAATATCCGTGCGGACGCTCCGCGCGTACGGTCGCGCTGAGTCCTGAAAGCGCTGTTACAGCGTTTTCAGATAGAGCAAGCGTCCGCGCGTACCGTCCGCGAGTTCCATTACAGGGCTTTCAGATGGAGCGGAGCGTCCGCGCGGACCGTCCGCCAGGTCCATGAATTTAAATGAACATAATTTCACATGGGTCGCATATGCTCCGTCCGGATGAGCTATCTTGAAAAAACATCCGCGCGGACGGTCCGCTCCATCTGAAAGCGCTGTAAGCCGAACGTCAATATCTAAGTGTTATATTTCCGTGTTTGCTATATTTTTTTTTGCAACAAGAATTTTATTTTTTTTTACTAACTACATATGGAATATTACTTTGTTTATTCTATTTTAATAAAGCTCTTTCCTCATTTTCTTTTTGATATATTATGTAGCTGCATTTTTATTAAATATTTCTTTAGATTAAATTTCTCATTCTGATCCCCACGATTCCGAGATTATAGGTTCTTATTCCGAGATTTGAAATAATTGGAAACCCTACTTACACTGAGTGAAAGTTTTTTTTATATCGTTAGTTGTATTGGCTAAATATTTGTGCACAATGGGTTAGAAATACCGTTTGATCGAAAAAGAAACCGCGTCATAGACGCCTGGGGAATGACAATAGTTGCTAGTTTCGGCGAGGTCAATCTCAAGATGCCAGTTTCTAAAAATTGACATAAAACTTATCAAAAATTAATACTAATTTTCTAACATCTAAAAATGATTGAATGTTTCCAGACTCACAAATCTACTTCCAAAAAAATATTTTTTCTCGAATTTTAACTAACATTATTAAAAAAATAATTTTTACTAATATAGAAATAAATTACAACCTTCTTAAAGTCAATTGGCAGTAAGCGCCATGAAAAAATAAAGAATAGTACGGGCCAAGTAAATGGAGATCTAGGGCTTAACCTCGCTCATAATAATAATTATTGATTGTCATTCCCCAGCCGTCTTTGACACCGTTTTTTTTTCGATCGTATGGTACGTTACGATTTTTTTCGGTAAATATGCGATAATATAATATAGCTGCTTGAACGAAAACAATGATTCCAAATAGCAATATGTAGCATCCACAAACACTAATTCTGAATCAGCGTACCTACACGGAAATTACAAAAAATTTTATATTAAAAGGTTAATTCATAATTACTCACATTCGACAATAGTTGTGGAGTCCTTTTTACAGGAAGTTGAAATTTGTATATTTGTGGTATCTATATTACACACTTTTATGGTGCAAGGTATTTGTGGTAGCACAAATACACATTCTAAAATTATAATATTTGTGGAACAGGTTTCCACAATTAATAAATGCCAATAACTTTCTTACGGTGGAGTGTATAGACATATAAATTATATTTTTAGGTCGTGGACAGCGAGTTCGTATCATTTCGTACAAAAATAGAGATGCTACCACAAATGTCTTTACTGCACGGTTGTCACAAATATGGTCATACGTGTATAGGTGTGTGTGTGTGTGTGTGTGTGTGTGCAATATTAATGGTATACTTTTTTAATCGACTAGTGATTAAATATTTTATGAACATCTTCTAAAATTATAATTATTATGTACCTTTAAAAAATTTCGTTATAAAAGAAATAGCCCCAATTATGACCTCACAAGCAAAACCGGTGATTAAAACTATGCTCGTTACCGTAGTTGAACTCATCTAAAAAGTTTTTTAGCTGGAATAATAAATTATAATACAAGTTAGACTTTCTGAAGATATCAAAATTTACTTTTTTATTTTTATTTATAGAATTTTCACAAATTATACTCCCTAACAATTTTAGAATAATTATTTTAGAATAATTTTTTTATATACTCCCTATTTAAACCGGTGTATTTGTATATATACTAGTTGTTTACGATATTCTACGATGGTGGCAGCACCGGCGGAGAATACACCAAGCTTATAATAGTCATTCATTTCTCTATATAAATATAAAAAATTTTAGAACATATCATTATTTTTAGCTGTGAATATAAATTTTTCACCCAATCAAATCAAGTCGTTTAATCTTCTCAACGTACTCTCAAAAGAAGGAAAAAGTAAAGTTTTTTCCGCAGACAGAGATGGTTATGTAAAATCTGAAGCAGTGGTAATAATTTTATTGCAAAAGAAAAATGCATGTCGCAGATTATATGCTACAGTTCTGGGTAAGCTTAGTAAAAATATAAATTAAAATATATTTAGATAAACAAAAATGCATGGCAACTTAAGGTGCCGATGTAAACTGCGATGGATATAAGAGTGAAGGAATATCATTTCCATCTAAAGAATTTCAATCAAGCTTAATAAAATCAGTTTTTGAATGGAAGAATTTAAATGTAAACGATGTTGATTATGTTGAAATGCACGGAACAGGTACACTGATTGGAGACAGGGTAGAGTGTCAGACAGTTGTTGACTGCTTTCTTCAAAATAGAAATGTAAGTTTTAAATATATTCTTTTAAATTATATTTATTATTATTATTTTCTGTTTAGAAACCCTTACTTGTTGGATCTGTTAAATCTAATATGGGACATGCAGAAGTATCAGCTGGACTGTGTTCAATTTCAAAAGTTTTGATTGCTATGGAAACTGGAATGATACCTGCCAACATATATTGTGATAATTTAGATAACACCCTTCCTGGATTGAATAATGGGGGATTAAAGGTACTAAGCTTATGTTTGTAAAGACAAAATCGAGAACAAAATTCATATTATCCATATCACTTCCCAAAAACATCAAGGGCGCTATTCTCCACACGGCATCGACAATCTTCGGTATCGGTAAGTTACCGATAGCTATCGGTACGTACGGTCAATGAGCGTCGTGTTAATTGTTGTTGTCATAGTTTTAGCTGTCATTAATAGGGCATATAGCAAATTTGTATCGACGAGTATCGGTATCTCTACCGTGGGGTTAACAACGGTAGAGATACCGATTCTCGTCGGTACAAATTTGCGATATCTGCCCTATGACCGAACGATCACTTTGACAACAACAATTGTCACATTTTTACTATATAAAAAACTGTCGTAACTTACCGATACCGATGATTGTCGATGCCATATAAATAGCGCCCAAGGATCTATCTAGGAGGGAGAAGCGTAAATCGTACTGCTTTGCAAAAAGGTTTAAAAAACATATTTTTTGGACTGGGGGATTTTTAATATTGAGAATATTTAGTTAGATCTTTTCTACAGCTTATAATTTTTTTTTCAGATTTTTATTAGAACTATTTCAATAAAAATATCCATTTTTCAAATGCTTTGTAAATCGTATAATTCAGAAATCTGGTTTACAATGTCTTACCACTGGGCTTCCTATATCGTACCTACCATCTGAAATAGATATATAAGAGTATATCAGATAAATAAATAGCCATATCAAATCACTTACCATAAGTCATCGAAATATTAGAGTATAGATACAAAGAATCTCTGGATATGTATTTTGTCTACAAGCACTTGAGCTACTTGTAAAAGATCCTAGGTATTATTGGACATCTTATTCGGCTTACTAAACATACTACAAGGTGTCCCGGCATACTTTCCTCTTCATAGGCATACTCATTTTTCAAATAGTAATTCAATTGAAATTTATTTGAGTAATTCAATTGAAAAAAAAATTGAGTAATTCAATTGAAATTTCTTCTTCTTTTCTTCTTCTTATTCGTACGTTAGGGCTAGGTCCTGTGTTTTTTCAAGGGTTCTCTAGGACAATTTGCGATGATAAAGCTTTCTTTCGTCCAGGCGGTCAAGGTGTATTTGTTCGTTTCTCTTTAGAAATTTTTCCTAACCGGTCATTTGGCATCCTGTCCACATGGTCTGTCCACTCTTTTCTCCTGTTTCTTGCCCATCTTACTATGTCACATCCTATAATTGATTTAAGTATTTGCATTTCTATTACTCTTAGGAGTCGTTTTGGTATTTCTCTAAATTATGTTTAAAGATCCAGACATTAATGATGCTTTTGTTGTTGGAGCTTTTGCTTCCTCCTTGTAGATCGCGAGTTTGCATCTTCTATGCTCTCTAAATGCCGTAATGAATTTTGTTTTTGACGGATATTTGCATATTAAACAGTTTTTGTTGTCTAATATACAGGGTGATCCGAACTGTATTCCGGAAACTTCAGCAGTATATTTTACAGATAAAAATAAGTAAAAAAGTTCGTATAAATGTATGTCCTAAAATGTTTAGTTTCAGAGATACAGAATGTAGAATTTTCATTTTTATTTCGATTTTTTTCCAAATAATTTCTGAAGTAACGTCAATATTTGGATGAAAATTGGTGTCTAGAAGTTTTTTGACATGAGAAATTTGATTTTGATGTCAATATGACTCCTACTAGCAGAGGGCGCCACCTACATGTGTTTTAACTGTTTTGAAGCGTAATAACTTTTTGTCCGTACCTGTATAAAACTACCTAGGGAAAAAATATACATCTCTGTGACTTTTTACGTAAAAAATATTGTAAGAATCGCTACGAGCAACCGTTCTCAAGATATTTAGAATGGAAATAGTCAATACATGTTATTATTGACGAAAAATAAACACGTTGAGTAGATAGTTTTTTCACAGAAATAGTAGATTTAATAAATTTGGGAAATTTTTATTTTTTTTAAATTAATCACAAATTTTTCTGCTAAAAATGATGATAAAACAGTTTCTGTTGAACTTTTGGCACAAAAACATTTCAAATTTCTGATCTCAGTCTAATAGCTATTTAGTCAACATGTTTAATTTAGACAGGTATTGATAATTTCGTTTCCAAATATCTCGAAAACCATTCTTCGTAGCAATTTTTACCAAGAGACCTTTTTTACGTAAAAAATATCGTAAATGTATATTTTTTTACTCAGTAGTTTTATACAGGTACGGACGAAAAGATATTACTCTTCAAACCAGTTGAAAAATATGTAGGTGGCGCCCTCTACTACTAGGAGTCATATTGACATCAAAATCAAATTTCTATGCTGCCGAAGTTTCCGGAATACAATTCGGACCACCCTGTATAAATACCTTTAAATGATAATAATATAAACAGGTAGTAACGGAACATTTGCCATTGGACAGTAACATCGTGGCTCTGAATAATTATGGTTATGGTGGAGCCAACGGCCATGTTGTTTTGAGATCAAACTCTAAATCCAGAGCTAAACATTCACAACTAAATCATCGATTAGTACATGTTTCTGGACGCACTGAAGAAGCTGTAAACTATTATCTAGAAGAAATCGAAAAGAATCAAAACGATCATGACTTTTTAGCACTGATTGATGCCATACACAGAACAAATGTTGATGGACATCTTTATAGAGGGTGAGTGCACACTACTCAATAGTTATAATGAAATTTGATTTCTAATTTAATATTTTAAAATTATATAAGAGTTTCTTGCCTTGAACTGCTAATATAGAAATTAATTCCACGCTGTGTTCGACATAATGTGGATCAACCTGCTCTCACTACCGGTTTCGGGGCCCCACCCCATCATCAGGTGAGCTTGGGTCCATTTTGTGGAAACGAGCCAAGCTCGCCTGATGATAGGGTAGGACCCCGAAACCGGTAGTGAGAGCAGGTTGATCCACATTATGTCGAACACAGCGTGGAATTAATTTCTATATTAGCAGTTCAAGGCAAGAAACTCTTATATAATTTTATTATATACCTAAAAACTGCAAGAAATTTATTTTCCATTATTTAATATTTTTAGATATTCCGTGTTAGGAACTAATCCGTTAAAGGAAATACAAAAATATGATACAAAGAAACGACCGATTTGGTTTATATACAGTGGGATGGGAAGTCAGTGGTCAGGAATGGGGAAAGATTTAATGAAATTAGATGTTTTCAGAAAAACTTTCAAGAAGTGTGCTGATGCTCTTAAGCCTTATAATGTCGATTTAGAAAAAGTTATTCTCAGTGACGATCCAACTGTATTGGATGATATAGTTAATTGTTTTTCTTCAATAGCAGCTGTTTCGATTGCTTTGACGGATGTTTTGAAATCGTTTGGAATTGAAGCAGATTTTTTTGCTGGACATTCTTTGGGCGAAACAGGTTAGTAGTCGTGGGGTAATATTGTTGTATTATTAACCATAGACGACAAAACAAAATATGAGTATTAGATTAGATGAGATGTAAAAATGAAGCTTTAATGTTATGTATTCGCTCTTTCCCACTGAAGAACTAAAATTCAGTTGAGAGAGCATTGGAATCTCGGAAACGGTAAGCTATGCATGGTGACTTAAATTTTGGCAATGTTGCCTGTTGTGTTAAAATTCAAAAGTTGTAGTCATTTCCGGCGAAACAGGAAGTGATCGAAACGAATTGAATACGTCAATCAATCCTAAATTATATCACATGCTAACATACCAAATCTCGTTTTTTATCAGAAAAAATAAAAAATTTATATGGGTGAACCACTCTTGAAAAACACCCGGTATATTATGATCCTGGCCCTAGAAAATAGTACCTTCTCTATAAATAAATAAAATCAGAGAAAAAAATCAATTGCAGTTTACTATAAAATGCTTCAATGGACCACAAAATTACATTCACAAGAAAATCGCAAATCGCAACTCCTAAAAATTCAAACTCTCAAATAGAAGGTCATCACGGTCCTAGTTTACAAAATCACAATCGCAGGAAAATTGCACTAAAATCACAAATCACAAGTTTAGTAATATTGGCTTCCTAAATTAAAACTCGCAAATAGAAGAAATCGCAAATCGTAACTATAATAATATTGGTTGTCTAAATTGATACTAACAAATAGAAGAAATCGCAGTCTCGCAGTTTCCTATGAGAGCCAATCTATGCGATTGAATCGCTGTTTGCCATTTGTTGCTCATCTCTAGTTTCTAGTGACGACACCTACAATTATGCGTATTAGGTTCTTTTTATGTTCTAGTAGTTGTTTTGTTTTTTGCTATTTATCACTGCAACAGTCTTCGAGCTGTAGCGCAGTCCTCACGGTATTGCCACGTCTCTTGCTACTTGTCCTTGATGGTAGTCCTGTAGCTTACTGCAGTGTATTGATCGTCACAAGTAGTGGGTCATCTGCCATGGCCTCTCCTTTGGCATTCTCTTATCTTTCCTGTGTCTGGTTGCCCACCACATTGTTGTGGCCTGGCATCTAGCACAGTGACCCCGCCTTGATGCAGCCAGGACAGAACTTCTCGGCAGTCCATCATAGTTTTTGATCTCACCGATTGCATGGTGATGCTTTTTAAAGCGCCTAAGCTGCCAGAGTATATATCTTTATAGCGTAAACCTCTGCTTGTAGAACATTACAGCCGTCCGATAGCCTTAAAGATCGCCGTATGTCTAGTTCCTCTGAGACGATGCCTATACCTGTGCCTTCCTCCTGAAGTTACGAAAGCATCTGTGTAGACTGCTATGAACTCGTAAAAAATAAAAACCAAAACCGAAAATTTCAGTTTTTTCGCCATATTTTCGGAAGCGACAATGTACTTACATTCGCTAATCGCTTCGACAAAAAAAAATTCAATTACTAAACAAATTATCACTGGTCCCACTAACAAGCAACTTTGCCCCAAACTAAACCACTCTGTATCTCTCACTGTTTCCTAGATCCCAATGGTGAGAGTGGAATTTGAAACACCCTGTATAAATATGTTCAGGATGTGCGTATTATAATGGAGGCATAACAGCCGAACAAGCTACATTGATAGGCTTCGCTAGAGGTTACACCACCCTCCAGGCAAAGTGTAAACAAAATGGGCAAATGGCAGCTGTAGGTTTAGGAAAAGATGAATGTTTGTCTCTTTTACCAGAAGGAGTGTACATAGCCTGTGTCAATGGATTTAAAAACGTAACAGTCTCTGGAGAAAAAACAAAAGTTAAAGAGTTTGTCGAAGATCTTACAAATCACGGCATTTTTGCTCGTTTAGTACCAACCGCCAACTACGCTTTCCATTCCAAATATGTTAGCGAGGCAGTGCCGATTTTAAAGGATTTTGTCGATAAACTTATACCAAATCCCAAACCAAGATCCCCAAAATGGATTTCAAGCTCATGGGATGAAGATGATTCTGAGAATCCTTTATCCAAACTAAACTCCGGTGATTATCATGCTCACAATTACGGAAACACTGTATTCTTCGACCAGGTATTGAAACAAATTCCTAAAGACGCCATTTTGATTGAAGTGTCACCTCACGCGTTGCTCACTCCAATTTTAAGAAGAGAATTAGGATCTGACATTACTTATCTGAGTTTAGCAAACAGAAATAGTCAAGATAATGTTCAACATTTATTGTCGAACATTGGGCAGTAAGTATATTGTTTTTGTAATATTGTGAAGTAATAGCATTGTTGTTATCAGATTGTTTATTAATGGAGGACAGCCTGATTTAAGACAGTTTTATAATGAGGTTTCATTTCCTGTAGGAAGAGGAACAGCAAATATCGGCTCTTTAATAAAATGGGATCACAGAGATAAATGGTAAGGTTTTAAAATTTTGATAATTATTTTAGGCGAGATTTAGCCTAAACATTAAATAAAATACATAATTAACATTAATTAATTTGACTGTATTAGGTTGGTACCACTGTTTGATCCTCTCGGTAAATATGGAAAACAAGTTATAGTAAATAGTGAATTAGATACGTACAAGAGTTGGATTGGTCATAATATTGATGGTAGGATCTTGGTGCCAGCTGTAGGATATTTGGTAATTTCTTATTTATTATAATAATACTAGCTCACCCGACTAAAGGTACGTTCATAGTGCCACAGATAGTGCACTGGCTTTCCGATTTTCGGTGGCCAGCTTATGTCGCGGCAGATCTTATTGCTTTGTGAATCTGCGCTATTGAAGCAGGTAGTGACCATTAAAAACCGCTTGCAGGAAGCGGGAACATCATTTGGCATTGTGGACCTATCTCGTGGGGATCTATTTATCTTTTTATTGACTAGTGATAATGTTCATATTAAACTGATACAAAAGGTACTACTCGCGTTCCTTATAGTTATTTATAGTTTTAAAGCGTAATTTTTTCTTGATTTTATCTAGCTTCCTTTGATATTAAGTGTCAAACCATCAAGACAATTTATTTCCTTCTGTCAAAAAACTGAATCCGAATCCGAATCATCTGAATTCCGTATATTATAAATACTGCTGTTAAAACTTTACAAAGTGTTTATATAAAAACATATCTCATATTTTCGTCATATCTAATGGCAATATGACATGGCCAGATATAGTTTTACATCGCGTGACGTTTAAAACTTTAATAACTTAAAATCTTTAATAATTTAAAACGATTTATTTTAGGTACAGGAATATGTATAATAAAAAAGTAACGAATTAAGAAACCATTTTATTAGTGAAATAAAAAAAGTGGGTTTCGAGCGATTAAAAAATTTTATGTACCGTCAGTGAGTTAAGAAGCTCTTAACACGCAGAAAAAAATCGTTGGTGTTTGGGAAGGCTTGAAAAGAAACAATGTTTTTGCGACGTTTCGCGACTTTATTGTCGCTTCTTCAGGCACTATAGGAGAAGCAGTTTTTTTAAAAATATCAAAATAAAATTAACTGACCACTTACCCAAAACATATATTAATCCACATTATGCCTACAAACGTTCATGGCGACTCCAAGTGCCAACACTAAGACACATACAGAAGAATCGAACAGAAACTTAACGGGTATTTTTTGGCCCGATATACACCGATGCTTGGTTTGTGTCGTACTGACACCAGTTGAATTAATTTCGCTACCATAAAAAGGATTAATTTTTTGTCTCCTTTATCATTAATTTTTTTATCATTAATTTCTTTCCCCGTGTGCTCTTAAGAGCCCTAGTCAATTCTCTATATGTGCAGGCCGGTCGGCATCGCCATAAACACATATAGTCCTTCCCAAACACCCACGATGTTTTTCTGTGTATTAACTACTGGGAACTAACAATAATCATAATGAAGCTCTTAACAGTTTCACACATAGCATTTTCATTACCGCACTCCTTGCTTAGATGACTACTTAGTGCAAAATAAATATTTTGTAAAACATTTATTTTGCACTAAATAGCAACTAAATACAAACAAACTGTTCTATTGATAATAATTATAAAAACTTGACAGCTTATTTATTATAAATGTTAATGATATAGTTTGAACAATCTTTCAAGTAAATGCCTGATGCATAAGGCATATAATATATTCATTTTAATAGATACCATAATACGTATCATTGTATAGAAAGGCCAAAGAGACGAAGCCTTATAAGTAGTGGATAAATTGGAAAAACATGTTATGAGTACCTTTTCATTTCCATAGTTGTGTACTTTTTTTCGGTGCACCATTTTTCATACTTAGAGTATGTATATTCATACTTCTGTTTCGATCTTGCTGGAAGCAATCCAGAAATGGCTCTGAATGCCTCTTCTTCAATGTCAGGGGGAATACTTTCCGAATCGATCATTTTTTAAACTACTGACATCAATATTATTTACTGTCATATTCACATTGCCCTGCATGGTGTTATTTGAACAAAGGTATTAAGGTAATTGATTTTTAGTTACTTTTTTTAGATTACTGCCGTAATCCAAAATATCTGGGGTTACTCTAGATCGTTCGCTCACATTTAGAAAGCACTGTTTAAATACTAAACAGAAAGTATCTGCCCGCAATAATGTTGTTAGGAAGCTCACAAGTAACGGATGGGGTGCTCAACCAGCAGTACTCAGAACATCGGCGCTCGCATTATGCTATTCTGCTGCAGAATATGCCTGCCCTGTTTGGTACAGATCTGCTCATGCCAGTCATGTGGATTTTGCCTTGAACGAGACCTGTCGAATAACATCAGAGGGCTACGCTTGCCTTCAAACTCTACAGTTTGGTAGGGATAGCCCCGCCAGATATAAGAAGGGAAGCTGCCGCGAACACCGAGAGACATAAGATGGAAGTAAACGCCGCTCATCCGTTGCATAGACATCAACCTCGCCTAAATAGATTGAAATCTAGAAAGAGCTCCCTTAAAACCACTATCGATGACGGTGCACCTCCATCGATGGCGCGACAAAACTTGCGGACACTGAGAAATGCAGATATCGCATCATGGATCCCATCTTCTGAATCCCTTCCGCCAGGTGCAGACATTTAGTGGAAAACATGGAAGTCTCTCAACAGATTAAAAAGTGAGATTGGCAGAACAAAGGATAATATGGCCAAATGGAATTTTCTTACAGATCCATCAACATTATGCGAATGTGGTACAGAACAAACCACCAGATATCTATATAGCCCTCAGTGTCCAGTTTCTTGTACGTTTGACGACCTGTTGCAGGCCACAGGAAATGCCGTCGATGTTGCTAATTTTTGGTCTGATAATATTTAGTGTTTGTACAATGTTCATTTTTTTTCTTGTTTTTTTTTACAATTTTTATGTTTGTAACTGTCTTCAATTTTACCTTTGCAATTTTCTTCTGTTTGTCTTTATACACTTTGTATATATTTTTTTTGATTAGTATTTTTGTACATTTATATATTTTTTGTATATGCAACGCTTTTGACACGAATAAAAATATAGTTAGACGTAGATAAAATATTGTAAAACACGCGAGTTAACTTCATTAAGATACGCGTGTGAAAGTAGCACAACTAGTGCGTAGCACGAGTTGTGTGACCGCACAAGTGATGCTATTAACTCACTTGTATCATAAATATCTATTTTAATCGCTCAATTCTATGAGAGCTACGGCCAAAATTATATGACATTCAAACAACTTAATTTTTGAAATAGATAGCCACATGTCATCTCTTTATGCCACATTGGCAGTGGTAATTACTAAATTTGTCGTTTAGGCTATACAGATTTTTGTGACAGGCAGTTTTTTTTCTCCAAAAAGTTTAAATATTTTTTTTCTCAAAAACGGTTAATGTTAGATATAGTGTTTGTAAAAATTTATAGAATTTTACAGATAATTTAAGTATGTAATAAAAAATGGGGGTACCCATTTAAAATAAGAAAGTTACTGTTAACTTCCGGTATTTCTAGAAGAGCCGCCAGATTGAAAATATTTTCAATTGATAGATCTCGTTATGAAACAGTGATGTGCAAAAAATCTCCGATCAAGATATTGTAGTTCTCTAGAAGCTTCTACTGCACGATCAGCCTGGGACACCCTGTATGTCCAGCACTACGACATACTTTCTATTATTATTGTTATTAAAGTAGTAGTAATTAACTTGTTTGGTATTTCAGATGCTTGTTTGGTCCGTCATGGCAGAAATAAAGGCAACACATATCGAAAAATTACCAATCGTATTCGAATCTGTAAAATTTCTTCGAGCAACTGTACTACCCACCGACAAAGACATCACTTTTATTGTTAACATCATGAGGAAATCTGGCTACTTTGAGATTTTTGAAAGTGGTTCTATCTGTTGCACTGGCACAGTTCAAACTCCACAAAATATTTCGAAATACTTATCGGATGAAGATGAAGAACCGCCAATAGAAAATACCGATTTAGTCTTGGAAAAAGATGATATTTACAAATCTTTTTATCTAAGACGTTACTTGTATTCTGGAAACTTTCAAGGTATTGAAAGAACGGATTTGGATGGCAATTTTGCAGAGTTATCGTGGAACCAGGATTTTACAAGCTTTTTAGATACTTTGATTCAGTTACCTTTGGTGTCAAATTATAATACTGCGCTGTTATTACCAACAAGGTTGCAAAGTCTTTCAATAGATCCAGTAAAATTTCTTTCAAATTTAACTGAAATAAACAAGAGTAAGATAAATCCTCTTGATATCTTTAAAATTTTGTTCGATTTTCTTTATTAGTATTCTTTTAGGAATCTCGGCATACTATCTTAAAAATACGAATACAATAAAATGCCCAGGAGTTGAAATAGTTAACATTGAAATTTCGGTAGCACCTTCTAGAGACTATGCTCAATCAGATGCTATTCTACAGAACCAAGTTTTTGTTCCATACGGTCCAAATTCAAACATTACAAGCTTTAGTACTGCATTAAGTATTGCATTACAGATAATATTTGAGAATTGCAAAGGGATGAATTTAGTGGCTAAGAAATTTCTGACAGAAGAAAAAGAATTTTTAGAAAAAGCTTTAAAAGAGATTTTAGAAAAAGAACCTTGTATTACTGTTGATTTTGTTGGATCGTCTCAGAATTGTGATTTTGTTATAACAGATATTGTTGACTTTGAAGAAAATAGTCTTATTGAAAATGGCTTTGTTTTATTTGTTGGAAGCGATAAACATACAATACATTCGAACTACAAAATTATCTATTCGACGACTACTTGTGATAGTCAAGGTAACAAGTTAAGATAACTTATAAGTTTCATATTATTATTAATTACACTCACAGGCACGAAAAACGGGAACCTTAAAATTTTGATGTACTTCAAAATTTAATATATTTTGTTCTAGTGGGCCGATTTTGATGATTTCTTAAGCAATTTGTAGCTAAATTATATGACTTTTTAGTATCTCTTAAAAATGAAAGTTGCCATTTTTCAGTTATATGAGGTTTTCAGTTATACGTTTCCTCGTTGGTTCCCCAAACTTTTACTGAAAGTTTGAAACACCCTGTGAAATAATAATACAGAGCAAGGCATTTAAAAATCATTTTATCATATAGCTACGTCTTTCCTACTCAAATTGCCTTATATCTATCAAAAATAGTAGATAAAATAGTACTTTAACCGCAAGGGTAGATTAAATGAGGTTAAAAACTTCATTTCTTCTCGCACGATTTTTAATTGCTCCCATTTTTAGTTATTAATTAAATTATTAGTTATTCGGGATTTAAATGGAAGTAGTTTGGATCTGGCGTTAGTCGCCTCAGCCTGAATTTCTGTTGGTAATTTACTTATTTCGTTTTGAGCCATTTCTGGCTCCAATTCAATCAGCAATCGACACGAAAGAGAATTAAAAAATATTGGCTCAAAACTGACAACTAAAGAGACGGCTTTATATATTTGTCAAATTACATAGAAACCAACGCCAACCCAGCACAATATTTTTTCTACTCGTAATAAATTCTTTTCTACGTAATAAATTCCTTGAAATAATAATTTCTGAATATTTTTTAAAACGGTTTCATTATTCACCGCTTCTACGGATATCTCGATCCAAACTCCAAACAAGAGCTATTTGAAGTTTTTAATGTCACTTTAGGCATTCATCTCTGGGGTATTCCAAAAGTTGTGTTTCTTGTCATAAGATTTTTAAAATATATTTTCCTTTTTAAGTCTCTCATGTTATATCTCGACATGTAAACAAATTATTAAACACCATTACGAAGAAACAATGTTAACATTCCCTCATTTTCTACACTAACATTCGATTTAAAAATGTGAAGTTGTCAATGTTATTTTTTGCATTCATCTATGGGGGGTTTCAAAAGTTGTTTTTTAAAAATAAAAACTTATATTAATATTATCTAAATTTTTTTGATAGTCCTGGATAAAGTATAGTATTCTACTTGCATATAATGGCTGTTATTCACATTACATTACACCATTATATGCTCGTTGAATAATATACTATTTTCAAAGACAGTAACATTAGATAAATCATAGACATTACTTTATAGGTCTGTTAATTAGCACCAAAAGCAAAAGACTTGGTTTTAATGTAAAAAATACGAAAAAATATTAGAGTGTTCTTCAAAAGCGAATATCTCCAAAAAATAAAGCTATTAAGACGAATAAATAAAACTATTGAGAAAAGATACACCTAGGTGATAAAATTATTCAAAAATTCCTTGCTTTATTAACGTACTTCACAGGGTGTTTCAAACTTTCACCAAAATATTAACATTTTGTTTTCCCTCGTATAATTGACAGATGATAACTTTGATTTTTAATTCAGAAAGAGATACTAAAAAGTCAAATAACTTAACTACAAATTGATTAAAAAATCATCAAAATCGGTTTTATAGAACACAATAAAAACCAATATTAAACCAAACTAAAATACATGAAAATGTGCCCGATTTTCGTGCCGGTGAGTGTATAAGTGCAATTGTTACAAAATTTATATTTTTAGATGTATACTTATACAGATATCTAAGTCCCCCATCTTCACAAGTGCTTATAACAATAAATAACGAAGATTTTACATGGATAGAAGAAGTACAAAATGCTTTAAATAATGAAATTGAAGCAGTGTATTTAGTAAACAATGACCATGGTTTCAGTGGTGTTATGGGACTAGTACGATGCATAAATCTCGAACCAATAAAGAAAACAATTGTGAAGTGTATTTTTATTGAAGATGACAACATAAAGGACGTATTGTTAAGTAATCCTTACTTTGTAAAGCAATTAAGGAAAAATTTGGTGTTTAATGTTTTAAAAAATGGAGTCTGGGGCGGTTATCGGTATTTGCCATTTCAGAAACTGGAGAATAAAAAGGTATCTAATGCTTATAATGCTCCCCTGGTTGTTCGAGATTTATCGACATTAGCATGGATTGAGCAACCGGCTGAATATGATGTGTGAGTACATTTGTCATTAATTCAATTAAGAATCAGTATAGCCTTTTGTAACAAAATACTTAAAGGCCAAAACCAGTCGATTTTAATTAATTTAAGAAAAACTGCATCTATTTTTAAATTAAAACTGAACAGAAAACAATGCAAAATCAAATAAATGCCAATTACTTTAAGTTGCCAACCTATGATTTTATAAAAAGTGTCTATTCCTCTGTAGCGGATTCATCTCTTCAAAAAAAATTCTCGGGGTATTGCTATGACTTTATGATCATCAAAAGTAATTTGTTATGCTGCCTGCACTATTATGTTCCATTCAATTAAAGGATGCGATTCATAAAACTAGCGAAGCAGTACTGGGAAAGTCGAACAAAAAGAAACAACCCGACTGGTTTAACGAAAATCAACCGCATATACAGGCTTTGTTGGAACAAAAGCATAGAGCACATCAAGCAGTCACTGCAAATCTACATAATCCAAGACTGGTAGACAACTTTAAAGCAGCCAACAACACGCTTCGAAAAGAATTGCGCCAAGTAAAGGATAACTGGTGGTCACAAAAAGCGAATCAGATTCAAAAGTACGCCACGCATCACGATTATCGTAAATTCTTCAAGGCTATAAAAGAAGTATACGGCCCAACCAAGAAGAAGAAGCTGCCCAATCATGGCACAAAATAGCGAACTTCTAAAAGAGGAAGAACAAATCAGAAATCGCTGGAACGAACATTACAGCCATATCCTTAACCAAGAAAACAACCCCAATATGGAAGCACTAAACACAATACCTCAGTATAACAGCCTCGATGTATTAGACATCCCAATAACAGAACAGGAAATAAAGACCTCAATAAAACAGTTTAAAAACAACAAATCAGCTGGCTGTGACGCGATTCCGGCGGAAATCTATAAGTGTGCAAGTAAAGAACTTATATCTTAAGGCTCTCTTCGATGTCGTATGGGAAAGCGGAGAGGTACCTCAGGACTTTTGCAACGCGAAAATAGTGAATATATTTAAGAACAAAAGAAGTGCATCAGACTGCGGAAATTACCGGGGAATTTCACTATTGGCTATCGGCGGAAAAATTCTTGCTAAAATTATGCCAAACCGCCTGCACCCATATATAGAAAAAATCCTTCCAGAATCGCAAACGGGTTTTCGTACCGACCGCGGCACCGTCAATTCCATATTTTCCATCCGCCAACTACAGGAAAAAGTAAAAGAGCAGCAATCTAAACTTTATGTTGCATTCATCGATCTAACAAAATCCTTCGACTCTGTGAACAGAGATGCGCTTTGGGCAATTATGGAAAAATTCGGAGTACCTAACAAATATCTTACAGTGTGTAAAAGTCTCATCATGGAGCCACATCATAGATCACTGAGCGACCCATCCCTAACAAATACAGGAGTTAGGCAGGGATGTGTCTTAGCACCTCTCCTATTCAACATATTCATGGCAGCGCTCTCCATTATAGTGGACAGCAAACTGCAGGAGAGAGGATTGGGCATTAGATACATATACGACGGCGGTCTGTTCAACATAAAAACACTCAGGGCAAAAACACGTATAAAATTCATCATAGAACTTCAATACGCTGATGACTGCGCTGTAGTTGTAAACACAGTACAACAATTACAAGAAATGTTGAACACATATACCTGGGCATACGAGGCTTTGGGCCTTAAGCTAAACATCGACAAAACTAAAATCATGTGCACTCCCCCGGAAGATTACAACAATACTATAAAAATCGGAGAAAAACTATTGGAATATGTGGCGGAATTCAATTACCTCGGCAGTTTCATTTCGGAAAAGGCCAATATTGATTCTGAAATTCAGCACAGGATTAGCAGCGCCTCAAGAGCATTCTGGAAATTAAAAGACAGGATTTTCTACAATCATGACTTGTGTACAAAAACGAAACTTGCAGTGTACCGAGCATTTATAATCCCCACCATATTATATGGGAGTGAAACCTGGGTGCCGTACCGCCGACACATGAACGCATTAAACAAGTTGCAACAGAGACACCTTAGACAACTCTTAAGAATCCGGTGGTTCCATCATGTCTCAAACATATCGGTCCTTGAAAAAGCTAACTGCGAGAGTATTGAAGTCATGGTTACAAAATCCCGCTTAAGATGGGCTGGTCATATATGCAGAATGCAAGAAAACCCCATACCAAAATCTCTGCTTTACGGTGAGCTTGTAGACGGTAAGAGGAGGCCGGGTGGACAACTGAAAAGGTACAAGGACATTTTCCACGAAAACTTAAAGGGAATTAACATGCAGAATGAGTGGGAAGTAGCAGCTCACAATAGAACTTAATGGAGAAGAGTTGTAAACTCAGTTAACAGCGACGACCAAAAAGTAAAGAGGCAACAAAGCAATGAGATTTTTGAATGTCCGGAGTACGGTAGGCAGATAACATCACGTATCGGGCTTTTCAGTCACAGAAAAGCTCATGAAAGAAAACGCCTTGCGTGACTATCTTCTCTATTATCTTACGGTACTTGCGGCTATAATTTTATAATGCATTTTATAATTAACTATTTAAAATTTTACTATTAGTATTGATTAAATTAGTATATGCTTTGTTACTCACACATTGTTTACTCAGTTAGTTCGTCGAACTGCCTGAATCCATTTCTGCCTTTCATGAAATCGGTGTGATAAAGCTGAAAAGTTGTAAAATGTTGTTCCCGGGAGAGTTGTATTGAGCGTTATTGCACCCAACAACGCAATTATGCTCTCCGTTTCGTGTTGGCATTCTTTCGGCAATTCTATTATCATTTAAAATTGTCACAACATAACGCATCGTCCAGTTCATATCAAATAAACTTTTAGTCACGTGATTAAGTGATTAAGCTTGACCGGCACAGCGTAGCCCATTTTTACATATTTTCTTTTAATCAAAATATTTTTGGAAACAAAATTGAATTAATTATAAATATATAAATAGTTATTGTTTACATCAACAAAACTCGCCTTCTTAACAGCACTTAAAAGACATAAAGGGCCATTACTACCGTTTTCCCGTTCAACATATTCTAATAAAGTTGCGATGAGTTTTTTACAGTTATTAAGCTATCTTGTACACTTCGCACTAAAAGAGGTTCTAAAAAGAGACTGCAAGGTCTGCTACTAAAAATTTTTAAGCTTAAAATATCACAGGACAGTTAATTTAAACCAAAATATCGTAATACCAAACAAAAGTGTCGAAATGAATGACCATGTCAGGATATAAATAAATAAATGTGGCAACTTGATTTTTTTACAACAGAGCTACCACCTGAATCCCCAACGGGAAACTTAAATTCCAGTTAGTCAGCACGGTGCCGAATATGTCCATGGTTGGCAACAATGAATTTAATATTTGCGCCCTCGATTACGTAACTAAAAGTATAATTGGTATCAAATACAGAGAAGACCAGGCTACTAGTAACATAGCAAGTTGCCGGACGAATAGCGTATCCATTCTTATTAAGGACTCTTTTAACAGTGCTAGATGAAGAATCTGTTACCTCAGCAATTTGATTACTTGAAAACGTGGGATTTTGATCCGCGGTAGCACACCAAACCAAACTCCTGTTCTTCATTAATCACCACATCAGGCTTTTTGTGTTTTTGTGGGGACACGCACCCATGTGTGTCTTAGTAATAACTCTTGATATAGTAGGTAAAGATGGAATTGGCCTGTTTACAAAAGTTTGTGGAAAAATTGTTTGTATATCCCGATAAGACCTATTTTGGAAATACCATTTTATACAATTTGAATTTTCTCACGAACTTTGTAAACATCCATTATTTTACTTAAAAAATAAATTTTACACGAGAACTGTCGCGAGAATCTATGTATTCATTTTGGCTAATACACGCCAATAACACGAATAAATACAAATTCTGAAACATTCTTATCACATATCTACCTATTTTTATTTTATCGCATTTTTTCGCCTGCTTTTTATCCGGCGGAGGGGTATACGCTAATTCGTCCGGTTCTGCCTATGTTACTACTACGGTGGTCCGGTCTGTATATTTAATTTTTACTACTCGAAACAGCGTTACATCACACAAACCTCGTACCTGAGAATTTTATAGTTTCAGTAACTGCACTAGTAAAAACTAAAAGACTTCAATATATGATTAAGCCACGATTTTGATATTAGTTCAATGCATGAACGGCAACCGGGACTGCCTGAAATACAGAGCCGGAAAGTTCTGATTTCTGCCGTGTCGGGAGTTGCTGTCGAAATTTTAAAAATCAACTGAAATGCAGCAAGCCTATAGCATACTGTATCAACGCGTGTATTGTGAGCATGTTTACAGTGCCGATGTATTATCTATTTTATTTTGATTTCTGCCGTACCAGGAGTTGCTGTCGAAATTTTAAAAATCATCTGAAATGTGCACCTAGCCTATAGCACTGTGTGTCAGTGCGTGTATTGTGGGCAGGGGTGGATGGGCCTTATAGGAAAACGGGAAAATTCCCGGTGTGCCGGTGGACCGGTCCCGATCGGAGCTCAAAAAATATTGGATTAGCAAAAATTAAATGGTTAATATTCTAACGAAAGTGACGTAAGATCCTTAGTGACTCCATAACTAATCAATTTCCATCAGTATAATCGTCAGTTGCTTTTAAACATAAACACCAGTTTGTAAAATAACTATGACACTTATAATTTTAATAGTCATCTGATGTTTGTTCGGTTTGAAAATTTTTATTATACAAGGTGAGTCTATAAGTGCAAATATTTTGAGGGCTGGTAGATCTCAATAAAATAGACATAATATATTCTCTTTATTGAATTTCAAATAAATCCAATCGAGTTATTAAAGTTTGGAAATTAAAAAAAAATAGATTTATTTTTAAAAGAAATTGAGCCACCTCAATTTTTCGGTATTTGCTTTGGGTATTTGCATCTCTTTTATTAGTGCCGTAATATCAGAGATAAAGAAGCTATACCGTGGGAAAATTTGCGGCGAACAGGAAGTTCTAAAAAGTTTTTTAAAATATACAGGAAAATTTAAAAGAAAATGCTCGATTTTTAACATCTTTTTTTTTGCAAAAAAAACTCATAGACGTGTTCCTGGGGTCGAAATATACCACCCCGGAAAATACTTGCACTTATTTAAGACTCACCCTGTATAGTTTTACCCACTATTCTTTTATTAATAACTAATAAATATGACTGGCAGCAGAAAAAAGAACGAATAGTATTAGGTAAATTTAAATAGTCTCGATCTAAATGTATACTAAAAATACGGTAGCGTAGATTGACAACTGGGGGCCTCGATGCAATATTTTTGTTTGTAAAAAGGTAGATGAATTTGACGCGAACTCGGTTGGACGCGGTTGACAGAGAAAAACATATCTATGCTTAGCTAATTGGGGACGGACTAAAAGCCAAATCTGAGAACTAAAAACGAAGTCTAAATTGTTTAAAACTTTACTAAAATGAATTTGCTAAAAATTGCTGAGACATCAGAGAAGAGTTAAATAAGGTTTAAACTAGATTAGATAATAAAATATTAATATGTCTCGAAAATCCAAATATTCTTATTATGTACTGTAACATAGCATTAAATCTTCCTAGATATTGCCTAGGTTTTTTTCGTTTGAGTCATGGCATTATCATACAAGATGCCAAACGTAGAAAAGTATAGAGGAAAAAAGTTTCGTGATAAGAACTATATAATAACCTAAAAAATGCTGCAGTTTTAATGGCGACCGCGGTTCATTCAGTTAAAAGCACGTGTATATGAGGAGGCTGCTGCTGTAGCAGAAAAGAGAGAATTTCTTCCTACAATGTGGAAGAAAGTACAGGGTGGCGCCTCTCATACGCCGCGGAGGCTCCAAGGAGAACGACAGTTTGTATTAAAATGAAACTTTGTGAGCATATGTAGGTTAATTCAGAGCACTTTTTAAAAATATAGAGAGTTCTACAGGGTGTCCCCCAAAAAAGTTACATATCAAAGTTGTGTTTTTTGTAATGGAACACCCTATATATTATTTGATTTTCGGATTCTGGGAGAAAAATAAAGGAGAATTTTATAAGAGAAATATATGACTAAAATGTAAGGTTTTTGAGATATTTAACATTTTCTAGAAATAAAGAACACTTTTTAAATAACAATAAAACTTGTCTAAATTGGAATTTACCCAGTATAGCCTAATATCTAGTTAAATTAACTATTGTACTTTAAATCAAATTAAAACTTGATCTAAAAAGTTATACAGGGCGAGAAAAAATTAATATTGAACATTGGTCACCTTTAAATGCATGTTACTATCTTATTTTAAATGGAACACCCAGTATATTATTCCGATATTCAATTGAAAATTCATGATTCTTCAAAATACTATTAAGGTTGCCTACCACTCAAACAAATATTTTCATTTACATGATTTTATCTGAGTAGATCTTTATTATTTGATAAAATCTAGGCGGCTGTGATATGTCTGACGTTACTTCAACAGAGCTGTCTTATTAGTCCAACTTTAACAGCTAGTTATCATTTTATGTCAGTTAAAACAAAAAAAAAATTCTCAGAAATTTGCCGAAAATGCAAATTTATCCTACATCAGAGAGAATTGATATGATTCTATTAGTTGGTGAATGCAGTGTGCATTCACCAATTAATATAATAATAATAATATATAATAATAATATAATAAATAATAAAATACATCCAAAAATCAATTAATATATAGGGTGTTCCATTAGAAAAAATACAACTTTGATGTATAACTTTTTTTGGGAACACCCTGTAGAATTATCTATATTTTTAAAAAGTGCTCTGAATTAACCTACATATGCTCACAAAATTTAATTTCGATGTAAACTACCATTCTCCTTGGAGCTTTCGCGGCGTATGAGAGGCGTCACCCTGTATATATCCGAAACACTAAAAGTAATGTATTTCACAGAGGATTAGGTCAGCTGAACTGAATAAATCAGGAAGTTTTAAAGTTTCTCAAAATCGTGACTCAAAATTGTAGCCTATTCAAGATCAAATTACCGTTATTGATAATGGAAATAAAGCAATAGAACCCTGTAAAACTGAGCCATTTTGTAGTAACAATTCAGATGTCCGACCCAATATTGGTCTTTACGAAGATGTTGATCAAGACAATTTAATTTTTTTTAAAACCGGAATCAAAAGAGCTTTTTCGCACGAGCTAAAAACACCCCTACTTATATATTAATAAATAAGATATGTTTCTTCGTTATGGTCATTTTGTTTTTGTGGATTTGGGCCGGTTGTCTGTTTTTCCCGGGCCGGTTTCCACTTCCCCATCCACCCCTGATTGTGGGCATGTTTACAGTGCGATGCATTACCTATTTTATCTCGTACTTTCATTTTATTGATGTTTCTAGACCTTGGAAGGGATCTGAAACCGTTTACGTATTTTACTCAGCCCTAAACTTTAAAGATGTCATGGTTTCAACTGGAAAGTTGATTAGCACATCAGCCAATGCGAAATATTTTAACACAACCGGAATAGAATATTCCGGAACGACCAAAGATGGCAAACGAGTTATGGGGTTGTCCATAAAAACGATAGCGTTACAAACAGTGACTGATCCGCTATTCACGTGGAACGTTCCTGACCATTGGAGTCTGGAACAAGCAGCTACTGTTCCTTCTGTTTACGCCACAGTAAGTTATAATTTTTAATTTCTAAAAGGAATATATGAAAATATCACAAATTAAGTAATTAAGTCACACACAGAAAGAGCAAAACTGTTTTAGTCAAAAACAATTTTGTCTTTTATAAAAATACTAGCTGATATAATACCTGCCCACTTCGCTGTGCATAAAAATTGGGAACAATATATTTCTTTATACATCGTGTAATGTTGGTATACAGTGTGTGACTTTAAAGTGGAATTAATTCATTATTTCGAATACAGAAAATTAAAAAATAATGTTTGAACATGTCAATTATTATTATTTTAAGTTTCTCATATTTTTACATAAAAAATATTTCTACAGAAAGCTGACATTTGTACACAAATGTTTCTAAAAAGATAATAGAGAAATAAAATTGCCAAATTTGGAATAAGCTCCTAAAACTCGCAAGTACGTCTAATCATAGAATCGTTGATTATCGTTCATGAATATTTGACTTATCATTTTGTCACCAATAATAATGCCCGCCCAAACGTTGACCATTTTCTCTGATATTGAGTATAGTCCTCCCTCATTCTGTGTATGTTTTCGTCTACAGACAGTTCTGTAAATTTACCAATTCCATTCAACGTGAAATTTCAGGAAAAAATATGTTCTTTGGATTCACTGTAATATTGTCAAGTAAATGCATCATTTGCTCACAAAACTGTAGTCTCCTATTTTGATCATCTTTATTTCATTCCTGTACAATCTGCAATTTATACGAATGAAATGTGGATGCCTAAGTATCCGTATTTGTAAATATTAAGTCATTTTATTTTCTATTGCACTTTGTGAGATCTGGTAGTCTGGTTATTAAGATTTTCTTGAACGTTATTCAACACAACATTGAGTTTAACATTTTTGCATAATGTAGTTCTTGCTTAGTTTTTTTGCAGATGAAATAACACAATATTGAAATTATTAGTTACTAGTGTAACGGTAGATCAATATTCGACAAAAGAGTTACTGCAAGACTTCAAACGGTGCAGATTCTTTCAGATAAAAAACTAAGGTTGTTTAACGTTCGATATTAATAATTTCGATGTTTTTTTCCCGACAAGCAACAAATATGAAATGTTAAAATGATTCTTTATTTGGCATATATCTAAAACGGTTATAGTAGTGGTATATAGAATAATCGAAATTTGGTAAATGTGTAAAACGCTCTTAAAAACCTCCAATAATAGCGCGTTCAGATGGAGCCGAGCATCCGCGACTTCGAGCAAGTACCACGAGTTTCTATGAACAATTTCACATGGGTCGCGTATGCTCTGTCCGGATGATTTTGCCCTATGATTTTGCCTGACAGCTATATTGAAAAAACACGTGGATGAACAGGCTATCTTGAACAAACACGCTCCGCTCCCTCTGAAAGCGCTGTAATAAGTTAAAGTTCCTATTAAAAAAATATCGATGTCGTTTTATTTCTTTTTTGATTACTGTAGAAATATTTTTTACTTAGAAATATGTGCTATTTCAAATAATAATTAAAGTGTTGAAATGTTTTTAACTGTGACATTAACTAGATATTTGTAAAAATGTATTTTTTATGACTTACCTTTATAAAACTATCTAATCAGACTAGCATTTTAGTTTATTAAACATACGCGTCTTTACGACTAAAACTTCTTGATCGAAAGATGTATAAAAATTCTATTTAGGTACTTATTATAAGATAATTTTGCTGCTAATTTGACTTGATTTGATGATGCTTTATATTTATCTCTATAATAAATATATTAATTACATATTTTAGTGTTATTATGCTCTATTTGAAAGAGGCAGACTGGATGAAGGAGAATCCATACTGATCCATGCCGGTGCAGGTGGAGTAGGCATAGCAGCAATAACTCTTGCTTTGAGTATGAACTGTGAAGTTTACACTACAGTAGGATCGGAAGAAAAAAGAAAATTTTTACTCGAGCTGTTTCCGAGGCTAAATCCTGAAAATATAGGTAAGAATGCAGTTTTACTAATATACATATTTTGTTTTCCGCAATAATCTATTTATGATTTAATTGTTTCACCGGAAATGACTACAACTTTTGATTTTTAAATAGGACCCAACCCAACTTTTTACATTTTCGAATATGGTTTATTTGAAATTGCAACATGCGATTCATAACGACAATTTGACTCGTAATACCCAGTATGTGGCACCAAATTATTCGTAAAAAATGCTTTTTCCAAATCTGCTAATGAGCCACACTCGTTCCATTTGAAAAAAATGGGATTTGATTAAAATTACGATTTAGGTATCTATTAACCGGCCAAGACACAAAAAACATTAGACGATCAAATCTATTTTTCCAAGGCTCTTTGATTAAAAATTAGTGTTTTTCACACAAAAGTTGATATATAATATGTCATTCTATTCAGAATGTCATTTTCTATCGAATAAAGTAAAAACATACCCAGGGTGCCATTTAAAAATCAAAAGTTGTGGTCATTTCCGGTGAAACAAGAAGTGACCGAAAACAATTGAATACCTTAATCAATCCTAATTTATGTCATATACTGACATACCAAATCTCGTTTTTTTATCTGAAAAAAATAAAAAAGTTATGGGGGTGAGTCACTTTTGAGACGCACCCGGTATAGAACTGTTAGTCTGGCGATATCAATACGCCACTTAATTATGAGCTCTCCCGATTTCCTAAAGTCATATTTAGGCCAAGTTTTCCTGGCTGTCTTGGTGTTTAAAGTTTTCCATCTACTGTTCGTCATTTTTCTGATGTATGTAACCTCAAGCCTTGGTCATTTTCCTCGATGTCCTGCAGTCTATAGGTAACCCAAAGAATAGTTCGACTGTATTGTAATTTCTTGGATTATATAAAAATGATCAAGACTTTTTTTTTTCTTTCTAGGACATTCAAGAAATGATTCTTTTGAGAAAATGATAATGAAACGTACTAATGGAAGAGGAGTAGACATTGTGTTAAATTCCTTGTCAGGAAACTTATACCAAGCATCGATTAGATGCGTGGCACAAGGTGGAAGGTTCCTGGAAATTGGCAAAGTTGATCTGTGGTCAGGTACACCTATCAGTTCAAGCTTGTTTGCGAAAAATACCACCTTCCATGGGGTTCATTTGGATGCTTTGTTCCTTGAAAATTCTAAAGTGAAAGAAAGAGTATCAAAAGGTCTGAGAGAAGGTAAATAGCAGTGAATAATTAAATAATAATTCTTCTGTTTTTAAACTTTATTGGACACAAATATAACTACAGTCTATCCCAGGATTGTCTTTACAAGAGGAAACACTTTTTTATTACTGACATTTTGAGAAAAATGCATTCTCCATAAAAAAATTGCTTGTGCTAAAATGGTTAATCCCGTTCAAACTTCCAAATTTCCAAGGCGTGTTAGAGAAAATTTGAAAAAAAACATGAAATTATGGTTGAATTTTTTCCTAAAAATCAAAAGTCGTTTCTCGCCATATTATATTAACGCCATATTTTTTGCTGTTCAAGTATCAAATTTTCCGATAACTATCATCACTCTTTCCGTAGCACTGAACTAAATAAATTCTGTACTTCTTTCTAAATAAATTCTTGTGCGTAATTCTGGCCAGTATTACACTGCTAAATTTCTTTATCAAAGAATTTGACAGTGTAATATCTGTGATTTTATAAAATGTTGTATATTAACACTGTCAAATTTTTCATCAAATATCTTTTATAAAAGATCTTTGACAAAGAAATTTGATAGTGTAATACTGGCCTCTAATGGTGCGTTTAGACTTGAGCACGCACGCACTGATCCTTCGCGAATGCTCAAGTGTAAACGACTGTGCGCGCACGCTCACTCTGAATCTGTCTGTGCGCGAGCAGCCGCGAACGTGAGCCGTCTGCTGTCGGCTTTTGGTCCGTGCTCAAAGGGATTTTATGTGTTCGCGAACGCTCAGATTGCACCGGCAATTTGTTTTGTCTGCACACTTGCGTGCGTCTGCGATTTTTTTTTGTTTTCTTTATTAAAATTATGGAGTGGACCAATGAATCTTCGTTATTATTAATTGAAGAATATGAAAAGTTGCCGATATTAAAAGGATGTTAAACATTCTTTGTATTATTCAAAATCCAAAAAATTACGCATGGCAAGACCTTGTAAATAAAATTAATATTTAACATAGCCCTCCTCAGACACTAAGTTGTTTAATAAATTATATCGACTTCTAAAAATGTGGGTTTGCCACCAGCGATGATGTTTTCGATTTTTCTTCTTTTTAATAATTAAGCTGTGCATAACAATGAATGCAGTCGCGACTATTTCTTGGTCGTCCATTATTTTCACCAACACAACTCTGCTGTGCGCGCACAAGTGGATCACTTCATTCGTCGAAAAATAAGTTTTTAGTTTAAACGGAGCCGAGAGCGCACATTTTAAAACAGCAAAAAATATGACGTTAATTAAAATTCTGTCAATAATAATCTATCAAAGAATGAAAACGAAATTCTATTACCATTACCATAGAAACGTGTTTTAATTTAAAAACTTCATTTTTAGGAAAAAATTCAACAACATTTTCATGTTTTTTTTAATTTCCTCTAAAACGGTATGGAAATTTGGAAAAGTAAAAACGGTTTTAACCATTTTAGGACAAGCAATATTTTTTTATGAAAAATGCATTTTTCTCAAAATTTCAATAATAAAAAAGTTTTTTCTCTTGTACAGACAATCCGGGGACATACTGTATATTATTAAAAAAAAAGAGGGTTCCAAACAAATTTGTAGGTATATATTTTAACAGTACATACATAAATAATATATAACTATTTTTCCAGGACTTCTAAAAGGTAATGTTCGCCCTCTACCAAGAGAGATATTTACAGATGACAAAATAGAAGAGGCATTTAGATTAATGTTAAGTGGAGAACACAAAGGCAAAATACTAATAAAAATCAGAGACGAAAACAAGGAGACAATACGCTCACCAGAGAAGTTTATAACTGCATCTCCTAGGCTATATTTCTCATCAGACTCAACATATATTCTTGTTGGTGGTCTAGGAGGCTTTGGTCTTGAACTCACCCAATTCCTCATAGATAGAGGTGCAAAAAAGATAATTTTGAATTCAAGGCGAAGTACTACAACGGGATACCAGTCGTACTGCTTAAGAAGATGGTCGTTCAATAAAGAACTTGTTATTAAAATTAGCAAAGACGATACGTCAACGTTAGATGGGGCTGAAGCTTTAGTAAAGTATGCTAAAAGCTTTGGAACTGTTAAAGGTAATTTTAGTTGGTTTATGCAGTTTAATTAATATACATATAGAACAAATTACGCTACTTTTTCACATTTTTACATATAACATCCTGAGACTAAAACAATTTATAGGCGTATAAGCAGTAAATACAAAAAAAATTAGTTTGTCACTACCTTATAAAACATTTTGGGTTAAATTATGTTAGAGTGATACTCAATTGAGAAAAGAAATAAAATTTTTCTTTAATAGATAAAAGTTAATTAAAGAAAAACAGTATTAAAAGATAATCTACAATGTTGTCCTAGTATTCCGTGGAAATGTAGAACTAGTACGTGATTTTGGAATCCAAGTTAATTGGATAAAATTTACTGTCTGCAGTGTCTGCTAAAGGGCAATATATTCCAATAAACTGAAATGATCATTACTTTAAATTTATGAAGTTTAGTGTCAAAAATCATTTGCGATACTGACTGAAATCATTTGTAACCAACTAGAATATTATTATCCACTTGATCTGAGCCCTTGATTTAACACAAAAAGTATGCAAGCTGGTGTTTTTCGCAAGAGATAAAAATGTAATAAATACTAGAAAGATCTACTCATTGGCATGAAAAACGACAACCATATAGTTTTGATGTATTTTGATGTTTAATATATTATATTCCAGTGGACCAATTCATCTTTTGAGCAATTTGTAGCTAAATTATTTGCCTTTGTAATATATTTTTCTGAATTAAAAATCAAAGTTGCCATCTGTCAATTATACGAGGGAACACAAAATGTTGTTCATTCATCATCATTTCATAATCTAAGTGCACCTTTTCTCGATAGTTTACTTTTAAGTTCATCCCAATAGTTTTATGGTTTTTGGAGATATTCGCTTTTGAAGAAGACACTAACATTTTTTCGTAATGTTTACCTTAAAACTATGCCTTTGCTTTTGATCCCAGTCAACAGACCTAAGAAATAGTGTTCATGATTTATGTAATGTCACTGGTATTGAAAAATCATATTATTATTGTCTGTTGGCTGGTGGGCAGTTACTGTAGCAGAGATGGTCTTAAGTCTAGAAGTTCTATCTGCTATAGTTGTGTTAATTGAAGATGATAGAGATCAAAATCATGTCGTTAATATATTTAGGTGTGCACCAAGTACAATGCAGTCACTCCCTCGAGATAAGTTCATATGCCAGACGTCCAGTAACCTTCGTATGGGAATTTCGAATTGAGACGATCGGCTTATTTTAAGTTTATCACTAAGACGCCACCGTTTGTCATCTTTTTAAATTTATAATGAATTGCAGCCAAGGAACGTACATGTACGTGAACGGACTATAATAAGGAGATTGAACGAAGCAAATATTATGTCAAGAAGGCCTGCTTCAAGATCACAACTTTCTAGGTCTGTTAGTCAACCAATCATCAGACCAAAAGCAAATCTTCAAAAGCGAATATCTTTCACAAAAATAAAGCTATTGAGATTATCCAAAATACAAACTATTGAGAAAGGATGTACTTAGATGATAAAATTATTTTTAAATGACTTGCTATCTTAACATATCCTACAGGGTGTTTCAAACTTTCTCCAAAATATCAACATTTTTTCCCTCGTATAATTGACAAATGGAAATTTTCATTTTTAATTTAGAAAAAAGTCTAAACTTAGCTACATATTGCTTAAAAATCATCAAAATCGGCCAACTAGAACAAAATATATTACATTTTAAAATACATAAAAATTTTAAGGTGCCCGTTTTTTTGAGCCGGACAGTGTATTTTACTGTATTTAACAAAAAAAAAAAAAGAAATCATTCTTCATTGATTTCAATATTTTTGCTAGCATTTATCTAAAGATGAGGATAGCTTTCACTCGATGAAGCACTCTAACGGACAAACGAAGCTGCTTTATATACAGGGTGGTCTGAACTGTATTCGTTTCGTTCCGTTTATTACGTAATAAAGATCTCTTGGTAAAAATCGCTACGAGCAATGGTTCTCGAGATATTTGGAATCTAAATTATCAATGCCTGTCACCATCGACATACAATTAAACATGTTGACTAAATAGTATTAAACTGAAATCATAAATTTGAAATTATTTTTGTGCCAAAAGTTCAACAGAAACTGTTTTATCATCGTTTTTTTCGCAGATAAATTTATGATTAATTGAAAAAAATAAAAATTTCCCAAATTTATTATTTCAGTCAAATAACTATCTACTCAACGCGCAACGTGTTTATTTTTTGTCAATAATGACATAGATTGACTATTTCAATTCTAAATATCTTGAGAACGGTTGCTCGTAGCGATTTTTAACAAGAGACATTTTTGAAGTAAAAATCACGGAAATACATATTTTTTTTAGCCAGTAGATTTATACAGGTACAGACGAAAACAGATTACTCTTCAAAACTGTTAAAACACATGTAGGTGGCGCTCCCTACAAATAGGAGTCATATTGACATAAAAATCAAATTTCTCATGTCAAGAAACTCCCAGATACCAATTTTCATCTAAATATTGACGTTAGTTCTGAAATTATTTGGAAAAAATCGGAATAAAAATGAAAATTCTACACCCTGTATCGAAACTAAGCAATTTAGGACATACATTTATACGAACTTTTTTACTTATTTTTATCTGCAGAATATGCTGCCGAAGTTTCCGGAATACAGTTCGGACCACCCTGTATAAAAGTTATATAAGGTTACTTTTATATACTAAATAAAAATAAACTGTGTTCAATTAATTCATTTTGATTCTAAAAACAGTTTCATACCGACGGAATATTGGGACATCCTGTATATTTTGATTTTTTCTCACACTTCAGGTATATTTAACATGGCCCTGGTCCTTGATGATGCTTTATTCAGAAATCAAACAGCTGACAAATACAAAAACGTCTTCAAACCTAAACTATATTCTGGCTCAAATATGGATATAGTTACAAGGTGATCAATAAAGCAGTTGTTATAAAGTAAATCCGTTTACTTTTATATGCTTTAATTTTACAGAAAATTATGTAAAGACCTCGACTACTTTGTAGTCTTTAGCACCATGACCAGTGGAAAGGGTAATCCGGGACAAAGTAACTATGGAATGTCTAATTCTGCATTAGAAAGGTTGTGTGAAAAGAGAAAAGAAGATAATTTACATGCACTGGCTATACAGTATGGGCCTGTAGCAGATGTTGGTTTTGTGTTCGAGGCTATGAAAACTAAGGTACTAATTTTAGGTTATGACATGTAGAATGTAGAATATTTGGGAGGGGAGTTAATCACCGCGACCTTACAGATCTATTGTGTGTCCCCCTTTCTTGAGTTATAACATCAGACAGTCTTAGGATTTTGACAAAAGCCAGTATCTGAGACGGCTTCACAGTGGCTAGTTTTCCATCTGCGATATCAGTCGTAGCAAAATTTATGGCACGAATGGTTGTCGTCTCGGCGCACTCAGTAATGTGGTGTTCTGGTGTTTCCCTATTTTCGCCACAGAATCTGCATTCGCCGTTGTTTCTTAGCTTCAATCTACTGAGGTGTTCGTATAGCAGGCTGTTAGAAACCCCGCGACAATCCAAAGGTTGTTCTTACTTAAGTCAAGAAATTTTTTTTATTTTTTTCGGTCGTAAGTTCTGAGAATTTTTTTGAGTCTTAGACCGTTCGTTGATGGATTCCCCAAACCAAACTTTCGGATAAGATGGCTCTTTCCTGTTTCTCGTCGTCGTCGTATCTTTTTTCGGTTTAGGTTTAAAAACCTGTTCCGCTTCACCATCTTAGTCTTGGTCGTCCAATACTTTGCCTTCCTGGATGTTGAAATCGTAGCATTTTTGTGGAATTCTCTCGTCTAACATTCTTTCTACATATTCCTTCCATTTGTTTTTACATACTCTCACTTTTTCTTCTAATGGTTGTATTTTTAGTTAATTTCTTATTGTGTCATAACTTCTTCTTTAACTCTTGTTCTTAACGTTCTTCTTTCTTCTTCTTCTTCTTTAACTTTAGTGGTAGTCCAGGCTTCACTTTCGTATAATACTATCGGTACCGCTAATGTATTATATAGTCTTACATGCGTTTCTAGTCGTGCTTTGTTTTTAAAAGTTTTTGCGATAGTTCCACACACTGACTGGATTTTTTTTTCATGTAGTCATTATCTCTATTATAGGTTATGTGGCAGCAGAAGCTGACTGCGATTTTTGCTGTAGTGGTTTATTTCTTAAAACTATTTAGGTGCAGATTCCGTCTATGCCCCAGTGTGCCATCACTTTTGTTTTTTCTGTAGATATTTTTCCATCATATTTTGTTATTAACTTGTCTAGGAGATGAACCTGCCTTTGTAAGGTATCCTCGTCTGGTGATCGTATCACTTGGTCGTCTGCAAACAGTAGTATATTCAGAAAATATTGTCGGTCTATTGGGATACCTCTTGGTGCTATTTCTTTCCATTCTCTTATAACCTGGTCCACATATATATGAAAAAGTGTAGGGGAAAGAGGACATCCTTGTCTTGTACCTCTATTAACTTCTATTGAATTATCCCCTTTTACAATCTTAATATAAGTTCTGTGATAATAGCTCTTTAATACATAAATTAAGTGCATGGGGGAATCCTTTCTTTATCATTATTTTACATAACTTGTCCCTATTTACATAATCAAAGGCTTTTTCTAGGTCTATAAAAGCTAAGTGGGTTTGTTGGTTAAATTCTTGTATTTTTTCTATTAGTTGCTTTAATGAGAAAACGTTATCAATAGCGACTTTTTCGAAATCCACTTTGTTCTTCGAGTAATATATTTTCTGATATTATTTGTACCTACTCGTTTACAGATCATCTTTGCGTAGATTTTATATTCTGAATTGGAGGAGACTGATACCTCCCTAATTACTGCAAATTTGTCTGTTTCCTTTTTTAAAGATAGGTTGAACGATACTAATTTGCCATTTAGACGATGTTTTTGCATAGCGCTAGCAAGTGTAGTACAAGTGTAGTAAACGGTGTTTAAGGAGAAGCCCACCACACTTGTAAAGTTCAATATTTAGACTATCTCAGCCTGTTGCTTTTCTATTTTTGCATCTCTCCAAAGCATCATTCAATTCTTCCAAGGTGAGGGGATCTACTCTGTTACTACTGTATCTCTCTTACTGTTACTACTGTATTACTACTGTATCTACAATTATACTAAATGTTTGAAATAATTATATTATTTGTCATTGTAAACTTAGTTGTTTATATTCTAAATTGAAGGAAAATGGAAATTGGACTTCATTTTTATAAGAGTTTATATTTTTGGGATAAATATGACATTTATTTTATTTCAGCCTGTCGAAATGCATCACCTTGTTCCTCAAAATATATACTCCTGCTTGAATGCTTTGGAATCATTTATGCTTCAGTCTTGTATAATCGTATCAACATATTGTGTGGCAGAGAAGAACAAAACAAGTTGTACTATTAAGAAAAGTTTGGTGGACACAGTTGCTCACATCATAGGCATTAAAAACATGGGTAAAACTTTACTTTTACATTTATTTTACACTGAACCATATAACATACCTTTACATACTTAATTTCAGTCCTGAATATAAGGTTTTACAATAGTAAGCCCCATACTATTTTTTACCCGACTGAAATACTTTTTGAATTATTTTTTCAAATCGTCTTGATGATTTTTTGAAGAGGCGTTAAAGTTGTACTTTCGTCTAGAATTTTGTTTTGTTTGGAATATGCATTTAAATGTTACTTGAAAAAATCTACGTTCAAAATACTAAAATTTTAGAATACGGCCTTCCTAACATCATTATTAGATACATTTTGTTTCTCTTAATGTAAATATAATGAAGGAAACGTTTTTAAACCGCCTCAATCTCGTTATTGTGCATGAGTGTAACAATTGGGAGACTAGCTGTTTGACGTATATTCAAGATGCGGTCTTACAAGAGAGGTATAAAGTCTTGTAGTTGATTGTATATCGAAATCTTTACTATTACGCATAACAAAACCAAGAATATGCTTTGTTAATCAGATAGTTGTAATGATTGTTAATTTAAAATTATCCTGAAAAACCACTTCCAGGTCTTTAACTTCCTTACACATCACAACCTTACAATTTCCAATGTGGTAGTCTTCAATAACTGGGAAAAAGAAACAACACAACACTTTCCAGTATTAAAAAGCATCTTGTTCTCCGTAAACCAATCCAGAGCTAAGTTCAAATAACTTTGAAGAGCCAAGTATCATCAATATTATTAATTGGTTTGGAAAAGTATTTTTTTGCAAATAACATTTAAATGCTGATTCCGAACGAAACTAAATTCTAGACGAAAATATAACTTTAACGCCTCTCCAAAAATGTCTAATACAACTTTTGCATAAAATTATCTGCAGAGATACCTACTATTTAACATTTTAAAATTTTCAATGGATTTCCTATATCGCGTGTTCCGATGCACCGCACGGTATAAATCTAGTTTTATTTTGTTACTTTTTAGATGCATTTGATAAAAACCAACAACTGCCACAACTTGGAATGGATTCCTTAATGGCTGCCGAAATAAAACAAGTCATGTACAGAACGTTTAATATTGACATGGAAGCAGAACAATTAAAAGACTTAACATTTACCAAACTGCAAGAACTATCGCAAAGTTGCAGTATTGATAATCCAAATTCATGTACAAACGGATTCAAATCTACTGAAGTCAAATTAAAAATAGCAAAGGAATCAGTCATCCCTATTATTAATGATCCTTCATATACAACCAAAATATTTCTCTTTCATCCGCTTGAAGGACATATTAAGGCTTTGATACCATTGGCTGAAGAATTGAAAGCGAACGTATACGGACTTCAATCGTTAGATGACAGAGATAGTGAGGATATGGAAGTTTTAACAACAAAATTTGTAGAAGAAATCAGAAGGATACAACCTGAAGGGCCTTATATTCTATGCGGATACTCCTTTGGAGGTATTTTAGGATTTGACGTTGGTGTGCAGTTGGAGAAGCAAGGTGAACGCGTGCGAATGTTTTTGATTGACGGGACACCGTTTTTGATGAAAATAATGTTGAATTTTATTTTGGATAAAAGTTCAAATGTCAAACAAGTGTCAAAAGCAAAGATTTTTAGACATTTCATTCCGAATATTGAGGAAAGGGATGATGAGGTAAGGTTATTATTTTTCTCCAGGGATGGGCTTGTAATATATGTATACTGTGTGACATAGAGATTGCAACACCCAGTAAATTTTAATATATTAACAATGCAGTAGTGAGTTGCATCTCCAAGTAAGTTTTGACATTCTTTAAATCTTCGTGGTAGGTCGGCGTCCAGTTGGCTGGGAAATGACGATCGATGACATTTCCCATATAAATTTACATATAAAATGACAGAGATCTCCATTTCATAGCCATCGCTAACGCAGTTTTTTTCGATCATACGATATATACACTGTGTGATCAGTTATAACTCGAGAAAAAGGGAAACAATAGATCTTTAAGGTCTCGGTGATTAACCCCCCTTCCACTGATTCTACATTCTTCTACACTTTATGCAAGCTATCAACCGACAAAACATGAGAAGTATAGCTTACCATGTACTGGGTATTTCAGTTTCTATATCACACAGTATAATTTAATTTTCACTTGTAAGCCAAAAAGCAAACTTTTTTTAAACCCAGTTAACTAGTTTTAACGTTTTTATTGGAAAAAAAATCACACCACGTGTATAGAACATATTACTTCCTGGTTTCACCACATCTGTTTGAAAATATACATTTATATTGTGTTGTAAATTTTTAGCTCACCACAATTTTCGATTCGTCAATGTCTCACCAGGAAAAAATAGAGCAAATAAGAAACAACATCTTAAGCAAATATGGCCACGATAGAGAAACAGCTCTTTATATTAATGGGTAAAATAAATAAAATATATAATAAAAAAATTGTCTTCTTTTTATTCAATAAGTTATATTAGTGACAATGCTTTACAATTTTTAGCCTGTTTCGAAGAGTACTAGCAGGATACTACTACGAAACGTCAAACATGTTCAAGGGAGATGTTACGCTGTTCAGGTCAACTAGTGAGAGCACCCCATATTTCTCAAATGATTACGACTTGCAACAGGTAGATTAGATTGACATTAATAGTTTTTAGTCATTTTGCCGGCGGAAGACAAAAATTGAGACCGGGCGAGTAACTTTTTTGCGTCCATATGTTTTTAAGCAGTTTCGTGTATATTGTCGCGACCTAGCTGGGGGTTGTTTGCTAGGGTCGCTATACCAGGTTCTCTCTCTCAATCAAAACAACCATTGAATAAAATATTCATTTATTTAATATAAAGTTCACAGTATAATACAATTTTGGGGAATGCCAAGACTTAATGGTTTAGTTAACTAAGTACTTACAGGAACATCTTCAGTCTGCGCTGTCTTCTGCTAACGGACTGATAACGCGAATTACTGACTGTATAATACGACTCACATCGATGGACTAACTAACTACCCCTGTCCTCAGCACACCATTTTATATTTTTCCGCTCGTCCCAATTATCGGCGGGTACGTGCTCAAAAATCTCCTTTGTATATTTCCAGCACCGATATTTAGTACGAGCTAGCCCTGAAACATCACGCTTACATCGACCTGATTTTAATTGTTTAATTAATAATGTTTATTATAAGAACATATTCAGGTCGACGTATACGCGAACGATTCCCTTGAATCTACATCAAATTGGTTTACTAGAATTATATTTTACATGATTTTTCCCAATCTGATGTAAACCCAAGTTGGCCTATATTTAAGTCTTGACAATATATTAGTATATATTCACACTGTATCGCCTAGAGATATATGATTGTTAATACGGACGTTCGCCGAACAATATACTGACTTGTAATATTACAATCAACGAGATTCGCGCTAAAAACCCGACAGTCGAGTGGTGCACCGTTGTTGATAGCGAACTGTTCGATTCGCCGATTATTTTCTGGCATTGACTAGCGAATGCTCGCATTATGCCGCGGTTTATACATGCGGCAGTCGGCGATTTCCGAGCGCTCGTCATCGGACTTCGCCTTTCCGTCCACACCGCCGAGCTCTGATAGCAACAACATAGAGACGAGCGCCAGGGTCGCCACAAGCTACACAATTGTGTACTTTGCTTCATATTTGCTTCAATGATTTCCCCGCTACACCACAATCGCCTGAGCTACGCATTTTGAGAATTTACATAATTCGTATAAAAAAATATTACCAGAACAGTAAATCAGCTCACAAAAGCCGATTTTTTTGCTTTTAAGTTATATAAGTTAGTACATCAAAAGAGGCCGCAAATGTACTGAAATGTAATTTTGAACTCAGTAAAATGTCAGAGTATGAACTGGGTCATGAGTCAAGGACCAATAGAAAAGAGCCAAAAAACGGTAAATATACAGGATTGCTCAATCCCTTCAATAACAGTTTACTTCGGGTTTTTCTTATTGCCGATTCTGAATCCTCCTAAAACTGTGATACGCATGCGCAGATGAAAATATAAAGCAATTATTTCATTTGCGCATGGGCTGCAGAATTCTAGAACGGTTCAGAATCGGTTAACAAGAGCCCGAACAAATCTAATACATAAACTTGGTTCTGCTTAAACAAAATTTTTATCTGTATACTTATAGAATACCTAATCTGTGGTCTGACTTCCACTCGTTTGCATACGTGAATATTATTCAATTCCTTTTTCACTTCCTTCCATATCAGCAAGGACTGCAGTTTCTATGGACAAATTTGGCCGATTAAACAGTTATGAATAGTTTACACTTTTATGAAGATATACCTAACATTTAAATATTTATTCCAAATAAAACGAAATTATACACAGAAGTACAGCTTTAACACTTTTTCAAAGAGATTTGAATTTTTAAACAGAATTAACCGGTCTAATTTGTCCATAATATCGTTGTTTCGCGGCATCAATTTTGACGTCACTCCAGTCCTTGCTGAAATGAGAGGAAATATAATAGGAAATGAATATATTGGCGTATACAAACGAGTGGAAGTGAGACTCGTAATCATGCTTTAAAATTTGGTGAATTTTCGTCTTATTGTATAGTTTACAGTTATTCGTCAGGGACACAATGCTACACATTTTTATGGTCAAGTTCTGCACAATCAAAAAGTTTCTTGTGGCAACCCTGACGAGCGCTCATTCTCGTCGTCGCGCGTCGCGCCGATCGAGTCGCCGAATTCCAACTTGCTCTTCCACACTGGTCGGTCCACAATCTTCATATTTAGATTTAGAATTAAAAAAATGAGCATTTGTTGTAAAATATTTTTAAATTTTTAACCGTTTTGCAAAAATTTGAGGTATTATATTTCACATATTATGACTCTTTCGTAAATTTTCATCACAGCCTAATCTAAGAAACCACCTTATGATTATGATTTTTGGCTAGTATTTTACCGTTGATAGCGTCATATATGTAATAATACATAAATAGTAAATTTAAAAAAAATAACATTTTGTTTGTGTATTTTCTAAAATATCTGTTTTTTTAGGTTTGCAAGCAAAGTATTGATTTGAAGCCTTTAAAAGGAAACCATAGAGAAATACTGTTTGGTGACAATTTATCTTATATTGCCAATGATATAAATTCTTATTTGTCTCGATCTCGATAAGTCAGATAAGCATAGATTGTCAAAAACTCTGTGATTATTAAAAAAATATGTTTAAAATTATGATAGAGTTTATTTGTCATATTGAAACTTCCCCCAAATTTTTATTTTTGAAAATAAAAATATTATATATAAGATTAAGCCTTAATACCAGATAATAAGCTGTAAATTTATTTGCATTAGTTTCAAGTCTATAACGAATCTTTTTTGGAATAAACAGAATTAATAAAAAAATGGCAAAACTTAAATTCGTTTTTTTCTCAACAAAAACATCACATTTGGGGGTTTACATGTGCACTTATTGGGGAACCACCAGAACAGTCCTACAAGTAAGCAGACGTCTTTTTTTCTTGGACCACCCTGTAGGAATATCAATAAAACACAATATTTACTGGATTTTTATTTTATTTTGTTTAAAGCTATAAGCATAAATTTTAAGGTGAATAAATTAACATTAGTCGTCAATAAAGAATTGCGAAAGTAGGTTTAGAGTACCAGCTACAATGATTAAGACATGCCAGAAGGCTTTACACGTTGTCAGTTCTCTTGATTTCCTTAAACTGGATAATTTAAGTAGATTCGGCAACATGAAGATATAAACCATTCCACTCAGTGCTCCAGTATATCTAAAAAATAGGAAAGACAATTTTTAAATGGGACATCTCTGTGTAGTAAGTATAAAACACATTTTTTCTGATTTTAAACATAAATACAGGGTGTTTCAAAAAATATGTGCCATCTGTCGTAGGGCGATTCCTCACGTAAAAATAAGATTTATTTTTCATATAGGTGCGATTTTGCTGTCTTTATACATTTATTATAATTTTCTTCCAACTGATTTTAGTGGTTGAAATGAAATTTCAAGGGGAAAAGTTACTACAAGTGCTACACATTTTAATGCTAAAAAGTGTCCACAGATTCATCAGGGACATGCTTATGGGTTATCACTGGAATATTTTTCGGAAAAAAAATGTGCACCACTGACTTTTTTCTTTTGATAACAAAATTGTGTAGGCCGTTTAATGCCAATTAAAACTTATATCTTGATATTTTGTCGATTTCGATCTCCTTGATGAGATTAACGCAAGTTTATTAATCACAAATTAATAAAACAAAAAATATTAAGACTATTTTACAATTAACAAATTAACACCCTGTAGCCACGAAATAAAGCAGAATCGGACCTATGTTGATAACAATTTACAAGTTTTTCAATGTCTACAATAATTGCTAAAATTTAAATAAATGGCTATGTTTTACATAATTACTCATAATATGACATCCAAATTATATTTTTCCTCATGTTACTCATCAAAATGTAATTAAGATATAATACCTCTCGTAAGTAGTTACATAGAAAAAAAGGTTCCCTCTATACCAAATAAATATTAAACAAAATTAGTATCTACCTAATCAGGGTTCCGATTTTAGGAAGGAAGCATGCAAACATTACACATATAAACAACAGTACGGTGTTCAATATCATCACTCTTCCATATGTGAAATCTCCAAAACGATAATTCTTGAATATTTGATTGATATTTCCTAAAATATCATTCCTTAACATGAAGGAAATCAGGGGAAAAACTGTAAAGAGTTGGAACAGGAGCAATATCCTTGCGATTATGGTCAATGTATCGTTTTTGCTGAAGTTATTTAGAATATTCTGAAAGAGAAAAATATAAATATTAATTTTCTGTCCAAAAAATTGGCTGTTTAATTAAAAAAAATATTTAAAAGCTTTTAGTTGTTGAAAAAAAAAAATAATGCAAAGTTTTGAGGCAAACCATTTTAAAGAAACTAAGAACGAAAAACTTTATATCATTGAGCAAACACCATATGCAGTGACTGTGCATCACTTGATGCTAAATTAAATCATATTAAAATGAATCTGCTTCAGAATGGATACTTTCAGAAGTTTCTGGACAAATTTATATCGAATTGTAAAACTAGACTGGTGCAACAGACCAGTCTAAGGAAGATTCTCCCTCTATCTCTGACTATTCCATATTTAAAAGGAATATCAGAAAAGATATAACATTAAAACTTTCTTCAAATCTGGAACGATTCTAAGTAAAACTAGGAGTAACTAGTACTCTAGTAAAGTCTAACAAAAATAAGACCAGAACATAAAGATAAAAGAAAGAGCAAATTTATAGGCACCTTGTGAATGCGGTGAGCCGTATATTGGAGAGACAGAACGCCCTCTAAATGCACTGAACACAAAACACGTTTATAGAGAGGTGAAACAACAAAGTCAGATATTGCATATGACAATATAAAGTGGCTGGAAGCTTGGGTTGTCCACAAGGAACGTCACTGGAAAAATTGTAAATTTGAAGAAGCCGTTTTATCAAACAACAATAAGATCTTTAGAAATCCAACTATGAAAATCTCAACAATATGATAACCATTTATAAAATGCACCAGTGCCGTCAGTCTCAGCGAACAACCTCACCCTTGACTACACTCAACTTTGTCTACCACTACCAAAGAAATCATTGCATAGTATTAATTGTAATAAAAATGTTACTTACATCTTCTATACAGGATTTTGCAAGCGGGAAGCTTATATAAAACAATATTCCTATAAATAAGTATGTAAATGTTACCAAGCCAAAAGCTATAGTCAAGTCTCTGCCCTAAAAATAAATAAGATTAGTATTATTTATTAACTAACAAGTAATAATTCTTAAATATTTTTCGCGAAAAAAAAAATCAAAAATTTGGAATGTTGTAAAAAGCTTTTTGGAATATTTATTAGTTTTTAGTTAAAAACCGTAATTTCTTAATAATTTGTCAACGTAGATAATAGATTAAATTTACAAGAAAGAAAACCCAGAAAAGATCCAGTGGTTCTCAAAATTTAAGGAAATTAAAGAGAAAATATGTCTCTTTTATCGAGATCTACAAGCCCTGAAAATATTTGCACTTATTTAAGACCTCGCCCTGTATAAAATACGTTACGTGTAGTAAACCAATGAATTATCAAAATCACTTGGAATTAACTAATTATACGAACCGTACTTCTTCAATTTTTGCTTTTATCTTTTACAACTTTTCAAAAATAATAATTAGGATACTCCATTTTGACTTAAGTATTTGAGTAGCGTATCTGATATTTTTGTTAATAAACAATTTACTTTATCCAAAAAAATCCTTATGGGTTTTTCGCCACTGCACTGCAAGATAAATCTACAAAATAAAATAGTTATTTTAACACTTCTGCGTTAAACCTAAACGGACGCTGCTTGTCAGAAGTTGTGTTTACAGTAATAAAAATTTGCCTAACAAAGAAAAAAATGCTTAACGTTTCGGAAAGTTTTCTCTTTCCGTCGTCGGAAGCAAAAAAAAATATAAAGAATCAAGAAAAAAACTATTTAAAATATTTAAATTGAACTATTCGAGAACACTTTACTTTTTAAAACAGATACGTCTACAAGAAATCGTTGACGTTCTGTTAAAATGACATTATATTAAGTTAAACTTCAAAACTAACAATTACTACCTGATAATTACTTAATAAGGTAAAACCAAAAAGCCCAAACTTTCTGTATGATTATTTTTAAATTTCACGTATGTTATGTTTATTTATGTAATGTTCTTTAAAATCAAAGAAGCGATTGCCATACATTACTAACATCTACAGATGCATGAGCAATACATTTATTTTTATTAGATTAAATTAAAAAAGCCTCTTTTATTTTTCTTTATCGCTTCTTTCATTATAATTTTGGCGTTATTAAAATTTATTCTGTGCCCTGTGTCCCATGAATGCTGACAAATCTTAGATTTGAAAATCTCCCTTTCTTAAATAATATTTATGTTCTTTAATTCTAACATTTAAGGGTCTAGATGTTTCACCAATGTAAAATTTATCGCATTCACAGGGTATTTGGTATATTACATTTTTTTTTAATAACGCCAAAATTATAATGAAAGAAGCGATAGCCTCTAAAAGAAAAATAAAAGAGGCTTTTTTAATTCAATCTAATAAAAATAAATGTATTGCTCATGCATCTGTAGATGTTAGTAATGTATGACAATCGCTTCTTTGATTTTAAAGAACATTACATAAATAAACATACGTAAAATTTAAAAACAATCATACAGAAAGTTTGGGCTTTTTGGTTTTACCTTATTAAGTAATTATCAGGTAGTAATTGTTAATTTTGAAGTTTAACTTAATATAATGTCATTTTAACAGAACGTCAACGATTTCTTGTAGATGTATCTGTTTTAAAAAGTAAAGTGTTCTCGAATAGTTCAATTTAAATATTTTAAATAGTTTTTTTCTTGATTCTTTATATTTTTTTGCTTCCGACGACGGAAAGAGAAAACTTTCCGAAACGTTAAGCATCTTTTTCTTTGTTAGGCAAAATTTTTATTACTGTAAACACAACTTCTGACAAGCAGCGTCCGTTTAAGTTTAACGCAAAAGTGTTTACAAAAAATAACTATTTTATTTTGTAGATTTTTCTTGCAGTGCAGTGGCGAAAAACCCATAAGGATTTTTTTGGATAGATGAATCCGCCACATAGGTATAGACATTTTTTACAATTTACTTTGTTGATATGCTGCTTTCTTAATCTTTTTATCTAAAGGTTAAATAATTTACTATTTTCTACGTACGTTATTCTCCTGGCATTTATTATTTCTCATTATGGAAATAATAATATTATGAATGAAATAGCTCAATGACAACATTCCACTTAGAGCGGTAAAAGTTGGTTTTAAATATAACTCCGAAGTCCAGTCAGGAATGTTGATACCCCAATTAGAAGCCTTCACAGCCACAAATATAATTAAATATAATACACTAATTGTACCTAAAATTAAAAAGTAAAAATAACGTTTTCTTGAATTAAGTTCCAATCTGATAAAAAAACAGCGTCAGCGATGGCTATGAAATGCAGATCATGATCGTCATTTCCAACCAAATAGACGCTCACTTAAGTACAAGAGTCCCTTGTTTTACACGGGAGTTACGTTCCTTGAAATGCCGCGTATATTAAAACAAGCATTTTATTACATAGCAAATAGGATTGATTGATGCATTTACTTAGTTTCGGTCACTTACTGTTTCACAGGTAATTACTACAACTGTTGATTTTTAAATGGCATCACCTTGTTTGTTACTTTATTGAGTAGAATGACCTATCATAAATATGTCAACTTTTGACATTTTCGCTTAAGAAAATTAGCTTTAATTTCAATATAAAGTACCATGACAAAAAATGTAACGACAATTTGATTTGAAATACCAAGTATTTGTTACCAAATTATTTATAAAAAAGCAAACATCGACAATCAAGTCTATTTTTTCAAGGCTCCTTCATGAAATATTAGTGGTTTTAAGACAGCCATGGCATTCTCGACTGAAATTTAAAATACTTTTTTTTTAAATTTAAAATGCCAAATCCAAATGTGATCCTATTCAGAATGTTATTTTCTGCGAAATGACCGAACCTAATTGAATACATCAGTCAGTCCCTATTTATGTTATATACATTAGGCGAAATCTTGTTTATTATCTAGAAAAATAAATAATAAGTAATAGGGATTTTGCTACTTTTGAAAAATACCCGGTATATGAACATAAATAAATTTAAACAAAAAAAATGGTGCCAATGCCACAAAGACCTCCTGTTTAGTTTTCAAACTTTTTTCTTCAATTTTCAGAGAGATCATGTGTTATGGTAAGACATTTGTGTAGAGTTTTCAGTGTTAACTCCTTTGGTGTCAAGACTACATTCTCATATCTTTCATTAGTTTCAGTTGTATGCCCCAATTGTCTGAATTCTTCTTCAGTAAGTCCAATCTTTCTGATGCATCATTAAATTCATCTCCAGATCCCCAATCATTAAATACCTCCCCAATTATTGAATTCCTCCCCAGATAACGACCTTCTTACATCATCAATTTCTGACGTTATGCAGCCAATATATGTATATGTTACGGTTAAGGTCCGATGTCCGGTTAATGTTGACATTACCCGGTTAATCTCGAGAATAACACACAATAAAACAACCAAAAACATAACCTAACCCAAACATTAACATGTTAGAGTAAACGCCACAAATGTTTGGGAGTGATTCATCCCTTGATGAAGTTAGAATCGACACGCGCGCTATCATTTTTACATTAAAAACGTAAATTTTTACCGCAGACGTAGGTTTTTGAAGGCCCGGTCTAATCATCTGCCTGCGCTCCTCCTACTTAAATGCTAGCGTGATTGACAAAGACGTTTCTTTGATTGATTCGTTTTTGTGCGTCAGTCCATTGGTGTGCTTGCAGTGCCACGAATGGGGCATTCCATTTTATATTTATAACCAAATATATGTTTTGACAAGACTTTGACAGTTAAAACAACAAATTACAACAGATTATATATTGATTATTATATGACTTGAAAGACCACGGCACTGGAATTAAGTTTTATGTGACGTTGAACAGATTAGTTCACAATGGTGTCGACATTAACCGGACATCGGACTTTAACCGTAACATATGTGTACCTATATTACGTTTCCCATCATATGTTAGAACTCGATAACTTGTTTATTTATTATCGTATTGAGTTATACAAAACCTTTTCTATCTAATATGGAATTAATAAAACCGCGTAAAATATGTCAATAGTGTCAAAAATTCAGGCGCGTATAAGCGAATGCTTATATGCCGCGTAAGACGAGGAACTCTTTTACTGACAAAGATGCTTACCTAAACTATTAAATTTAGTAAAAAACGTTGGCGACTTAAAGTTTAAAACTCCAAACATTATCACAGACAAATAAATGGGAACGGTACTGTTTAAGTCCCAAATTCTATCAAAGAGAGTTTCAACTTGTACAGGTACCACAGTTAAGTTCGTATCGTTAAGTTGAAATGTCACGTTACTTTCCTTTGGACACAGAACAGCTTTTGGTGTTGACGTGATCTCCGGATCAACCAGAAACCCTAAAAATACAATCAAGAATAATCAAACATTACAAATATATAATACTTAGCATCTATAGTGGAGAAGACCAAGCGGGTATTTTGGGATTTACTCAAGCTCGGCAAAATAATATACGGGGAGAAACATTGCACCCTTTTAAGTACACCTACTATACAGGAATCTTTTATACAGGGAGGTGCGTGTAGGGCAGCCGAACAGTTAGTTCTTGTAACATAATTCATTTTTTTTTGATTATGTTACAAGAACTTTATGTGCAAAATTCATAACAAATTCTTAGGTAGTACAAAATTTACTCACCGTAAAGAAAATATACGAAATTATAGAGAAAATTAGACATAAGTATCATGTAAACTATGTTCGCTCCTAGAAGTACAACTATAGAAAAAATCTTGGCTAGTATTTCAGCCCACCTGCCTAACAAGTCTTTACAGAGGTGATGGACCTCGATGTCTTTACCCGGCATACCTAAAAAATAAATCCATATTAGAAAAATTAATGACTAAAGAAATTATATTAAGAACCAGTTCATATACAGTATGTCCCAGGATTGTCTTTACAAGAGGAACAACTATTTTATTATTGACATTTTGAGAAAAATTCATTCTTTTGCAAAACCATTTTAAAACAAGCAAAAATTTTTGCTTGTTTTAAAATGGTTAATCCTGTAATCCGTATACTTATATTCAAATTTCCATACTGTTTTAAAGGAAGTTAAAAAAAAACATAAAAATAATTTAGCTATTAAAAAAAAAATTAAAAATAAAAACGCGTTTCTATGGTGATATAATTTCATTTTCATTCTTTGATTGATTGTTATTGATAGAATTTTAATTAACATCATATTTCATTGCTGTTTTATAATGTTAAAGAAGTACAAAATTTATATATAAGTTCGATGTTACGGAAAGGGTGATAATAGTTTTCGGAAAATATGATACTTTAACAACAGCAAAAAATATGACGTTAATCAAAATTAATAATAAACATCTATCAAAAAATGTAATCGTAATTGTATTACTATATAGGAAACGCCTTTCGATTTTTAGGACTTTCAACCATATTATCATGATTTTTTTTTCGTTTTTCTAAAACCATTTTAGAAGAAGCAAAATTTTTTTATGAAGAATGCATTTTTCTCAAAATGTCAATAATAAAAAAGTTTTTCCTCTTGTAAAGACAACCCGGAGACATGCTGTAAATATAAATAAAATATTAACTAACCCTCGTATATAAATAATTCGGTATTACTGATTGAACATTCCCTGTAAATATTTTCTCTACTTATACAAAAATCAATAAAACTTGATTCAGTTTAAGAAATTGACTTAGTGAAGTAATTCCTTAAACTGTGTTTTTGATGTAGAATCTAATACCAAATAACAATTCGTTTGAAACTTAGAACACACTTATTCCATTTTCTTATAATCTTATAAACAGGTTAAAATAAAACAGCATGCTGTCGCATCAAGTAAATGAATTATTGGTCGATAAAAAAGGCTTTATGTTGGAAGTCATGACAAGTATTGCGGTTGTCATAATATCTTTCCTTGAAAATCTGATATGAATAATTTTTTTTAAAGTTTTCTTTGACAAATTTGAAATTAAATCTGAGTTTTGTTTAGTTAAAACTGCGATGTTCGTTGCAAAAAGTGCAAAACTATTAAATAGTCGGAATAAGCAACTTGTCTCGTCTCTACTCAATTATTTTGAGGAGGAAAAAGACCCTGGCGAGACAGTTTTGTCGTCAAACTGCGTTAGAGAGGTAAAAATTTATATTTTACTTAAGTTTCGCGGCTTTTATTGGAAATACATAGATCTTTCAGCGTGTTTCAGCTGCATGTGGTTGTGTTGACTTACCGTGCCTTTCGTTAATTGAGAGTAGCATGTAGCAAGTATAAAGACATAAAGCTGCCACCATAATGTTGATTATAATACTTGGAAGTAAACCTGCCATTTGAATTCCCCACGACATGGCTAGCAATGAAGATCCCATTGTTGTATTCCATATTGCAAATCTACAAATATTTATTACTTCATAATAATTGGTTGTGGTATTTAATCGAATACTAATACAAATATACAGGTAAATCTGGCAAATGTTTTCGGTGTTAGAGAGATGGGAAAACAAGGATACAATAATTGCCGATGAAGAAAAAAGGTAAACACTTGTATCTCTTGAGTTTAAATATCTTTGTGTAGGAACTAAGGAAACTAGAAAATATAATATATTATTGATATTTTCGAAATATATGACTTTATCCTGGCTATTTTTGTAAAGTAGATATAATAAAATTTATTGACAACAAAATTTTTTGGAAAATTCCAATTTTGAAAAATACAGCAGCATTATCGATAAATAATAATAATAAACAAATGATATGCATATCTGATGTAATAACGTGTAAGAATTGAATCAGCTGATGTAAAAATGTAAATAAACAGATAAACAGGGTCATGTCATAAAAATATGTCGATTTTTTAAATCAGGTTAATGCAAGTTCAAGAATAATGGATGCATTATTATCACCACTATCAACATTTATCAGGAAATTAAATTATTTATTCCGTCTACACGGTATTGTTTTTTTAATTTATTTGCAATTATTGAACAATAATTACAATCGTTCAGAAATTAAATTAACAAAGCCAATGGTTTTAAAAATCCATGCAGTTTTCATAAATCATGCAACATTTTCATAAATTTAAGCGAAAAAAAAAATGTTTCAATATTTATATGAAATAGTGCCTAATGACTCAAAAACCACAAAAATATGTCTATTTAATCATACATACATAATATGATGGAAGAAAACAGTCCTGAAGAACTACAAGCACAAATTAACAAACTAAATACAGCCAGCAATAAAGTAGGTCTCAAAATGAATTTAGCAAAAACTAAAGTGATGTAGAAGGAACTAATAGACAAAAAATACATTCTAATGAATAACACAACACTGAAAGTATAGTAGTGAAATATATACATATATTTGGGACAACTATTAACACAGCTCGGGATCTCTACTACCAGAAATCAACAGAAGAGTGAAGTTAGCATGGAATACTACTTATGGACGAAATTCAATCATATTCAAATCTAGAACGCCACTCTATCAATAAAAAAACATTCGATCAATGTGTACTACCAGTCATGACCTATGCATGCGAAACCTGGACACATAGGGCTCGAACTCACTGACGACCAGATCGCAGCGACCTGATCGTCGGCTGGCCGGATGTTTTGCGTTTTTAGCTGCGGCCAGATGAACGACCAGTTTCAACAGAGTTGTCAAATCTAACGATTTTTTACGTTTTACCAATTAGAAAATATTGTTTCAGAAATGTTAAAATATCCGAGTTAACTAAAAAGCGAAGTTGCTATTAACAACAAACAAAAAGCATTGTGTACGCGCGACCGACAAATAGGGAGATATTCTGTTTCTTTTTTCTACTGATATGGCGCTCTTATCGACTTTAGAAGTAAACATATTAGGGCCATCGTAAAAAAAGATCGTGAGACACTAGCTCTAAATATAAGCAGGTAGAAAGTTTAGCTTCCAGTTATTTCAATGTTTACAATATAACGAAGAATCTACAACAGTAATTACTTCTATTTTTATGAATGTTTAAGTTACTTTCTTAATTTTTTTTCAAAATAATGTACCTAGTAGAAATATAGTCTAATGAACCCTATTTGAAAAACGTTAAATTAAATATCATATTTAAAATACAGTTGTCCTCCTTGTACATGACTACAATACAACTAAAAAACTAATTTAATAAAAAAAAAACAAGTGGTTGTAGAAAAACTTTAAATATTATTTTTTTTTATTTTTTAAACATCGAAACTCAAAGGTATAATAACAGGTATCATACCAACCATAAATACAGTAGGTATGTCATATAAAAATGTTTTGAGTTTTTACTAGAATCGACCCTTCATAAAAAAAAGGGATTAGATTTAAGTTTACCTTTGATCCAGTCTGTATATTTTATCTTTGGATTTTCTGCACGTGTGCAATAACTACACTAAAACACTATATCTTATAGAAAATAAAATATTGTGCCTTGAATTTGAGGGATTTCATCTGAAAAATTATTAATTTGGAAGAAAACCGGCAACAAGCGGCAGAAAATAATAATATTTCCGCGCAGTCTTCTGGTCGCAACGACCAACGGACGGCCAGGACGTTAGTGTGCGCTATATCATTTGATTTAATGGTTTTAGAGGTAGCTGCGGCCTGGCCGGTGCGACCTGGTCGTCAGTGTGTTCGAGCCCTTAAAACGGACATCATAAGGAAACTGCAATATGCTGGAAATAACCAAGAGAGACCGTAAAAGAATAGAATGGATACGACAAAACATCCAGATCTAGACAAAACATCCATATCCAGATAATAGATCTCATCCACAGAGTCATATCCATCAAATGGCAATGGGCAGGACACCTGGCAAGAAGAACGGCCAATATACTATGGATCACAAGAATTAGAGCATGATACCTACGAGGAATTGAGAGACCCAGAAGAAGACCAAGCCTGAGATGGAATCTTATTCACTTTGGATGGGACCATGATATTAGGAAATTAGCAGGGAGAACTTGGGACCGCATAGCCAACAATAGGCAACATTGGGCCCAACTGCCATACTGTCTTTGTACAGTATCTCAATATGTGAGGGACGCTATACCATAGTTCTAAATGGCTGAATAACATTGAGACGAATGCCGACAACTTTTCAAATCATTATTTAATAATCTTTATGCCCTCTAGTTTAATTAACATTGTAAAATTGTAACTATTGCAAGATCCAGTTTGTTTGAAAATATTAAAATTAAGTTTAAAAATAATAAAAAATCATTGAGGCCCAAGAAGAACTAAAAAAATTGAATCAAAATATTTAAAAATATTATTGAAATTGATATTGAAATATACATAAAATTGTGTTTATATATCATAATAACAAATATTGATTACTTCTTCAAGTGCATTGCGTAAATTCTTGTTGTTCTTTGATAACATGTACTAATTCTTGGAAATTCATTAAACTTTGTATGCTAACGTAATCGTGACGTACGATTGTTTCGATCTTCTCCGAAATGCATTTTTAATTGTTATTTTTAGATAATCGATTTGAAAACAGGATTATAAAATTATTTTATATAAAAATTAATATTTATTTCTGCGAGTAGTTTTATTATATTTCGTTTATGTCCAACTTGTCAGTGAAGATTAGATAACAATTTATAACAAAAGTCGTGTGCACAATTTTTGTTATAAAAGTTGTTTCACCTGTGCTGTCAATTTGCGCATATGAAACGTTTTTAATCATATAGTACATCTGCGCGCAGATGGTTCGTAGATGTAAAAGCTCGACGGATAACGCCAGCTCATGTGAGAATGAAACTCATGGCCCATGGTACTTGTTCAACCAACGGACGGAAGATTCGCTCCATGTGAAACAACACAATCAGTGACGTAACTACCGGTGTTCAAACGTGCTCGATGGAATACGAGCCCGGGTCCGTAGGGGGCCCGCGAGAGGCCTGTTGCAAACCCTACAAATTCTGATTGAACAATATATTTACTGTAAAATACACACTACAACCAAAGAGTAGAGATCAACTACATAATATATTACTATTGGATTATAAAACTGTATTTTTGTTTCTTTTCCTTACTTCTTACCACATAAAAAAATCGTGCTGCTCAGAATCTTAATTTGGTTCCAAATGGCACCGTACAAAATGTCTGAAAACTTTTATGATTTTTGGAACAAATTTACGTAATTTTTGTTCAGAGTACGAGTAGATGGAGAATACTTGAAACAAAATATTCAAAACCTAGGTCTAGATTAACATTTTGACTGCCATGCCGAATTCAGTAGAAGGGTCCCGCGCGCCACTTGTATTTTTTTATAGAAAATTATTTTAAATGCTTTTTTACCCTGTGCACAAACATTTTAAAATCTGTCATTGTGACTTTTAGACTAGTGTATAAAAAATATACACGTGGAGTAGGAGCATAAATATGACATAAATAACCTAACCGAACATGAATATTTTGTACTTTTGTTCGTTTAATTTGTTGTTACACAATAAGTTTAAAGTTTGTTTTATTTCAAATAATGTTTTTTTTAAAGTTATTTTAAGTTTTCTAGGACAAAACTACAAACTGTTAATTATGTCACAATAAATATAGTACCTAAATAAAAAATGAACTATAAAAAAAATATTTTTCATTGAAACTCGGCGCTAAAATTATTTTATCATTGTTCCACGCCACGCCAAACCATATTCCTTAAGAAATGCACGTCAAGCATGCTACTGTAGTCTACACACAGCGGATTATTACTGATTGTATGTGTATACTAGAATATACACGTGGCGAACTGGGACATGCTATTGTGTATACTCAGAGATACACATGGCAATCAAAGTGTTAAGAACAAAAAAAATATTACTTAGTATCTTATTAGTAAAACATAAATCTTTGAAAATAAATCCGGAGGCCAAATCTATTAAAACAACATTATAAATGTACGAAATATAATTTTTTTAATATTTTTAGAATATACTATTATCGTTGACCGAAGGAAATAATTAAAAGCTACTTTAAAGCGTCTCGAACCTTAAGAAATCAGTTCAATCAAAATTGAAAAATGAAACTGATAATTTTGCAACTGAGTGAAACATTACAGCACGATTTAGTAGTAAAAGAATAAAACGATCAAAACTATATTTTGATGAAAAAAAATAATCAAAATGCCCTCGAAACAAAGATTTCTTCGAATTTATGTATTTTACAAAAATTTTGATATTATATTAAGTCAAATTAACAGCATCCGGTCTATAGGAAGTGGAAAATAACTATTCCCATGTAGAATTGGAACAGGAAGCAAAGATGCTTTAGAACAAATAAATATCTTGAAGACATATCAAAAAATTTTCCAAAATATGTTTATTTTTAGTATGTACTATGTCATTTTTTAAATATGCTAACCTATTTATACCTCTATGTTAGCTATACATATATTTTATGTCAGAAATATAGAGATTGCGTTTCGTTTAGAAAAATATATATTAGTATAATATAAAAAGTGTTCTCTTTTTATTAAAAAATTAGAACAAAATTATTATTTGTTGAGGGCGTAAGAGGCCCAAAAAATATTTGAACACGGGCCCGCGACTTCCTCGCTATGTCACTGGGCACAATAGGGACGATCGTAGCCGATGGTCCGCTCCATGCGAAACAGCACATTGATATTAATAAAACTTTTAGTTACGTAATCGAGGACGCGATTTTTAAATTCATTGTTGCTAACCATGGAGGATTCAGGTGATAGCTCTGCTGTAAAAAATGTCAAGTTGCCACATTTATTTATTTATTTCCTGACATTGTTATTTGTTTTGACACTTTAGTTTTGTATTACCATATTGTATTACGAGTTTTTGTCTTAAATAAATAGTGTTGTGATACTTAAAGCTAAATTGTTCTTTTTAAAACCCCTTTTAGTGCGAATTGTACAAGATAGCTTAATAGCCGTAAAAAAACTCATCGCAACTTTATTAGAATATTTTGAACGGGAAAGCGGTAATAATGGCCCTTAAGTGCTGTTAAGAAGGTGAGTTTTATATAATTAAAAATTAAATTAAAAATAAAATTAAATTAATTTATTTTTTTCCTAAAATATTTTAATTAAAAGAAAATATATAAAAGTGGGCAACGCTGTGTCGGTCAAGCTTAATCACGTGACTAAATGTTTATTTGGTATAAACTATAGGTAAATTGATTAGAAAAACAATTTATAACAAAGTTAGTAAATACAGTATCATCGAAAAAAATCGCGTCCAGTTGGCTGCGAAATCACAATCGATGACATTTCTCATATAAATTTACATATAAAATGACAGCGATCTACATTGCATAGCCATCGCTGACGCCATTTTTTTTCGATCATACGGTACGTACTGACTTGGTTTTACATCTCGTAATATTTTTGTTGTGAATGTATTTGCATGCCAGACATGAATGTGAATGTATTTGCATGCTTCATAGACCATCGTAAGGCGTTCGACTGTGTTAATCATCAGAAGATGATCAACATTCTAAGAACAACCGGAGTTGACGAACAAGACCTACGTTTCATATCAGAACTTTATTGGCATCAAACGGCGGTAGTTGAGATGAAGCAGTCAACATCGGAAGATATACAAATCAGACGGGGTGTTCGGCAGGGTTGCGTCTTGTCTCCGCTCCTGTTTAACCTGTACTCGGAGACTATATTTAGAGAAGCACTGGATCGAATCCAGGGCGGAATCAAGTTCAATGGAATCCCAATAAACAATATCAGATATGCCGATGATACGGTTATAATAGCCAACGATATACAAGAACTGCAAAGCATTATAGATTCCGTAGTCCACTATAGTGAGATGTTTGGACTGCATCTCAATGTCTCCAAGACCAAACTATTGGTCTTTTCTAAGACTCCAATAAATGCACACCTGCGTGTCAAGGGACAAACAATCGAACAAGTGACCTCAATAAAGTATTTAGGAGCTAACATCAATAGTCAGTGCGACCCGAAAAGAGAAATATTTTCAAGAATTGAGCAAGCGAGAAAAATCTTCGTGAGAATGAAATCATTTTTTACAAGAAGAGACCTCAGTGCGGATCTCAGAACTCGAATAGCCAGATGCTACGTCTTCTCTGTGTTACTCTATGGATGTGAGAGCTGGACACTGGATTCACAGACCGAGAAGAGAATAGAAACCTTCGAATTGTATATATACAGACGGATGCTGCGAATCTCATGGGTACAAAGGATCACCAACAATGAAGTACTGCAGCGCATGCAGAAACAAAAAGAGATACTGAACACCATCAAGGAAAGAAAAATGCAATACCTGGGTCATGTCATGAGAGGTGGTAGATACGAAATACTGCGCCTCATAATAGAGGGCAAAGTGCAAGGGAAAAGATCAGTAGGAAAACGCCAGAACTCATGGCTAAAAGATTTGAGGAGATGGTTTGAACGCTCGTCTGCGGAAATCTTCCGGGCTGCAGTTTCCAGAGCCACAATTGCCATTTGGATCACCAACCTTCGGCAGGAGAAGACGTGATAAGAAGAAGAATATTTTTGTGGTGGAAGAACTACGAAACTTATAGGGTACGTTTATGTTGGAGCTGCGATAAACGATAAAAGCAGTGAATTAGCGCTGCTCTTATCGTTGCTCAACTGCCAAGCGTGTCTCGACGCGTTGCTCCAATATAAACACCTACATATAAATTAATATAATAATATTCTTTGCTTCGCGACTATCGCTGCTCTTATCGTTTATCGCCGCTCCGACATAAACGCACCCTTATGAATAGAATTTTTTTTACATTTTATGTTTTGATCGGATATTTATAGACACGAAGATATTCATAGCGCCAAAATTAAAAAAAAAACAGTTTGATAAAATTAAATTTATAGTCAACATAATACGTAACTAGGATCAAGGTTTAGGGGTTAGGTTTTTGAATTTTAAAACTCTTTTCACAAGTTTGTTAATATAAATAAACTATATATATTATCTTAGTTTGGGTCAAGTAATCTAACCTATTTAACGCAAATAGTTTGAATTTGGTGGTGCAACATAGCAATAAATATATTTTAGCATCTTATTTACCATAATCTCTAAGAATTATTTAATTACGACTCCTATAATGTGTTATGCACCGGCTCAGAACATATAGAAAGTCCTATGTAAATTTTAATGGTGTCAATTAAATAAAAAAATAATTAATTTTTTAAAGTACTTCATTAGGTCCGGCTACTTATCAACTTTGAAACTCTTCTGCTGAGCTGTTTTTAAATTATTTGCAAAATTAGGCCCTTAAAAAAAGTAATTCTTAAAACGATAAAATACTTCGGCCAGTAATTTATCAAAATGTATAACACTGACGTTGAGGCAATTTTGAAGTTTAAAACATTTTTTGTGCCAAGAAAGACAGAGACAAGAGAGACAGATGACATAAAAAAATGTTAGAAAGAACAATTTGCCTGTGAATTAAAATGACAGATACAACTGTCACTGTTGATTGTCGCGTTGGACAGAATAAAATAGGTTGTAGAGACAATAACTTTTGAAGTAAACGTAAAGATAAAGACAAAAAAATATATAAAAATTTTTAAAAAAATATATAAAAAATACATAAATGTGATTATTCTAAGGAGTATCTTTACATATAATGTATTTTTTGATTTATTTTAAAAATGTAAATCCAAATACGAGTTTCTAAAGCTATAATTTTCAATAATTAGATGCATCTAAAGAAATTTTATTTTTTAAAAGTTATATTCCAAAAATCTGTAAGCATAACATTCATATGGTACTTACATGGTTACCAACGAGTTGTGGGTATGCTTTTTCGGTTCAATATAATCCATAAAAGTTATATGTTCACTTGTAATAGAGGTAATTAGGTTATTCAAGTCCTTTTTTGGAAGTTTCTGGAAATTAATAACTAAATCAAAATCTGATTTGTAACTATTACTGAGGTTTAAATCCAATATAAAATAAAAGTATATATGTATGTTGGTAAATAGATTTCTTATTACTGTAAAATGCTTGAAATGCTTTATTGTTCATATCGGAATATTGTTTTGTAGGCTCAGCTATTATAAATTGTTACCGTGGATGCATTAAGGTATATCAATGGTATTGTTATTGTGCAAAACTGCATGATCTAATTTAAATAATTTTTGTTATGCGCTTCCTTTTATAGTGAATTTAATATCTTATAAAACTTAATTTTAATAAACAGTAATAATAAAAATACTTATTAAAGAAATTCTAAATAAATTCGATAATAATAAAAATATAAATAAAAAAACATATTACCTGTGATATTATACGAGTATATAAAATTTGTAAAATAAACACACAAAATTTTGATTTTGGTTTTAGCCTCTATGGCTTTTTTTACACAGTAAACTTTGAATGTACTTTTAAGCTTATACAGGGTAAGTCTTAAATAAGTGCTAGAATTTTTAGGAGTTGTATATTATATGCATATTTCGACCCCAGAAACAGAATTATGTTCTTTTTTTCAAAAAAAAAAAAATAAAATTTAGAATTTTTTGAAAATATTTTTGGAAATTTTTTTAGTTTTTAGTTAAAAAACATAATTTATTGATAATATGGCAATATAGGTAGTAGATTAAATTTACAAAAGAGAAAATCTAGTGGTTCTCAAACTTTTAGCAAAAAATCATTTTTTTTGGAAATTTTCAAAGTAAAATAACTCGGTTATTTTGGATTTATTTGAAAAACGGCAAAGAGAAAGCATGTTTCTTTTATCGAGATCTACCAGCCCTGGAATTATTTGCACTTAATTAAGACTCTCTCTGTATTTCAGTTAATAACTGAATTATAAAGATACGGAATAGAAATATGTATACACTGTTGATACGTTGATATCTACCAACCTCTTTGTTTATTACCAACATCTATAACGACATAATATATATTATTTCGAAATTAATAGAAATTATATAAAACACAACAAAAATTCATAATATCTTACCTTACTATCGTTCATGTAATTAGGCACTTTTGCATAACTGGGCTTATTATAAAGGTATTCCTGAACAGTGTACAAGCTCAGATCTGGATTATCGAAGTTATGGGCTAATATATCACTCCTAAAATTAAAAGGTTATAATTTTTATCTCCTAATAATTTTACTTGATTCGTTTTGACTGGACAGGTAAAACTGACAGGTAAAATTTTAAGTGTAGATATAGCTTTAAAGGAAAAAAATACAAGGTAAATACTTACGTGTATTTTTCTATTTCTGATTTTGAGTACAAACGATCAAATTTTGAGTTAACCTGCTGACCATCTGATTTATGTGTAGTATTTCCTACTGTTTCATTATCTTCATCAGAATCACTTGTTGGTGTGGGTGGACTAAAGAATGTCCTAAAGAATAATTAAACATCAACAACTGAACCTTTTAGTATATTTAGCAAATAATTATAAAATAATATTTCTGTTAAGTAAACTTATTCTTTGTGAAGTTATCGACTCAATAAATGGATAATATGTAGTGACATTGCATGTCTAAGGAATACTACCGGACATCGTGATATGTAACAATTAAGTTATTAGACGGGTTGGACTGAAAGTGAAGTTAAATGAAGCTCCCAATTGAATTCAGTAAAATGTTTTATTGGATAATGTCCAAAAGAGTATTAAATTTCGTATGGGAACGCAACGAAGCTTGTTAGAGAAGCTTATTCTTTAGAAATTTGCAGTAATTGGTGCAATTTTGAACATACTGTTTGGGCACGTGATGGTAATAATGTCGTAAGCCGTAATTTTGGACAGGTGTATTACGTATATTTGATAGAAGGTAGGAGGAATGATAAATTCCGTATATTATTTTTTTATTTCATCATTATTAATTTTTTAAGGTATCAATCATGTACCAATAGTATCAGATTTCAGTTTTTATCAGTTATGTAATAAGTACTTTAAGAATCGGACAAAAATATCTTTTGAGCTTTTATAGATATAGGTACCGGTGTTATTTCTCAAAAGTGGCTCACCCCTATAACATTTTTATTTTTTCATATAAAGATTTGGTATGTTAGTATTATGTAGTGAAGTAAATGGTAATATTACCGCGGTAATATTACTATGTAACATTGGAAATATTGCTTTTTAGCTCTCTACTCTTTCTCAGTATTTGTCCAGCACTAAAATAAAAAATAAAAGTATGTTGGCTGTAGACATTTTAAATTTACTATCCGAAACAGCCGCAACCCCAAAGAACCTTTAGTACCTATGGATTTGTTCATAGGCCAAGAAGAAACAGACATCCCATGGAAAGGATCGGAAAACTTACTTATATTGTTCATAATTATAATTTACTAAATAAAGAAGAATATCCAAGAATGGTAGAAACTGTTGAGAAAGAAATGGGAGAAGAAGAAGATATCGATTTCGAAGTAATAGACTTTACTCAATTAACACAAGCGAAAGAAGAACCGATGACTAAATTGGAGATGATTTACCATTATCCACTCTATTACGTACTCGATTACGTACTATAACATAGGCCGTTCTGACTCTGACTCATTTAAAAAACGTACTTGTCTTTATTTTAATTGTTTTTACAGTTTTGAAATACAAAAATAATATTATTTAAAAAGCTGTTTTTTTATAAATTACCAATGTTACCGTAATATTACGTACAATTATCGGTAATATTACCGATTTATAAATTACCGGTAAGTTTAGATCACTAAGTACATAACATAAATAAGGATTGATTGACGTATCGAAGTGTCTTTGATCAGTTCCTATTTCACCGGAAATCACTACAACTTTTGATTTTTAAATGGCACCCTGGGTGTTTTTTTACTTTATTCGATACAGAATGACCTTCTGAATAGAATGACATATCATTTATCAACTTTTTACATTTTCGCTTAAAGAAATCGAATTTTAAATTTCAATCTAGAGCGCCATGGCTGTGTTAAAAACGCTAATTTTTAATCAAGTAGCCTTGGATCCAATAGATTTGATTGTCTAAAGTTTTTCGTGTCTTGTTCTGGTCGGTTAAAATATGCCCAAATCGTATTTTTAATCATTTCACAATTTTTTTTTAAATGGAACCGCATGTTCACAATTTCTAATAAACCATATGCGAAAATGTCACAAGTTGGCATATGTGATGTCATTCTATGCAGAGTGTCATTTTCTATCGAATAAAAAAAATATGAAAAAAATACCGAGGGTGTCATTCAAAAATCAAAAGTTGTAGTCATTTCCGGTGAAACAGTGACCGAAAGCAATTAGTAAGCAAATCAATCTTGATTTATGTCATATATCAAATCTCTTTTTTTATCTGAAAAAATAAAAAAGTTATAGGGGGTGAGCCACTTTTAAATAACACCCGGTATGTAGATATGGGTTTTAATCGTTTTTATTTGAAAACTTACCCAAAACTACTGGAAGAAGTATAGCTGGAGCTAGCCAGAGGCTGAGATTCGCCATCTGAATCGGAATCTCTGTTTCCTCCGGCTAAAATTTTCTTATAATTTCTTATAAGATCTGCAAACAAAAATAGTACATTAAATTAATGGTAATGGTAAGCAAAGGTAAAATATTAAAATTAGTGAAATTAAATTTGTAATATTTTAGATATACATTTTCGTACGTCCCATCCTGTTTTTTTTACTAAAATATCACCCCATTAATATAGGTCTTAGTAAACAACAAAATATACGAAACTTGCTTTTGTTTTAACTCGTTATACAGGGTGAGTCTGAAATAAGTGCAAATATTTTAAGAGGTATTTCGACTCCGGAAACACGTCTATGAGGTTTTCTCCGCAAAAAAATGAAAATTTGAAATTTTTTGAAAAATTCTTTGATTTTTTTTTTAATTTTTATTTAAAAAACATAATTTCTTCATAATATGGCAACATAGATAGTAGACAGTGATGCCAACTCGTGGGAAATTTCCTGATTAGTGGAAAAGAACGTGATTCAGAGGGAAACTCTAAAATTATGTATAGTACAGTTACAGTGTCCGCATTTCTGAGCAAAGTGGGAAAATTCAAGCTAGCATTACCGCAACTAAATACACATTTTCGGTGTGGCACCAGACAGTATTCTTGTACCCCCTCCCCTCGAAAAGATGGTAAATTTTAAATAAGTGCAAATATTTCTGCACTATACAGGGTGGTCCGAATGGTAATCAGGAAACTTCGGCAGCATATTCTGCAGATAAAAATAGGTAAAAAAGTTCGTATAAATGTATGTCCTAAAATTCTGAGTAAATGTATGTCCTAAAATGCTTAGGTTTTTGTAGGAATTTCATTTTTATTTCGATTTTTTCCAAATAATTTCTAAAGTAATGTCAATATTTAGATGAAAATTTGTGTCTGGGAGTTTTTTGACATGAGAAATTTGATGTTGATGTCAATATGATACCTGTATAAAACTACCGAGGGAAAAAATGTACATCTCTATGATTTTTTACGTAAAAAATATCTCTTTGTAAAAATCGCTACGAGCAACCGTTCTCAAGATATTTAGAATGAAAATAGTCAATACATGCCATTATTGACGAAAAATAAACACGTTGAGTAGATAGTTATCACTGAAATAATAAATTTGGGAAATTTTTATTTTTTTTAATTAATGATAAATTTTTCTGCAAAAAATGATGATAAAACCGTTTCTATTGAACTTTTGGCATAAAAACATTTCAAATTTATAATTTCAGTCTAATAACTATTTAGTCAACATGTTTAATTTATGTCAGTGATGACAGGTATTGATAATTTCGATTCCAAATATCTCAAAAACCATTACTCGTAGCGAGACCTTTTTTACGTAAAAAGCGTTGTAAATGTATATTTTTTTACTCAGTAGTTTTATACAGGTACGGACAAAAAGTTATTACTCTTCAAACCAGTTAAAAAATATGTAGGTGGCGCTCTCTACTAGTAGAAGTCATATTGATATCAAAATCAAATTTCTCATGTCAAAAAACTCCCAGACACCAATTTTAATCCAAATATTGACGTTACTGCAGAAATTATTTGGAAAAAATCGAAATAAAAATGGAACTTCTACACCCTGTATCTCCGAAACTAAGCATTTTAGGACATACATTTATACGAACTTTTTTACCTATTTTTATCTGCAGAATATGCTGCCGAAGTTTCCGAAATACAGTTCGGACCACCCTGTATATATTTCTATACACGTATACAGGGTGGCGCACCTCATTCGCCTCGGTTGATTATACGAAAACGGAAAGATGTAGAAACAAAATATTTTATGGGTATATGTGGGGAGGTAATGTCCACAATTTAAAATTATTTTGAAATGTACAGGGTGTTTCAGAACTAAGATCCATACCAAAGTTATGTTTTTTCTTATGAAACAACCGGTCTTTTATTTCATTTTTGGATTCTCGGGCCCAAAAAAAGGTATTTATTATAAGGATTAAATATGTTTAAAGTCTTTGGTTTTTGAGTTATTTAAAGATATTTAAAAATGCATACTAAAATAAAATAGATTATTAACGCCCTGTAGATTACTTTTCAGAATTAATTCTTGTGCTGACTTTAAAGCCAGAGAAATGAACTTTACTGAAAAATTGAATTGCTTCGTTTAACATATACAGGGGTATCAAAAATTGCTGGTCTATTTTAAATATTTATTTTACAAAAAAAAATTGTTATTTCAAATGCAACGCCCTGTATTTTTTAAAATAAATCGCAGCAGATTCAAAAGCTTTTTCAAACTATATTAGGGTTTCCTATACCTATCTAGCTGAGATTTTGAATAAAGAGCCATTTTTCAATAAAATGGCAACCAAGATGGCTGATGTCGTCATGGCAAGTTTCTAGTGACAGTTAGTAGCTATTTTCAAAATCGAAATTACTTTATGGACTTTATTTAAATTTATAGCAGTTTACTTTTATTTAATTTACCTACAATAGTTTAATAAAGAATATTTATTAAATATGTATTTATTATTCTATCAAGAAAACCGAAGAAGTAGTTCTTTGATTTATTTTAAGATGACCTGTATATATATGGATTTTCTATAAAAGAGCCAATTACGGCAAATTTATTTTCTTTACTTCCAACGACAGGTATCTGCCTAATTGTTTTATTTACTACAAGTAGTTTTTCAAGGAACGCTAATCAGGAAGATTCCTATTTGGATATCTTTGAGCATAAGCCCTTGAGGCCAAGAAGCAATTTTCCTCACAAAATAACATCACTAGTAACATATCCATTCGTTCCGCCAGTAGATACTGCTCTATTTTTTTTGATAAAATAATGAATACTTACTTATTAAGCTATTGGAGCTAAATTTAAGTAAACTGTCATAAATCTAAATAATAATGTCCACAAACTAATGTCGATTTTGAAAAGTGTTACTGTAACTAGAAAATTGCCATGGCCACACCAGCCACCTTTTTTGCCATTTTATTGAAAAATCGATTTTTATTCAAAATCTGAGCTAGATAGGTATAGGAAACCCTAATATAGTTTAAAAGAGCATTTGAATCTGCATCGATTTATTTTAGAAAATATAAGGTGTTGTATTTGAAATAACGAAGTTTTTATGTAAAATAAATATTTAAAATAGACCAGCAATTTTTGATACCCCTGTATACATTAAACGAAGCAATCAAATTTTTCAGTAAAGCTTATTTCTCTGACTTAAAAGTCAGAACAAGAATTAGTTCTAAACAGCAATGTACAGGTTGTTAATAATCTATTCTATTGTAGCATGCATTTTTAAATATATTTAAATATCCCAAAAACCAAAAATTTTAAACATATTTAACCCTTATAATAAATACCTTTTTTGGGCCCAGGAATCCAAAAATGAAATAAAATACCGGGTGTGTTAAGAAAAAATATGGACATGGTATGGACATTAGTTCTGAAACACCCTGTACATTTCAAAATAATTTTAAATTGTGCACATTGCCTCCCCACATATACCCATAAAATATTTTCTTTCTACTTCGTTGCGTTTTTGTATAATCAACCGAGGTGAATGAGGTGCGCCACCCTGTATATATATATATATTATCTGCAGAATATGCTGCCGAAGTTTCCGGAATACAGTTCGGACCACCCTGTATACGGAGTGAACCTTAAATAGGTAAGTGCAAATATTTTCATGGCTGGTAGATCTCGATAAAAGAAACATATTTTAGGGTAAGTCTTGAATAAGTGCAAGAAACATATTTTCTTTTTACCGTTTCTTTACCAAGTCCAGAATAACCGAGTTATTGCACTTTGAAAATTTCCAAAAAAAATATTTTATGATTAAATTTTGAGAACCACTGGATCTCTTCTGGGTTTTCTTTCTTGTAAATTTAATCTCCGACCTATCTTGCCATATGATCAAGAAATTATGTATTTTTAACTATATACAAAAAAAAAAATCAAAAATATTATACATTTTTAAATTGATTTTTTGCGTAAAAAAACTCCTAATGGTGTTTCTGGAGATGAAATATACTACCCCTAAAAATATTTCCACTTATTTAAAACTCACCTTGTATATCGATCCCTAAAGTTTCTTTTGTGCGAAAAAAAATTGCAAAGTATATTTCGAAATTTGTTTGAAAATGTTTTGTAGCTAAAAAACGTAATGTCTGTATTTGTGTTAACGACACTATATTGGATTTGAGAACTCGTGGGAATTTTTAGAAAAAAAAATGATTTTTTTTTTTATAATTTTCAAGTTAAAAATTTCGGTTATTTTAAATTTATTTGAAGAACAAAAGTAAATACAAAATACGTTTCTTTTATCGAGATCTACCAGCGCTGAAAATATTTGCACTTATTTAAGATTCACCCTGTACAAAGCAGCCTATTCGCAGAGCAATTATTTGCAGAAGGTATTCTAAAGAAGTCGGATGAGCTCTACATATTATAATTTAGCAGTAATTTTATTATTTCATCAAGGCGCTAAAAAATTGGTTTGGTAAAATTATTATTAACGCTACCTTAAACAGAAACAGTGAAAAAAATATGGATATGTTAAACAAAACAAAAGTTGTTGAAAATGAGTGCATTTTTTCATTAAAATTAACTAATATTGATCAAAACATTGGCGTATTCATTTAAACTTACCTCTCATTTTAAGTACCGATCCAATGAACTATCTACGAACACACTTTTTATCACAACAATTTTTTTGACACAAATAAAGTTAAATAACACTTCAATTTAACAGCACTGTTTTTAAACACACATATTTTGGTCATTATCACGCGAGGTTAGTTTTTTAGGTTTCGTCGTGTTATCACTGTTTCGGATTCACTATAGTGTCCTATTTTAGATACAATTGAGAACCAATATCCAAATTGAATGAGTAACATTGGTCTGGAGATAAATTTATAGTGGAAGCGTCAAGAACAACAACGAGATAAGACGAAGAAATTCTTTAAATAAATTTGATATTAACATTGTGCATTACGGTAAACACCAGTGGCGTGGTGGTAAAGGAATGGTAAATAATAATAATAGTGTATAAATAAAGAGTAGAGTCTGTCACCGAATCAGAATTCTGTCAAAAAATGACAGAAAATACCATTTACCTGTGACTTAAAATGACAAATACAACTGTCACTGTCATGCATCCTATTGTTGGACAAACTACATACCAATCAAAAAATATATTTAGATATTCAGTGCATTTGGTTCAGGAGTGAGTGTAAGCATCTTTAGAAGCCGCAAAACTGGGAAAACGGCAACCTAGTCAGAAGTTATATAGCGTCAAAGTTATAGCCTAAGAGCTGACGACATATTTAGAGAACATATTTTAGGCAAGTTAGAATAACTAAAAATGTGTAGTTTATTAACTGGTGAATCCAGAATCCTAAGTCTGGCTGGGGGGTTGGGGGTATTTCGCTACTGCGCAACCCATAACATTTGCAAAAAAATAAATCCAAAAAACATTCTTTAGGCAACTTGAAATTTGTTTATTCTTAAATTTTAGCATCTATTTAACCTAGAAATAAGTATGCCAGACTTTTTTTTCGGGTTTAAAGTGTAACCCGACCATTCCAACCAAGTGTTTATTAGATGATATTAAAAAATATGTGTTAATTGCCAGACGAATTCATTGGGATTTAATACTTGCCAGACGCAAATAAGATTTTAAATGAGCGCGAAGAAAGTCTTATGAGTGATGCGGCTGACGTAACAGCATTTTGGAGTCGTAAAAACTTACTAATAAAAAAAAAACTAACTAATATCGAATAAATAAAAAGAAACATTTTTTAATAAAAATGTATGATTGAAATCCTTTCAATAAGAAGACTTTTTAATTTAAGTATTTTGTATCTGAAAGAATAAAAAGACGAATAATTATTTAAAAATTAGCATAATATAAAATATATTTTTTTCAAACGTCACATAAATATAATTATTATTATACTTTTGTGACATATTATATTATTATTAATTTTTGCGACCTGATTGACAATATAAAAAAGTCATTTTAACGCCTAAGCATAAAAGTAAAGCACTTTTACTTACTTTTGAATCTATTTAGAAAGATTAACAATGGTACTTTAATAAAATTCCAGGATACTTATTTTTTTAGCACTGTACATGGTACCCTTTTGTCGGGACTACGTTTTCTGGTAAAACCACTTCTTTAAATTTTAAACCGTGTTGTTGGCGCACTTTTAAAAATTCTTTGCATTTTTGTAGTCTGCCTTCATCAAAAACAATAACTTTGGCACTAGTAACTTTTTTGCAAACTACAAACTTAAATGTTTTTTATCCATTGTGATTTAGTAGTTAGTAGCGAAATTAGTAGTTACTAAAATATTTATTTGCAGTAATTATTCTAAACTATTTACACTATGCACGTCAATATTTAATTTATAAATACATATTTGTACATGGTAACTTAATTCCAACAAAATAATCTCTGAATTAAAAGCCTGCAAATAATTGAAACCGAAAAAAAATTGTTTTTATGAAAATTTGAAGTACACCAAAATACTGTTACGTCAGCAGCATCGGCTGCCGACGGGTCTCAATAAACTATCTTTCTCGCGCTTATAGATACTCATAAGACTTTTTTGTCGCGCTCATTTAAAATCTTTATTCGCGTCTGGCAAGTATTAAATCCCATTGAATTCGTCTGGCAATTAACACATATTTTTTAATATCATCTACAGTGGCGTAGCTAGGTAACCAAGGGCCCCGGGGCAAATTAAAAAATGGGGCCCCACTGCTATGTAAACTGATTAGATTTTATCAAATAAAAATATGAAATATACAAATACTTTAAAATTCTAAGCTACTTAAGCTCTTTTTTGTGCACTGCAGTGAGTGCAGAAGTGACAGGAATTGTAAAGAATAATAACATTGCTGTAAATACTCGTACTTCCGTTAAGTCGCATTCTAGCACTCCATATTTGCTCATTACTTCCTTACAATAATAAAATGCATATATCACTATCCGTCAAATTGACAACACTGCCAACCTACAGAAAGAATTTAGGGGAATTCCCTAGGCATAACTCTTGGATTTCTCTCAACTGAGTTGTCATAATTAAAGTGGGGTTGCAACCTGTCATATTTATTTTGAAAATGGGAGAAATTTCCAAAAGTTCAGTTCGATCGAGATTTCTGGTAAGGATTCGAGGGCCCCCTGAGCTTGAGGGCCCCGGGGCACTGCCCCGCCTAGCCCCTAGGTAGATACGCCACTGATCATCTAATAAACACGCTATAAAAATTTTAGAATGCCTAAGGTATGTTTTCCAGGTATAATAATTAAACATATTTGGAATGGTCTGGTTACACTTTAAACCCGAAAAAAAAAGTCTGGCACACTTATTTCTAGGTTAAATAGATGCTAAAATTTAAGAATAAACAAATTTCAAGATGCCTAAAGAATGTTTTTTGGATTTATTTTTTTGCAAATGTTATGGGTTGCGCAGTAGCGAAATACTCCTAACCTCCCAGCCAGACGTAGGATTCTGGGTTCACAAGTTATTAAACTTTATTTTTTTTGTTATTCTAACTTGCCTAAAATATGTTCTCTAAATATGTCGCCAGCTCTCCGGCTATTATACCTTGTTATTCTATAAAGGAAAAACGGCAGGCAAGTCAAGAAAAAATGAAAGAACCAGGCAACTAATTGTTGAGTTCGTACGTTTAAAAAAATACCTTTATCAAGTTTTAACAGATCTCTATTACGCTATTTGTATAACTTTTTAATTTTTTAACATTTTCATTAAATCGTGCTTTTCTAAGACGAAAATTCAAAGAAAAAAAAACAGTGGTTCTAAAAATTTAAAGAAAGAAAAGTTTATAGACAGGAAATAAAGTAAAATAACTCAACTATTTTAAACTTATTAATTGAAAAACTGTAAAGAGAAAATCTATTTTTTTATCAAGTTCTAACAGCCTCAAAAATATGTGCACTTATTTAAGACTGACCCTGTATTTTATACGCCACTGATATTTTTGAACGTTAAGGTCAAACTTGATCGAGGAAGATCCTTCTAGTTTTTATCGCATATTTCTTCAGAAAAGATAACAAATACGGAAATCCCATAAAAAATGTTTTTTAAATGTTAGTTTCACAATACATTTTTCTTTTAATTAATTATTAATTTACAAAACAAAGCCAAATTGAACATATTATGAACAAACATCTTTTGTAAGAAATAAATGCATTACGTAAGAAATTTCTTTGCCGATAATATCTAATAAATATTCTAAAAATGCAATAATTTGAGATAAAATTTTAGTAAATAAAAATGCATTCACCATTTAGTCAAGAATATTGTTCATGTTTTACTGTCGTTCAATAGTTATATTTACTCAATAGTAATAATAATTTCTTAATAATAATTAACTATTTGTAAATTATTACAACTTGATATAAGTCTTTAGATGATAAAAATACTGTTATTTATAATACTAGCGCTATTATGATGATTCATAAAAATGGAATTTAGAGCTTTTCAATATATTGTTTTTATTAGAATATCGAGATTCGAAATATTGTTATGTAGTTACATGTATGCTATTAATGTTTCAATAACAATAATTTACGATTTGATTTATTAGAATGGGTCAAAGTTCAGACATTCATACCAAATTTGTCTATTATATATCGGGTGCGTCTCAAAAGTGGCTCACCCCTGTAATTTTTTTATTTTTTTTTTAGTTAAAAAAATGAAAGTTGGTATGTTTGTATATGCCATGACACCACAGGCCAGGACAAGACACTAAAAATATTAGACGATCAAATCTATTTTTCCAAGGCTCCTTGATGAAGAATTATTGTTTTTAACTCTAGATTGGATTTTAAAAAACAATTTTTTATTAAGCGAGAATGTCAAAAGTTGACATATGATATGTCATTCTATTCAGAATGTCATTTTCTATCGAATAAAGTAAAAAAATTCCGAGGCTGCCATTTAAAAATCAAAAGTTGTAGCAATTTCCGGTGAAACAGGAAGTGACTAAAAACAATTGAATACACCAATCAATCCTTAATTTATGTCATATACTATTATACCAAATCCCGTTTTTTAGCTGAAAAAATAAAAAGTTATAGGGATGAGTCACTTTTGAGACGCACCCGGTATAATTACATTTTTGACAGGAACGTCCTTCTATTTTTTATTGTATTAAATTTTTATAGAAGAGATACCAAATGCGGAAATTTCAATGAAATGTTTCTTAATTATAAATATACTTAAAAATAAATATTTTTTTTTCATTAAATTAATACTAGTTTACACAACAAAAAATTGAACATTAAACTGAAGGAAACTCTTTTACAACATTTGTATTTACTACGCATTTATATTCAGTACTTTAAAAATTAGATTTCTGAAAAATATACATTTTAAGATAGGGTTTTCTTTATAAAGAATTCTCACCATTATGTCAAGAAAATCTTGAAACAGGATCATATTTCGAAAAATCTTGGTTCTTTGTTTTTATGATATGATTCTAAATAACTATTTCTTTATTACATAATAATTTTGACTTATATAGTGTGTACCAGAGAAAAAAGCGGTTACAACAACTTCACATATAGCCAAAATTATTGCATATTATATCGTTTAAAAATATACGGAAAGGAATTTAAAGAATCTTTTTTTATACATAGCTTTGATAATCTGTAAAAACAGTTTTTTGTTAAAATGGATATGGTAAACAATGTTTATCGTTCAGACCCAATATTATTACAAATTCTTGCACATTTCGATTTGTGGTCTCTTGGGTTTCAGAAGAAATTTGAGCATTGTTTTGGCTTTAAATGCCTAGAAACATTATTTCACAGTTTAATAGAGTCAGAACAGTAACACTGTCTAAACAGGGCTACCGGCAAGTTGCAATAGCTGAAATTGTAGGAGTTAACCAAAGCGACGTTTCGCGAATATTAAAAAAATTCAGGGAGACAAACGAGGTTAC